CACAGGTGTGCACTTTGACCCCAGGGTGCTGGACAGGCAGGGGCGGGGGCGGGCGCCCTGGGGAAGACGGGGCGTGTGGGATGTGGGTAGGGACCCCCCCCAGAGCAGAGGGCAGCAGGAGGGGGAGAGCCCAGGGCCCCTAGAGCACCCTGGGGGGCCGTCCCCCCGCCCCCAGCAGGGCCAGGCTGGAGGGAGGGGCCTTGCTAAGTATCCACCCGGCCAGAGGCAGTGGGGTCTGGAGGCTCGGCGGCACCAGCCTGAGGGTCTCCAGCCCCCCCATCCCCAGAGACACGTGTCCCCGTCGGTCGGGACGCAGAAGGGCCGCTGCGGGCGGGCGGGCCCGAGGACCTGCCGGTGACCGCCTTCCCCCAGTAGCTCTGTCCCGCCCGGCCACTTCCTCCCCGCCCGAGGACCCCTCTGGTACAGGGATTTCAGCTGCAGACACGCGGGGAAGGAAGGTAAACAGCCCATGGCAAGAGGAGTTCTCTCTAGGTGATGGGATTTGGGCTTGTCCAAAAACTCAAAATTTTCCACTTTAAAAAACAGAGCACCTTCCCCTCTCAGCCTGATGCGGACGCCAAGGGGACTCACAGCGGATGGCGCGGTTCTGACTTTGACCACCAGAGGGCGGCCAAGACCGGGGCATCCCGGCCGGGGTGGCGTGGATCGGCTTCTTCGAGGGCTTCCTGGGTCCCAGGAGTGGGGAGGGCCGGCGGGGCACACAGGGCGCGCCTGCCCGCTGGTCGGCCTCCGGGCAATGCCCAGCGACAGGCATCACCGTCCTCGTCTGACGACTGGGACAGCAAGGCCCAGGGCGGAGGAGGGCCTGTCTGCCACCCCATTGCCTGGCATGGTCCTGGGCTGAGCTCCCCTTCCCCAGCCCCTGAACTCACTTCACTGACGCAGGGGAGGGGCGTCACGTGGCTTTACGCGCGGCTCCCAGGAGGAGTGGGCCTCCGCCTCGCCTGCCTGGGCACTTCCCGGTGTCCTGCGTTTCAGCCACCACCTGGGGGCTTGCGGGGCGGGCGGAGGCCCTCGCTGCCCCACTGCGCAGCTGCTCAGGACCCTGCCCTCCCGTGGGGGGCCTTGGGGGCCTCCGAGGTCCCGCTGGGAGCAGCGGGCCACTGGGTTGGACCCAGGGGCTGGCCGGGGGGCCGCCCCGCCTCCAGCTCCCCCCCACCCCCACCCCCGCTCCCACCCCCACCCTGGCGCGTCCCTGGCTCTGCCCTCACTGTGCCGCCGCTGCGCCTTCCTGGGCCCGACCCACCCCAGCCGGGCGGAACAGCAGAGCCAGGGCCACAGCCGACCCTGGGTCCGAGGCCTCCGGGCTGCGGATGGCGCCGCCTGGAGCCTGGCAGGTGACAGCAGGGGCCCCAGACAGCTGGGCCCCAGAGACCGTGTCCCCGAGGGGCCCCGGCTGGCCCATCTGGGGGAAGGGGAGCAGGGGCAGGGCTTCCTCCAAGAGGGCACCTCCCTGCGCCCCTCTGCCTGCGCCCTCAAAGGGGGGCCCTCCCGGCGGTACCGGAGCACGGGCCGCGGGTGGTGCCCAGTGTCCTCGGCGTCCTCTAACGAACACTGCGACTCAGGCCCCAGGGAGGCCCCGGCCTCGGCCACTGGAGTGCGGCACGCAGACCCACCAGTGTCCGGGCACGAGGGGCCGACAGCGGGCCCGTCCGGGGGGACCCCCGCCACGCTGCGCGCGGAGCTGCGGCCGGCCACCTTCTGCCCACACAGCAGTCTGAGGGGTGCACGCCGGGGGCACCGAGCTGACAGGGGAGAAGAGAGACGAGGAGAGGCCCCGAGGAGGTCGCAGCCGTCTCAGAGCAGCCCTCGGACTCCTGCCCGGCCCCCAGGCAGGGTGTGGACCGGGTCCTTCTTTCAGCTCCAACGCCCAGGACCAGCCAGGGCTGGAGATCCACCGGGACGCAGGGTGGTCCCTGTCCGGCCCCTCCCCCGCCCAGCACGTCTGCAGGAAGCTTACTTGCGGGCTGTGGCTCCCTGGTCCTCGGAGGGGGCTTTCCCAGAGCTGCCACTGCCTCCGGGGACAGGCTACCTCAGTGGGTCAGCTAAGGGCCCTTCCCCTACAGAAGGGAGGGGCTGGAGCTGGGGGCGGGGACAAGGGGCCACCCTGCCCCTCCTCCTTCCCCAGGCGTATCTGGGGGGTGGGGAGCCCGCGGTGCTTGCTCCCAGGCCTGCCCTCTCTGCTGTCCCCAAAAGAGCCTTCCTGCCGGGGGGCTGAGCGGTGAGGAGGGCTCTGAATTCCAGCTGGCGAGGGACTCCTGGCACCCCCAGGAGGGAAGGAGCGGTGTGCCCATCCGTCCCCCCAGCCCCGGGGTCCGCGGCAGCCCCAGAGCAGACCCAGGTGAGGGTCCAGGAGAGGAGGCACGAGCGCAGCTCTAAGAGGCCTGAGAACCGTAGAAACGACCCTTGCTGAGCGAGGTCACCCTTTAAGGCCGCAGCCCCCAAACTGTGGCTCCAAGAACCGGTTTTTCCTCGGACTTGGTTTTTCCTTGGACTTGGCAGCACCGGGCGGGGTGTGGGGAGGTGGAGCTGGGGGTGGGGGGGACAGGAGGCGGAGCTCAGGCGGCTTCCCTCCCGGCCAGAGCCCTGCACCTGTCCGCGGCCTGGGGGTTGGGGACCCCGCTCTAAGGACGAAGCTGTCCTTTGCATTGCTAGAGGTGAGAGCGAAAAGGCTGAAATGGCCCTAATGCCTTGGCAGACGATCCATGAGCAAATCCAGGCCCATCCACGGAAGAACCTTCAAGAGCCATTAAGACAGGGCTGTATACACAGTCACACGGAACTGGAAATAACCCAGCTGCCCACCAGAGGGCACACCCTCTGCACAGCAACGAGCGGAGACAAAGCCTGACAGGCACACCGTGACCCCCGTGGCCGCGCCCGGTGAAGGAAGCCGAACGAGAGAGCGCTCACGGCAGGGTCCCCTGCCCCCGAAATTCCGGGAAGGATAAACCCAGTGTGCAGTCAGGAGGGCGAACGGCGGTTTCCTGGGCACGGGGCGGGAGGGGCGTGGCCGGAAGCCGGCACCAGGGGGCCTGCCAGGTGGCTGGGACCTTCGGGGCCTTGACAGGGGCCAGGAGTCTGGGGTGAAGGGCTATCAACACTCATCGGCCTACGTACACTTAAAATGCGGTCTCGTTACGGTGTGTAAGTGACATCTTAATAAAGCTGATTTAAGATGACAAATGAGAAAAGACGACGGATGAATCAGGAAGAACGAGCCAGAAACAAGAGCACGATTCCATGCGGACAAGGTTCAAGAGCAGGAGCCTCTCATCCACAAAGACAGACCTCAGAGCGGCAGTGCTCAGGAGGGCGCGGCGGCCGGGCAGGGACGTTTGGACTCTGGGGTGACCTGAAGCCCCCCGGCCCCGGCCTGGACACTGGCCACGGGGGCATGCAGGAGTGTGTGCGCTGAGCTGCACCTTTAAGAGGTGCTGCATCTTAAGCGTAAGCCAGGGCTCCCAGGGCGGGGCAGCAGCATCAGTACCGGCGTCACCGCTGACTGGGAGCGCCTGGGTCCAAAGCCTCTGCCCGTCCCGGCGGAACGGCGCCCGCGCCAAGGGGCGCACAGGCAGCGCGGATCGGGGCCCAGGGCAGGAAATGCCGCGGGAAAGGCCGCGGCTGTCCGGAGGGAGGCGTCTGTTCCTCCGCTGCTGTTACTATGGTTGTATTTTGGTGACAATAAAAGAGGGACTTAGAATAACTTTCAAAAAACACTTTACTATTTCAATAGTGAAAACTTGGAAATAACTCAAATGTTCGACAACAAAGGATTAATTGTTTTTTTTAATCCTCCCCCAAGGACTTTTTTCCCATTGCTTTTAGAGAGGGGAGGGGACGTCCTGTGAGAAGGAAGAATCACTCGCTGGCGGTCTCCTGCACACGCCCAGGCCAGGGGTGGGTGCCCCGCCGGGGATCTGGGCGCCCGGGGGGTGGGGTCGTGGCTACCCGGGCCGCCACCAGGAATCCCACCCCAACCTTGCGGTTCCAAGACGACGCTCTAACCAACGGAGCCACACCGGCCAGGGATGCGAAGGACCGGTTTTTTAACGCATGTTGTGCCCCATCCGTGCCGCAGGATGGGGTGGGAGCGAGCCCTCTCCCTGAAAAGTACAAAGGAAGAGCTGGAACTTGTACTTGTGTGTTTTTGAGGATGGTTTTACAGGGAATTTTCCACTTCTGCTTTACTTATGTTTAAACTTCGTGCTATTTACCTGGATGCTTCACAAGCCCAAGTTCTTTCTGCGGCCAGAAAAGACCAGAAACGGGGAGATTTCAAGTCGGGCCCATTGAGGCCGCCACCCCCTCCTCCGTCTGCCTTCACCACGGACCCTCGCTGTCCTGGGTGCCACCGACCTGGTTTCATCGTCTCGGGAGGGGAGGGAGCGCGCGGCGGTGGCCCGTGGGGCAGGGAGCGAGCCCAGCGCAAGGCGGAGCTCACGGCCTGCCTTCGTAGGGAGACACGAGCTCGCTGCGTGCCCTCGGCGAGCTACTTCGCCCCTCTGGGCTTCAGTTTCCCGCTGCCTGTAGGAGCTGAACCCCCAGGTGGGACGCAGTCTGCGCCCCCGAGCTGGTCCGGCCCGAACCCCGACATGGACACTGAGTCGGCAGGGGCTCTGCCTCCAGGTCCCGCAGGAATGACTACCGCTTCCCCAGGGTGCGGGTTCCCATCCTCAAGGCCGACCCCGGGGCCTCCAGGGTCGTACAAGGGGCAAAAAGCCCGGCTGCCCCGCCCCAGCGCCCAGCGCCCAGCGCCCAGCGCCCCGCGCCCCGGACCCGAGCCTGCGCCCCGGGAAAGCCCGGCCGCGGTCACCGCCGAGCATCCGCACCGCACGCGGCAGCCCATTGGCCAGCGCCGACTCTGCAGGGCCGCCCCGCAGCCAATCGCGGCCCAGGGGGCGGAGCTGAGGGCTAGGCCGGATGCTCCGAGCCGCTGCAGGCAGACCCTGCCCGGGCCCCTCGGCGGCGGCGGCGGCGGCGCGCAGGTGACAGCTGAGGCCTACCATGCAGGAGCCCCTGCTGGGTGCCGAGGGCCCGGACTATGACACGTTCCCCGAGAGCCCGCCCCCTTCGCTGGGGGAGAGGACGCGGGTCGGGTGAGAGTTGCTGGGCTTGCGGGCTGCCGGCGGGGGGCGGTGGGAGCTGCTTTCCCCGTTGGGCCTCCGCTGACCGTCCGGGGGTGGCCAGCAAGGGGCCATCTGGTTCCCTCCTGCCCCAGGGACGCTAGCCCTATTTAAGGGGCTGGCTGTGTGACGACCCCCCAAGTCCTCCGGTGCCAGGCCCGGCCCCCGGCTGGCACAGACCAGGAGCCGGAGGCCAGAGCGCGCTAAGGGCTTGCCTGAGGCCACCGCGCAGCAAGCCTACGGGGGCGATGCCGAGAGCAGAGACCAAGCGGCCTCCTTGGAGAACAGTCCCCCTGCCCCCAAGCCTCAGCCACAGCCGTGGGTCATGAGGGCTGCTCGGCGCCCTGGGGCTTCCCCGAGAGAGCTGGCCCTCGGGCCCGGGGAAGCCCCCGTCTTACGGGCCCTGCCCGGCACTGCCCCCTGACCCCCCCGAGTCCTCCGGTCCCGGGCCCAGCCCCCAGCTGGCTCAGACGGGGAGACTGAGGCCGAGAGTGCCTCCCTGCACTCAGGACAGGCAGCGGACCGGGGACGGGAGGACTCAAAGACACCCCACCTCTCTGCGCCCACCCCTGCCCCCTCCAGGGCCCTGCAGAACAGGAGGGTGTTCCTGGCCACCTTCGCTGCTGTGCTGGGCAACTTCAGCTTCGGCTACGCCCTAGTCTACACGTCCCCTGTCATCCCGGCCCTGGAGCGCTCCTTGGACCCAAACCTGAGTCTGACCAAAGTCCAGGCATCCTGGTTCGGGGTAAGGGTCGCGCTGTGAGTTCGAAGGGGCAGGGCAGGGGGTGCAAGAACCCCCTGAGCTCTGTCCCCAGCGAGGGACCCCCATTAATCTCAGCCACAGGGCCCCTCCAGGACCCTGGCCTGCCCTTCCCCATACACTCCCGGCTGGGGGGCGGGGGATTGTGGGGAAGAGAGTGAGGCCTGACAACGTCACAGAAATAAAAAGAGGAAGCGAAAGCCGATGGAGAAGGTGTGGGAAGGAGCAGGTGGGGACACGTCCCTTCAGGCCCCCTCCCCGTGGGGCTGAGGGTTCCCCGGCCCCCACGCCCGGAGTGGGGCTGTGGCAGCGAAGCAGATGCTCCCTGGGTGACAGGCGTCTGGGACATCAGCTGCCGTGGAAGGGGTCCCCCCTGGAGCCGGGAGGTCCTGGACGGAGTGGGGGCGTGCACCAAGGGACAGCACAGGCCTTGAGCGTCCCCCAATCCTGGAACCGCGATCTCAGGGGTCTCGAGCCAACAGTCGCAACCTATCAGCTAGGATAACAGTAATGCTCGCTGGGCACCGACCGCTCGCCACGTGCCAGGCCCGTGCGGGGCACCGTTGCGGGAGCTGCGTGGCTCTGGGCCAGCCCCCCGAGGCAGCGCCTCCACCGTCCCCACAATGAGACTCAGACAGACCCAGCAACATGCCCAGTTCGCTGACCGGGTCCTGCTCGCTGTGCTGGACGGGAGGCCCAAGACCCCCGATCTTCAGACGCATGGGGCCTCAAAACAGAGCCTTCCTGCGTGCTGTTACAATGTTAGACTTGTTAACATCAGGCTGGACAAAGCCACTGTGACGCGTCGCCCCACCGCCTCCCCAGAGCAGGGCTCCCTGCGGCGGCACCCCTAATAAACGGCTGTCTACATGCTGCTTGCACACCTCTGGAGACGGGGAGCTCACGGCCACTCAGGCCTGAGGCCTGCCTGCAGCCCGGGCCTGCAGAGCCCTCCTGGAAAAGCGGCTCTCTCTAGGCCCGGGGGGTGGGGGGCAGGGAGTGCCGCGTGCCCAGACGTGCCCACCCTGCCCCCTCTCTGCAGTCCGTGTTCACGCTGGGCGCCGCGGCGGGAGGCCTCAGCGCCATGCTGCTCAACGACCTGCTGGGCCGGAAGCTGAGCATCATGTTCTCGGCGGTGCCCTCGGTGGCCGGCTACGCTCTCATGGCGGGGGCCCGCAGCCTCTGGATGCTGCTGCTCGGGAGGACGCTGACGGGCTTCGCCGGGGGGCTCACTGCGGCCTGCATCCCGGTAAGGCCGGCGCCGTCCACCCTGGGGCCCTCGCAGCCTCAGGAGAGCGCCAACCACCGTTAGACACGGGGTCCCGGCTTCCCAGCCCGTGCCTGCCGGACGGTGGGGTGTGCCTGCTGAGCAGCCCCAGTGCACCCCGACCAGGGGAGCTAATTTTAGGGGCACCTGAGCCCATGTCCCCAGCTGCCCCCATCCCTGGACTCCCCAAACTTCCTACCCCATTTTCTGACAGTCATAGGCGTTGCTCAATTGGAGAAAATCCACATTGAGCAACAGGAAGGAAAGGGAAGTCCCGTCCAGCCACCCCCTGGTGCCTAGACCTTAGCCACCACGCCCCGCACACTGGTCAGTGGCTGGGGCCAGCCCCGCGGGGGGCGAGGACCGCGGGGAGGGGGGCAGAGACCAGAGTCGCAGAGTCGGGCGCCCTCGCTCCTCCCCGCCCTCAGCCTCACACGCCCACGTCAGAGCTGTGTGTTTCCACCCGCTCGACAGCTAAGGAAACGGAGGCCCAAGGTCATGAAGTCAGTCACGATCGGGACCAGAAACCCCACTTCTCTCGTCCCAAGGGCCGCCGGGGGCCGCGGCTGCCCTCCTGGCCCGGCCCAGCGTCCTCACCGAAGGCCGGGCCGGGCGTGTCTTGCAGGTGTACGTGTCTGAGATAGCGCCCCCGGGCGTGCGTGGGGCTCTGGGAGCCACGCCCCAGCTCATGGCGGTGTTTGGATCCCTGTCTCTCTACACCCTCGGTAAACACGCCGGGCCGGCGCCGGCTGGGGGTGGGGGTGGCGGTGGCGGGGCGCCCGGGGCTGACCCGGCGGAAGCGGGAGGGTGGAGTGAAGGGACGCGTCCGGCCACCGACTGCACTTGGCCACCCGCGCTGAGTGTCTCCGGGCGACTTCCCGCCCATCTCTGGTCCCGAAGCCCCACCCTAGCCGGGCGGTGGGGGCCTCTCCTGGGCCCACAGCCTTCACACTGTCCTTTGACAGCCGAATGCTTCCCTCCAACTGTCTGAGGTGGGAAGTCCACACAGAAAGGGGTTAGAGTGCAGCTGGTTGAGGCGGGGCAGGGGTTTGGTGGTGGAGGCCCGGGGTCTTCCGTGGTCCGGCTACCCCTTCGTCACCCTGCTGTGGCCCTTGAGACCCTTCGGGGACCTGGGTCCTGAGCCGGGGGCCAGCAACCCCTGTGGCGGCTCCTCTTCTAGAGCACAGAGGCCTGGGGTAATCAGGGTAGACTTCCCGTAGGAGGTGGCCCAGGGGCGCAGTGGGAGGGGCTCCGTGTCCAGCGGGACCCCAGCCCCTCCCCCTCTCCCGGCCCCCAGGCCTCCTGCTGCCGTGGCGCTGGCTGGCCGTGGCTGGAGAGGGGCCCGTGCTCGTCATGATCCTGCTGCTCAGCTTCATGCCCAACTCGCCACGCTTCCTGCTGTCACGCGGCAGGGACGCTGAGGCCCTGCAGGCGCTGGCCTGGCTGCGCGGGGCCGATGCCGACATCCGCTGGGAGTTCCAGCAGATCCAGGACAACGTCCAGAGACAGGTGCAGCGCCCGCAGCCGCAGGCGGCCGGGGCCTTCCCGAACCTCGCGTGGCCTGGGCCGATTCCTGGGCGAGGGAAGAAGGGAGGCCCGGCCCCTCAGCAGCGCCCCTGTGTCTCCAGAGCAGCCGCGTGTCGTGGGCCGAGGCCCGGGACCCGCACGTGTGCCGGCCCGTCGCCATCGCGGTGCTCATGCGCCTCCTGCAGCAGCTGACGGGCATCACGCCCATCCTGGTCTACCTGCAGCCCATCTTCCACGGCACCGCCGTCCTGCTGGTGAGAGCCCGGCGGCCGCCTGCGCGCCGGGCACAGGCGGGGCTGCCGGGGGCCGGGGCTGTTTTGGGGTCAGGCCCACGTTCTCAGAGCAGCGCCCGCAAGGAAAGCAGACACGTTCCAAGACAAAACGCACAGGGTTGCTGAGAACACCCGTTTCCTGACACGCAGGCCCCCGGGGGCCCTGGACCTGGCTCAGAGCCCTGCGCCCGCGAGGGGAGCCGCTCCCACGCCACCCCCGGCCTCAGCTTCCTCCTCTGCTGAGTGGAGATAATGAGCGTGTGGCCTCAGGGCCTGCCCTGGGCTCAGGGGGAGATGAGATTTGAAGATTGGTGACAGCAGCCCAACCCCTGTCGTGGGCTCCCCCGGGGCGGGGGGCGGGTGACCAGCCCAGGAGCCTGGTGCACAGTAGGTGCTCAGTAGCCCTGCAGTGCCCTCGGGGTAGAGGGGGGCGGGGCGGGCGCGGCAGTCCAGGGTCCTCAGCCCCGGGGGCTTCCTCCCCACAGCCCCCCGAGGACGATGCCGCCATCGTAGGAGCCGTGAGGCTCCTGTCGGTGCTCATCGCGGCCCTCACCATGGACCTGGCCGGCCGCAAGGTCCTGCTCTTCGTCTCCGGTGAGTCCCCTGCCTCCTCCGCAGCCGCCACGTTGTGTCCCCCGAGGCGGGTGCCGAGTGGCTGGGGGCTCCGGGGCGCCCGGGTCGGACCTGCCTCCCCCGCACCCAGCACCGGCTTGGCAGGCAGGGCTGCCCCGGGAGCTGTGCGGGGCCCCTGGGGCCAGCAAGCCGAGGCGCGTGCCCCAGGGGGCGGGGCGAGCCCGGCACCGCGGCCGCCCGGGCGTGCGCTCCGCGTCCCCGCAGGAGGCCCGTCGGCCGCCCGGGCGAGGGCCGCGCCGCCGGCTTCAGGGCGCGGAAGTGCTCCCGAGGAGCAGCCGGCTCAAAGGGCTCCGGCCCCCGGGGGCCACCTCTCTGTCCACAGCCACCGTCATGTTTGCTGCCAACGTGACGCTGGGGCTGTACATCGATTTGGGCCCCAAGCCTCTGGCCCCGAACGTCACCGTGGGCCTCTCGAGTGAGCCCTTGGGGGGCACAGAGCAGCCGCCGGCCATGCCCACCAGCCCCCTCACCCTGGTGCCGCTGCTGGCGACCATGCTCTTCATCATGGGTACGCGGCGGGCGGGTGGGCGGGCGGGGCTGTCGGCGGGGCTGGGCGAGGTGCCGACGGCGACGGCGTGGCTGTGGCCCGGGTGGGGCCCTGAGACCCTGGGCCGCGGGGGAGGGCTCTCTCAGCAGCTGCACCGCCCCTTCCTGCGCAGGCTATGCCATGGGCTGGGGGCCCATCACCTGGCTGCTCATGTCCGAGATCCTGCCCCTGCAGGCCCGCGGCGTGGCCTCGGGGCTCTGCGTGCTGGTCAGCTGGCTCACCGCCTTCGCCCTCACCAAGTCCTTCCTGCTGGTGGTGGTGAGTGCTGGGGGCCGGGCCACTGCGGCCACCGCCAGGGCTGTGCCTCACGAGGGCTTCCCTGTCCTGTCCCCTGGGAGGCCTGCACACGCCCCCCACGTGGAGGCTGGCATAGCTCAGGCTCCTCGGTGACAACAGACCAGCTGGGGGATCGCTTCTGAGAAGTCAGCTGACCTCCTGGGCTGGGAAGCCACACCCACTGCAGGGCAGTTGGGCCTCCTGTCTGGGTGGGCCGTTCGGGTCTCAGCCCACACGGGGTGCCCTGCATACCACCCACAGAGCCCCTCCCGAGCTGAACCCCACATCTGGGCTCCAAGCCCAGCAGCTGGTGGGGTCTCTGAGCCCTGGGGCCCGGCTCAGGGACCCATGGGCAGGAGGCTGAGACAGGCAGCTGAGGCCGTGCCCGCTCAGGGCCAGGCAGGGCCGGGCAGTGGGGTGTGCACATCCCCAGGAGACAGGCACAGGGGGTCGGGGGGCAGGGGGCGGACAGGGATGCCTGAGCTGAGGCAGAGGCCGGAGGGCCGGCTCTGGGCGGAGCCCCCCAGGCAGTGGGGAGACCCTAGGGCCACACCAGAGGAGGGCGGGCGTGGACCTCCAGGGCCCCTGAGACGGCAGGTTTCCCGCTGGAGGCAGCGGGAGCCCCGGGGCTGCAGGCAGAGGAGCGAGTGGGTGGGGCCCCCACGGCTGGCGAGGCCAGCAAGGCCGCCGAGCCCCAGTCCCCATGTGACCACGCGCCCCCTCTCCGCCCCCAGAACGCCGTCGGCCTTCAGGTGCCTTTCTACTTCTTTGCGGCCGTCTGCCTGGTGAACCTGGTGTTCACTGGCTGCTGCGTGCCCGAGACCAAGGGCCGCTCGCTGGAGCAGATCGAGTCCTTCTTCCGCAGCGGGAGGGGGTCCTTCCAGCGCTAGGCCAGGGCGCCACCCACCCGGGGGGCCAGACCACAGCAGCCAGGCCTCCGAGGCGGCCACTGACCTGCACCCGCGTCCGGAGGAGGCAGCGGCCAGCCGTCAGCCACACGCAGGCCGCCAGAGCCAGGGCGGGGCCCCTGAGCATGCCTTCCAGCGCAGGATGGCCAGCAGCACTGTCCGGCTGGGCCCCAGCACAGGCGGCCTGAGGTGCGGCTCACACGTCGGCCAAGACCCACGGGCAGAGGCGGCGGCGGCCACGCCACAGGGGAGCGCATGGCCTGGTCTGCAGACAGAGCCGAGCTGGACGCCCCTTGAAGGGCTGTGACGAGGACAGAGACAGGGCTGGGAGCAAGGGAGCGGCTCCCACAGGGACAGCCCCTGGTCACCCTGTCCTGACCACTTGGCTGCCATCAGGCACCACGGCTGCGGGGAACAGGCAGGATCTGCCCCTGGGGACCTGCGAAGGCCATAGGCAACGTGCCCGACGCCCCCTGGCCAGCGCACGGGACCCCAGCCAACACTACTCCTGCCCCATCCCGGCACCTGAGACTGGGCCCCTGAGCGCCCCCGTCTGCAAGCCGCGTGCCCCTTAATCATGAAAATAAATTGGAGTTCTGCTGAGGGAGCCCCCCAGCCGGGTGAGCGCCACGTCTTCAGCCGAGGTAGCCCGGGCCTGCTGCCCCCATATGGGTACCCCGACCCATCCACAGAGGTGGACAAGAGCAGGTTGTGCGGCCACGGAGTCAGCCCTGCCGGGCAGGCCCCGCCCCTCCTGGCTGCAGGCCGGCAGCCCTGCCGCTCCCCCGAGGCAGAGCACACGGGCACACAGGCTGCCACCGGGCTTTATTGCTCAGGAGTCAAGGTGAACACAGAGCAGAGGAGGACGGGGAGCAGACAGAGCCAGACACGTCGGGCGGGAGGGGCCTGGTCCCAGCCGCCCGGCCCGTGCTCCAAGCAGGGCAGGGCCCCCGCTGAGAGCCAGGGTCGCCCGCTCCAGGGCTGCTCTTGTGAGCCCGCTGGGGACCCCGGCCGAGTGGCCTGCGGCTCTGACCTGTGACAGGGCTGCAGGGCCCGGCCAGCTCTGCGGCCCGCCCAATGTCCGCCCCGGGAAGGGGCGGCCTTCCGCCACACACAGCCCCCCGCAGCAAGGACGTCTGTGGGCAAGTTCCCAGGAGCAGGGGTGGCCCCGGGCCCGTGTCCCAGGCAGGAACAAGCCAAGAGGGGCGGCAGGGCCCCTGCTCCCCGGGGAGGTAGACAGGTCTCGGTCACAGCACACGTGGGAGAAGACACGCACACGCACACCAATGCACACGCACACCGCCGGCCCGGAGCCCACAGCCCTGGCCCGAGGACGCTGGCCCCAGGGGACCCCGAGGACATGTGTCGCACCACCCCGGCCCCATGGCAGGCCCTGGGCCCGGCCTGGGCAGCTCCCCGGGGAGCTGCCGCTGAGTGGGACCCACGGGTGCCCCGGCAGCACCTGCCACTCGCAGCCCCAAGCGGGGAGGAGGGCCCCTGGGAGGCCACGCTGCAGGCGCAGCCCCGGGACTGGTGTCGGCACCAGACGGGACCCCGAGCCCTGGGGGCGGGCACTGGGCCCCAGCGGAGGTGCTTCCACACCGGCCCGTTCCAGCCAGGCCCCGCCAGACACGCCCGGGGTCAGAGCGTGTGGCGGGCCAAGGCCAGGAGCAGGAGGACACCACCGGCGCGGGAGGAGCCAGCGGGAGATGAAGGCACAGGTCCCGAGGGGGCCGGCCCCGCCCCCAGCCTGGCACCTGGGGCATGGGGACAGCAGCCTGCCCGGCGCTCAGAAGGCTGGGGAGGGCCAAGCTCATCGGCTCCTGACAGGGCCTGACCCCCGACTTCCTCAGCACCGGGGGGAGGGCAGAGGGGAGGGCCTGGGGGGCTGGCCAGGCCGCGGGAAGTGTCCTGTGCAGGTTCTGGAGCACCAGTAGGGGGGCGCACTCCACCTGGTCGTTGGGCTGCTGCCAAGGCTGCTCTTCCCGGGGTCCCAGAGCCGCGTGGGGGCGCCCGTGGAGGGGAGCGTGGTGGGGGGCAGCGGGCAGAGCGCACACCCCCAGGACCCTGCTGTGCCCTGACGGTGGGTGGGCAGAGGGGGGCCCAGGTGGCTCAGCCTACAGGGGGCCCAGCCCCCCACCAGGGGACAGAACCCACGTCGCCAGAGGAAGGCCCTCCCAGGCCCTCAGGGGGTCCCCGGTGGTCCTGGCAGCTGTGGAAGCCAGGAGACCCGCCCAAGCCACGCCAGGCCGCCCGAGGCTCACGCTGCCCACCGCCTCGCTGTTGCGCAGAGCCCTCGCCCCAGCCCCTCTGCAGCTGGGGGCCGGAGACGCCCACCTGGGGCAGGGGGCAGGCAGGGGGCCTCCGGGTCGGGGGACGGGGCGGGGGAGCCGCTGGGAGCCCGGTACAGCGCCCCCCTCCCGGCCGCCCCCAGGCCCCGGCGCAGGCCCTGCCCTGCCCCGCCCCGCGCGGCTCCCACGGCCCCGGGGCGCAGGCCCCCAGAGCCGCCTCACAGCTCCCCCTCCAGGGTCTCTGCGAGCTTCTCCTCCTCCGCCTGCTGCCTCTGCTGCTGGATCCGGGCGTAGGCGATGGCGTCCCCCCTGCGGGGAGAGCGCGGCGTCAGGCACACAGCCCTCGCGGCCCTGGCCCGATGGCCGCCAGCGGCCCCGCTGTGACCCACCGGCGGCCTGCGGGGCCTTCCGGTTCCCTGGAGAGCCTGCAGCCCGGGTGGTGAGGACGGTCTCGTCCACTCTAACGGCGGCACAGGCTGCCAGGGACGCCGGGCTCTGCGAGGGAAGGCAGCAGCGGCCCGCGCGTGGGTGCGGGCCTGGACGGGGGAGGCTCTCACGAGCCACGTCTGCCACCCCGGCTCCAGGCTGTGACGGGGCCAGGCTGAGCCACCAGGCCATCCCACGGGTTCTCCCGCCTCATTCCCTGAGCTGAACACCCTCAAGATACAGGCTAGCCACTGACGACCTCGTGCCTCGGTCCCCCGGCTGGCTGCCAGGGGCCACCCTCAGACCGCCCTCGCCGAGAGAGGCAGGAGGCCGGCGGGATCGGCCCCCGGTCCCCCGCCCCCCGCGCCCCGCAGGCCAGGCCGGCAGACGCACTTCTTGCCCAGGGCAGAGAGGCCATACAGCACTCCGGTGGCGAAGGCGATGGCGTTGCCGAGCAGCGTGGTCAGGGTCAGGCTGATGATGATGGGGACGATGGCCATCCTGGGAGAGAAGCGGAGGTCAGGGGACACGTCCAGCCGCGGCCGCCATCCCTCCTCCAGGCCCCTCCCCGGCCGGGCCTCCGACGCCCCAGACGCCGGGACGCGTCTGCCAGACTGCGCTGTCTGGGGAGACGACCCAAAGCGTTCACAGGTTTTTATAAAGGTCTGTGACCCCAAAAGGCTGGTTGGGCTTCCCACTGCCCTGCCCCTCGCCAGGCAGAGCGGGGCCCCGGTCAGCCCGTCCCTCCGCAACCCCGCGGCTGCGGCAGCCCCTTTGCTCCTCCGAGGCTCCGTCTGTCCCGTGGGCTGGGGGCCAAGCCTCAGAGGTTTCCAGGCTGGACAAGGTTAAGCACCTTAAGTCGTTCACGACAAAGGCACCAAGTAAGCACCAGCCCCATCTCAGCAAGACAGACCCCAGGATGCAACTGCGGAAGGCAGGGCCGAGGCCGCGCCGCGGATGCCTGTCCTCGGCTGGTCTCCGCTGCAGCCTGGCGCCACCTGGCGGCACGAGTCACCTGGGGCGGAGGCACCCGCGGGCTGACCCTTGATCCCGGGGTTCCAGTGGCAGCGATGGACGTGAACTAAGCCAGGAAAACACTAGAGAACATTCGGCCCCCACACGTGCCCCCCACCTCCCCTGCCCACACACGCCCTGCGCAGAGAAGGCAAGACAGCAGATAAGGCTGCACTGGGGGCGGAGAAGGGGGCCTGACCAGCCGAATTCCACCAGGATTTCCAGTCTGGCTGAACAGGTGACCAGGAGGGCTTACTGGACAGTTGACCCTTGGACAACGCTGGTTTGAACTGCGCATGCCCACACGTATGTGGGTTTTTTCAATGAACATGATTTTAATCAGTTTCTTTAGCTTCCTTTTTGTTAGATTACAGTACATAATACCTACAACATATAAGCGAGTTAATCGACAGTTTATGTTATCGATAAGCCTTCCTTCCGGTCAACAGCCTGCGATTAGAAGTTCAGCTTCTAGGGAGTCAGAAGCTGACTCGGGCTTCCGGCTGCGGGCGGCCCCGATCCCGAGCCCCTCAAGGGCCAGCCGTGGTCATAAATGTCTGAGCGAGGAAAGAGTAACAGAAGCTGCAAAGGGAAAAAGACCCCGGGGGGGATCTGTCAAACTAAAGGCAAACAACAGGCCAGAAAAGTGTTTGCAGTACATCCAGCGAAGGATTAAGAGATCTTTGATACAGAGACACACAGAACTTACTAAGTTTGAAGCACAAAATGCCAACAGGTGAAAAGTATACCAGATCGTTTCCAGAAAAGAAAACGCAGTCAGTGAAAAACCCAGAAAAAGGTTCGCCCTCTGGGAGCGGACAGGCGTGCAAAGCGGCGCACGGCGCGGCCGGGGTGCCTGGCGGCCTCCTCCCTGCAAAACTCTACCGTTGCCCACTTAGGTCTAAGCAGTCCAAGCCTTGGACCCTGTAACTGCGTGCCTGGCCACCTGTCCTAGGATGTCAGCGCGGGCACAGGGAGTGTGGGCGGAGCCGCCCGCCCCGCTCGACGGGGACCACGGCTCCGGCCCAGGGCAGCGCGCCCCACGGAAGCCGGGCTCCTGGCACTGAGAGCCATCCCAGCGGGTCTCTGTGCCAGCGCCGAAACGCTGCGATCATGGTCCTAAGTGAAAAAGAGCAGGGTGTAAATTTGCTTATAATGGTTGAAACTGTGTGAGAACAAGTTTCAGCAGATCCTTGGAGACACGCGGAGAGACATGCAAAAGACGCAGCAAAACAGCGACAGGAGGCAGGGCTTCAGGCGGCAGCTTTCTATTTTCCAAATTATTATTTTTTAATTTTTTCTTTTTTCACCCTCACCCAAGGATACATTTTTTATTGATTTTTAGACGGAAAGGGGGAGAGAGATGTAGAAACACTGATCTGTTGCCTCCCATAGGCACCCGGCTGGGGATCGAACCCACAACTTTTGGGCATCAGGATGCCACAGCAACCCACCGAGCCGCCCAGCCAGAGCTTTCCGAATTATTTTTAATGAAGATGTGTGACTGCTGGCATTTAAAAAATAAAGACCAGAGCCAGGGACACTCAGCCGCACAGCGTTCTCTGACCCTGCAGCCTAGGTTTGGGGTCAGCGGCTCTAGAACAGGGCACGCACCTGAGCCCCGCCCCAGCCGCCAGGCCTGCGGGATGCAGGGGGGCGGTGGCGGGCAGGGCAGACCTGCTCAGGACGACCCTCTTCTCTGCCCTGAGTGCAACCCAGACAACAGCGACGCTCCCCCGGCCTGCTGCCTCCCGAAGCTGCGGGAGCCTCCCAGGCGCCAGGCGCTGCTCCACCAGCCCCCGCGCATCAGGCGCGCCCTGAAGCCCGTGCACCCAGTGACTCGGACGGGAGGCTTGCAGGGGTGGCAGGAGAAACAGGCCCCGGAGGGGAGCAAGGGGGCGGCGCTGCTCTCGGCCCCGCACCCCGCTCCCCGCTTCGTGCCAGGGCGCCCAGGCGACCTCGCCCTGGGAAGGCTGCACGGCCGCTCAGCGCACATGCGCTGGGATGTGTGAACCGTCGGGCTGAGGGGCCGGAAGCCAGCGCTTCCCATTCTCCTCTACGACACCCGACGCGGGGAGGCGCCTGTGGCTCCCAGCAGAACCGTGCACGCGGAACGGGGGTCCCTTCTCATAGCAGCTGCCAGGTGACACACACCAAGGTACCCGGGGAACCTCCACCAGGAGGGGGCGAGCGCACGGTCCCCGCCCCCCGCCCATGCCACCACCGCCCTCACGGCACCCCGCCCCCCAGCAGGCAGGGGCGGGGGGGCCCTCACCCGCAGTAGAAGACGGCCTTCTGCCAGGAGCGCAGCCGGTCCACCTTCGCGGCCACCGTGTTGGCGAACTCGACGAAGGAGCAGCAGAAGGGCGCCTCGCAGAGCAGCAGGACGAAGGCGTTGGCGCTGCGGGCGGGCGAGAGGGGCGCGGCTGACCAGCTGGCCCCGGCCGGCACCTCGCCACTGCCCGCCGCGCGCCCGCCCGCCCGCCCGCCGCCACCGGGACCGAACGCAAGGCCCCTCAGGGGGCATCTGGGTCTCCCCTCTGCCCTGCCCGGCTCTGAAGGGGGAGAACGCCGCCCCCGCCAGCCCCCCCTCGCTGGGCGGCAGGGCTGCTGTCGTCACCAGCAGCCCCAGCAGCTGCGACCGCTGCTCCTGGGGTGCAGGGACCAGAGAGTGGGAGCAGGCCAGGTGGCCCGCGGACGGCCCAGGGAAGCCCGCACTTTGGGGGAGCTCAGCGAGCCCTTTGTGGCCCACGCCCAGGTCAGGGGGCAGCCCAGCCGCGGGGTGTCTGCCCCGGCTCCCTACTCTCTGCGCTTGGGTCACAGTCACAGACCCTGAGCCCCCCGCCCACCTCCAGGCCTAAGGGAAGGCTCCCGGGTACCCTCGTGTGACAGAGGCGCGGATTCTGGGCGCCCCAAAGCCCGCCGATGCCCCCTCACCCTGAGCAGGGATCCTTCGCACCGCTAACGAGGCCCTCGCCCCGACCCCGGCCTGGGCCAGGCCTCCCAACTTGACGGTCACCCGCCCGCTCTTTCTCCTCGGAGGGCCCAGTGCCTCCCCGCGGCCGGCCCCAGCCCTGCGGCCTCTCCGGCCCCTGCGCCCCACCAGAGCGAGCTCCCAGGCCTCACCCACCCGAGCTCCCCAAGGGCAGGGCCACGCTCACCCTTCTCTGTGCCCTCCCAGGTCGGCCCCGGCCCCTGTGCCTGGGCCGCATGCGCCACAGCCTGAGCCACGCGGCCAGCTCTCAGCCCTCCCTCCCCTCCTCCGGACCGAGGGGCCCGACAGGAGGTGGGCGAGGGCCCCTCCGGGCCTGCTAAGGCCTGGCCCCACGCTGGCTCCAGCCTGCTCTGTCTGGGCCGGCCCCTGAGCTGGGTCCCCCGATCCCAGCACCTGACTGGCCCTGGCGGCCTCAGGCGCTCCCAGAGGCAAGGCCCAGGGCAGCGGGTTCGGCGCAGACTCGGCAGCCACTGGGTGGACGTCGGCGCCCCGGGCCCCCGGCCCTCACAGGGACCGGAGGGCTGGGCTCGAAGGGGGTGGCGGCCCGCGCAGGGACCCGAGGCCCGGGCCCCGCACCCGCCCAGCAGGCCGGGCCCTGCCTACTCACATCATCCACACGCCGGCCGCGATGTTCAGAGGGTGGACGGTGATGCAGTTGAAGAGCCCGGAGACAGCGCAAGCTTGAAAGCAAGAGACACGGCAGGGTCAGCAGGGAGGCAGGGGCCGGCCGGCGGCGGCCAGTGCCAGCAGAGCCGCTCCCAACGCCCCGGGCTCGGTTCCTCTCGCGGCGCCCGGCGGCCTCCTCTCTGCCGCCAGAGGCTGGGGGGCCGGCAGGGCCGCTCCAGGTGGCAGGGGAGGAGCGCGGTGGCGCCGCGGCCCGGGCGGGACGGCTCTCGGCGGGGAGGCCCCAGGGCCCGCTGAGCCCCACCGGGACCAAGAGCGACACCACGGGACGGTGCCGCCGCGAGAGTCTCTCCAGGGCGGTGGCCCCACCCCAGGGCCGGCCACACGAAGGGTCCCTGTCACTCAGGAGACATGGCATGGCTTTTGGTTGGGACGAGGGCTGCCTCCCTCGGAAAAGAAGTCCGGACCAGGCAGGCGTGGATCACAGCCCCGGCTCTGACCACGCGGCAGCCCCGGCCTCGGTCAGGGCTGCACTTGGCCTCCTGCACATGGGCTGGGCCCCGCCCACCCCGAGACAGCAAGGGGTCCCGTCGGGGCGGGGGGGCCCTCTCTTCAGCCCCCGAGAGTGGCTTCTCTGATGTCCCAAATGTGGAGCTTTGCCCACCCCTCCCGACGGCACCGAGGGGCAGGGCCTGCCACACGTGCCTCCCTTGTCCACCCGCCGCCCGCAGCCCAGCTTCCCCGGGAGTGTGCAGGTGCGGCCAGGCCGCAGCCGCCAGGTCATTAAACTTGCAGAGCTTCCGTGCACCTGAGCCCCGGCGCGGCCTGGAATCCTGGTTTCCCGTGTAACCCTATGCAGATGGCAGGCAGTGGGGGCGGAACCCAGGCGAAGGGAGCCCCGGCTGCAGTGGGACCACCCTCGTGTGCCCCCCAGACCTGCCCATGTGACAGGTGCACCTGCTGCCTACCACCCCGGCGGCACGTGTCCAGGGCATGTCCCGTGCACATGCAGGCAGCGAGTGCCCAGGGCCACGGAGGTCGACGCCCTCCGACGGCACCACAGGCCTGCACACTGAGCCAGCGCACCTGACAGCCCCCGCCGCCCCGACAGCCAAGCGTGGGGAGGACTCGGTTTCAGCACAGCCAAACACTCAAGGGCTAGAGGGTGTCCCTGGCCCAGGCTGAGTGAGGGAGGTGCCCAGGCAGCCGTCTCCTCCCAAGGATGGTCAGGACCCCGAATAACCGCCCCTCTGAGGCCCCCACCCCCAGGGACTGGCCAGAGGCCCAGCCCTTAGTTCATCTGTGAAACCCCTGCCTGCTCCGCGCTCTGCCCTGCGACAGACTGCAGCTGACCCCTGAGCAACGCGCGGGTCAGGCCAGCCGACCCCTACGTGACCGAAAATCTGAGTATAACTCTGGACCCCCCCAAAACGTTACAGTCGTCCCTCTGTGGGACTGGTTCCAGGACGCCTTGGGCACCAAAACCCACAGGCGCCCAAATCCCTCATGTACAATTACACAGCGTAGTTGGCCTTTCACGTCCACAGACCCAACCACGATCGAAAATGCCGTCTTCAACCTGTGGCTGGTTGATTCCGCAGACGCAAAACCCAGGGATGCACAGGGCCCGCTGCTTATTTGTTGAAAAACACCCACGCGCAAGTGCACCCATGTGGTTCCAGCCTGTGTTGTTCAAAAGCCAACTGTATCTGCTGCTCACCTGGCAGTCCCCTCCCCCCAAACCTGCAGGTGAAACTCATTCCGGGCAGTGCGGGGGGGGGGGGGGGGTGCACCACGGGCCTCTCCTGCAGCCTCATCTGCAGCCCCCACACTATGCCTCCCCCTTGGAGGAGCACAGAGCTAGACGGCAGGCTGGGGTACGCAGGGGGCCAGCAGGATGAGGCCCCCAGGTCAGCCAGGACGTCCCTCCTCCCACACTGACTGCTGTCACTCCCGCCTCCGGCAAACAGCCAATCAAATTTGAGAGGATCGTGTGGGAGCGCTTCCCTCAAGCCCCTCAGCCTGTCCAACAAAGTCAAGGGCGAGCTCAATATCCGTGCAGGATCAGGGGCCTCCCGGGATTCCCTGCGCCCCCGAGGTTCTTCCCTCCACCACCTGGTAGGGCTGCGGGGCAGGAAGGGAACCCCGAAAACGGACTCCTGCTGGCGGACGGGGTCAGCGCCTGCCCTGCCTGCCCGCAGCCCGCTGTGCCAGGCAGGTCCTGCTCAGACCCCGTCGGCTTCTTGGGAGTGCCCTTTCCAAGGCTCCTGGCTGTGCCCTCAGCCACTCCCGTCACTGACAACGTTAAGGGCAGCAGGGCACTCAAACGGGCTTCTGTTTGCCGTGAGGCGACCTGCCACGAGATCTTTATTTTCCCACTACAGCGGATGCCTTCCTATTTGGGGGCACTCGCGCTAAAACGGCCGACGTCTCCGAGGACCGGGGCCGGCTGTGTCGCGGGCAGGGCCAGGGATAGGAGCGGAGGTGAGAGGCGACGAGGCGGAGTGGACAGCAAAAGGCTCGCACTGCCGCCTGCCTCGGCTCGGCACCCGGCCCGGCCTTGGACGCCACCTGGCCCCTCGCAGCACCTGGCCCTCGGGCAACGCCCGCACAAAGAGAGGTGAGCGCGGCTGCCGCCCCCCCCAGCTCCAAGTCAACAGGTGCGGCAGCCTGGGGCCAGGCAGGGCCGGGTCCCGCAAGCGGCCTCGGGCAGTCTCGGAAAGCCCCGCAGCCGGGCCGCGCTGCCGGCCCCACTTTCCGGGCGGCGCGGAGGGGCAGTGCCGGGGCCGCGCCGAGCCCAGCGCTCCCCGCGGGAGCTCAGGTTCCCTCCTGGAACGTCCCCAGAGCAGTCAGCCCAGCCCGGAAACCCGGAGCTTCGGCCGCGGGACGGTAACCATAGCAACCGCCCCGGCGGCGCCGCCGCCGCCGCGGTGTCCCGCGCGGGACCCACAGACCCCAGCCCAACAGTCCCGCTCCGCTGGGGCGCGCATGCGCATGGGGCTGCGGGGACGCCCCTCGCCGGGCCGGGTACTCACACACGGCCCCCAGCACCCCCGACAGACGACACAGCCAGCGGTACCACCACGTCATGCCCTCCTCCTGCGCGGGCGGCGCGGAGCCACTGGCGGCGGCCGCCGCCCCGCCCGAGCCGCTCATGGTGCCGCTGACCGGCGCAGCTCACTACCCGCACAAAAGGCTCCCGAGCCGGCCGCGTCGGCCGGCGCGCTGCCTTGTGGGAGAGGCGGACGCTCTTTAGCATAGAGGGCGGAGCCTAACGAGGTTCTCGCGCTCCTTAGCATAGAGGGCGGGGCTCGCAGGGCCGCGGCGATTCGCTCCCTTGGGGCTCCTCCTTATTAACATAGGGAACTGATTTCGTCGGCGCCGAGTTCCCGGGGGACTCAATGGGAGTAACCTGCCAGATGGGATTAGCATAGGGGCGGGACTTCGCAGAGAAAGAACAGGTACGGCCGGCAGCAGCGCGCAATCGGGACTCCGCACTCCCAAGGCGAGCGGTCGTGAACCGGTCTGGAGCTTGACCGCGGCCAGGGGATCCCCGCCGTGCTGTGCAGGGGGTTTTCAAGCCCGTTTTGGACACGTTATGCGAGGAAAACGCCAGTCAGACTGCACGTTCTGTTTATTGGTACCCAAAGGGCTGGAGCTGCCTTTCCGGAGCGTCCCCTACCGCTTTGCACGTCGGAGGAAGTGCTAAAGACGATAGTTCAGATTGGATGGAGTTCAATTGGGAAAGCACTCCGGAGCCGGCCGGGCACCTGGCAGGTGCTCATCGATATCTGGTTGCCTCCGTTCCCTTCCAGAGCCGGCTGAGGGGTGTGTGCGGAGCGATCGCTAGGGCAGGGCACTGAGGGGCTCCCGCGCTGCAGGTTGGAGTGTCCAGTACTGGCCCTGCAGGCGGGCATGTGTTTCCAGGAAGCCCTGGCTGAACTCCATCTCAGCCTGGCTGCCCTCTGACTCCCAGTAGAGCGCCTGCTGCCCGCGGAACGTCATCGTTTTCAGACTGTGGATGTCCCGGATCTGGGGGGAGAGGGGCAGCCCCGAAGGGCCGGCCACAAATGAGACCTGGCTCGCGTCCATGGAGCCCTCCACAAACCAGGCATCGCACACACCGGCTCACGCTTAATCCTTGCACCAGCCCCATCAGGAGGACACCCTTTTCCTACCCAGGAAACGGGCTCAGAGAACTCATGCCACTTCCCCGAGGACACACAGCTGGGCCGCCAGAGCTGCGGCCCGAGCCCAGGGCGGTCAGATTGCAGAGGCCAGGCCGCCTCCCCGGGAGGAGCTGATATTTTGCAGAGGACGAGTCTCAGAACATGTGAAACCTCCAGGTGGGAGAGGCTGGCCCCTCCTCTGGCAAAGCTCTATCAGGCTCCAAACCTAGGTCTCTTCAGTCCCGGGCTCACTGGCCGTCTACAGCAGAGAAGGTTCTCTTTCCCTTCTGTGGCTAGCTCGAGGCACGTGTGTTGGTGAATGAGCGGAGGAAGTGCTTTTCTCCCATTCTTTCTCTAATTTTGAGGGTTTTAGTCTGAGGTAAACGCGAGGGTTTCTCTCGCCCAGCACCCCAGTTCCTGCCCCGGGGGCCGGCTGTCCAGAACCAGCAAAAGTCAGCCCATTCCGGTCACCACCCTGGTAGCCTCACCGAGATGTAGCCGGCATCCGGTCCCGCGGTCCCAGGGCCCACGCCGGTGGCCAGGGCGCGGATGGCGATGCGGGCCCACGGGGCCACGTCGAGGAAGATGCGGCAGCCCCCCACGTGTCTCCCGTCTGGACTCATCTGTGGGCTCACAATTTCACCCCGGGGGCCAAAGAGCTGCGTGTCACATGCTGCAGGGGAGGGCAGGTGGGTGGACTGGGTGTGGGCACAGGGGCCCCCGAAAGGCCAGTAACTACCACCAGAGGCCGGGGCAGCTCACAGCCGGGGGGTCTGTGAGGGGGCAGCACGGTGCTGTGGTCGAGATGAGGACTCCCGAGCGGAAGCCCCCACTGAACCTCCCCTCTGCCGTGTGACCCTAGGCACAGGCTTTAAGCCCTGAGCTTCCGCTCCTCCCTCTCTAAAGGGGAGGTGACAGGAGCGAACACTGGGCTGGGCAGTTGTTAGGAGGACCCAGCAAAGCTGCCCGTGCGGAAGCGCCCGGCCCTGAGCCTGGCGCAAGGAGGGCCCCGACCCGCCCGAGCCGCCGCCAGCACCTCCTGGGCCCCCCTGGGGCAGGCGCCAGCGCAGGGGCGGCGGAGGCGGGGGTGGGGGGTGGTGAGCAGCCACCAGAGGGCGAGCGGCCAGGCCCAGGACCACGCGGCACCTGCACAGCGTCAAATCCCCGCGGGGGAAGAAGCCCCCTAGTGTCCCGCTTCCCTGCGAGGCCTGGGGTGGGGACCCAAGAACCGCTGGAACCGGCTGGGGAAGCCACCTCCCGCCGGCCTGGGCCTTTGGGATGGGGCAAGCGGGGTCCCTGGGGCGCCGCCCTCTGCGCGAGGTCTGCGTGTGCGCACTCGTGTGCAAGTGTGCACACGCCCTGCTCCGCGTGCGGGGGATGAGAGGCGAGGGCTGTGCTCGGGGACAGGGCTGGGGGATAGCGGCTCACGGAAGCGTCCGAAAGGGTCTTCAAGGACCTGAGCGCCAGGGCCAGGGCCAGGGCAGGGGCGTGGTGGCCTGAGGGGCGGGAGACGATGTGGCCGGAGCCCCCTCTGCCCCTCTTGCTGAAGGGTCCCGCAGAGGAAGGGGCCTGGCCTGGTGCTGACCGCTCGTGCAGACCACCACTGGCCCGTGGGTGGGGATGGTGGGCACGGTGGGGCTGTCCAGGGGGGTCCGGCCTCTTCCACCCCCGTCTGCCTCTCCCGGGCCCCGTCCGCGGGCAGCGGCGCCTGCCTAGCTGGCCGCGGGGGTGGGGGCTCCAGCGCCGCGCCGTACCTCTGTGGAAGGTTCTCGGGGCCGGCCGGCTGGAATAGCGCAACAGCACTCCACCTCCCGGCCGCGCGCGGCGCTGCCTCACCACCAGGGTGTTGGCTTTGGAACCGAACGTTGCGCCGGACAGCTTCCTGCATGTCCTCCTCCACGTGAGCCGGCCCCAGAGCAGCAGCATGTCCCCTAGGAAGCGGCGGCGCAGTGAGGGTCCAGCTCCCCGAGTCCAGGTCGGCAGCGCCCCATCCCCGGTGTTGGTGAGCTGGGTTCGGTCCCGACCCTCCCACCCCCGGCCGGGGCCCACAGGGCCCTAGACATACCAGCGCTGCAGTTGAGGGAGCTCTCGAGGACTTGGAGGGTCACCACCTCACCCAGGGGCCGCCCGATGGCCACCGCACAGTCCGCCTGCCCGGGGCCTCGCAAGTCAATAGCTCCCGCGGGCTCAAGGAGCTGCCGACCACAGGGACCTGGACAGAGAGCGGAGTGCAGGCCGGGGCCAGGGGGCGTCCCTCGCAGGGGAAGGGGCTGAGCCGCAGGGAGCTGAGGTCCCCCCAGGCCCAGCCGGAAGCCTGCTCAGGTCCGGGGTGCGGGCTGCAGGGGTTGGACGTCACCACCCAGGGCACAGGGCCATTTCTGGGTGCTCCGGCGAGGAGGCCGTGTGTGAAGGGGCGCCGGCCTTGGGTCACGGGCCGGGGTCTGACCGGAACCTTCGGGTCAGCTCCCCGATGATAATGAGAGTGAGCTCGCCCTTGGCCGGTGAGCCCGTCCCTTCAGCCCAGCTGCACACCCCCCGGCGCCCCAGTGCTGCGGCCACAGGGCAGCCCCCTGCACAGCCCCACAAGGGCCTCGTTGTCCCAGGCCTCCCGGGTGCGGGCGCCTGTCGCCCCGCCCACAGCCCGCCAGCCGCCCGGGCAGGGAGGAGGAGGGGACGTACTGGATTCTGCAGGGCTGTCCCGGGGCCCCGGCGGGGGCCCCTGAGTCTGGGGAGCAGGGGAGAGGAGGCGGGCCCAGGGCGGGGGCCGCTCCGGGGAGGCAGCAGTGGGGCCAGCTGGGTTCTGTCCTGGGGCAGCGGCTTCCTCTTGGGGCGCCACGCTGGGCGTTCCCCGCTCTGCACAGGGCCCGGCCCAGCAGCCCCGCACCGTCGCGGGCTTGGGCAGGTGCCGGCAGAAGTCGGCCGGCACGGGTCCCTGGGCCCGGGGTCCCTGGCAGGTGTCCCGCCGGCGCTGGACGCCATCCCCACAGGAGACGGAGCACTGCCGGAACGAGGGGAAAGAGCTGGGCTGTCCCTTACTGAGCATGACAGGAACAGGTGGCCATGGGCCAGGCGTGAACTGATACAATCTTTGCACAGCGCTGTGGGCGGGGGCCCGCCCCCATTCTACAGATGGGGAGACCGAGGCGCCGAGAGGTTACCGTGCAGGAGTCACATGGGGCGGAGGGGCAGGCATTCAAACTCAGGTCCCTGTCTGCCACCCTTGAGCCCCTTTGCCTTTCCAAGCCTGAGAGCAGGGACCCGGGGGCACGGCCTCCTCCCCCTCTGTCCGCCCTGCCCCGCCCGGCCCGAGCCCGGACAGCCCCAGCCGGGGCAGCCACCTGCCTCGCCTCTTCCCTACCCCCAGAGCGAGGACTCAGCCCTGTTGACGGCCGCCTTCCCGGGGCCTTGCGAGGCGCTGGGCCCGGGGTGGCACCTGCTTGTTGAGGGGAGCTGAGCCATCTGCCCTTCACCTGCCCGCGCCTCCAGACCTCGGTGCCTCCTGAGGCCCAGCTGCCCTCTGTGTCCCTCAGTCCCGCTGCCTTCCACCGCGAGGTGCCCCGACCGTCCCCTCCCCTACACACTCAGCTCCTGTCTCCTTTCAGCGGTCACACGACCCAAAGCTCCCCAGGGCCCCCGCGTGCGGGGACCCTCCGCCCCAGGGGCCGCGCTCACCTGCGTCCAGGCGCTGACGTGCCACCGGTAGGCGCAGTCGGCAGCAATGCAGGGGGTGCTGGCCTGCGGCCGCGCCAGACCCGCACACTCCGCGCCGTCCACCTCCACGTCTTGGCCTCGGTCCGGCCGCACGCAGGCCACGGAGCGGGTGGCCGTGCCGAGGCCACAGCTGGCTGAGCACGGGCCGAGGGACGTGACTTTCCACCTGCAGGAAAAGACCCCAGAGAGGGGCTGGGCCTCCCCGCGCCTCCCGCAGCGCAGCACCGCCCCAGGCCCCGTGGACGGCCAGCCCCACAGGCTCCGGGGCCCTGCGCCCTCCTGTCTGCTCCCCGGGCTCGCTGGCCGGGGGAGGGTCCTGCAGGAAAGACACCTCTCTGGCCGGCACCAGGCGCCCTCCCCGGGGGTCCCCATCATCACGCAGCCCCCCGCTGACAACCACAGAGCCGCGTGGGGTCCGAGCCGCAGGGGCGGGGAACACGCCCAGCAAAAGGGGAAACATCTCCGCTTCGCTCCGCCCTGCCCATCTTCCTCTGCTACCCTTCAACGGAGGGCAAGGCCGGCCGTGGCGGAGTGGGGACTGAGCGTGCGCAGCCTGGGGTCCTCGCGGCGCCCCGTGCCGTCCCCGCGGCCCTGAGCAGCTGCGGCTGCCGCGCCCACCCCACGCCGTCCCAGCCGCTGCGGGGACGGCGGGGAGCAGACCCAGCGCCCCGCTCGGGGCCTGTGTGGTGCTTCCCCAGCTCGCACCACGGACGCTTGGGGCCGACGGTTCTGTCGCGGGGGCCGTGCATGCAGGGCGGACGCTGAGCAGCACCCACCCCGGCCTCCACCCACGGATGCCGGTGGCAGCGGCCGGCCCGGTCATGGCGACGCCTGGAAGGTCTGCGGACAGGGCCACGTGCCCCCGGGGAGGCAGAATCGCCCCTCGCTGGGAAACCACTGCCACCGAGGGCAGAGACAACAGACAGAAATAAAGAGCGGGTGGCAGCCCGGACTGTTGGGGATAAGGAAGCAGAATGCAGCGGCGTGGGGGCCGGCGCCGGGGACGGGCCCCCACCTCCGGCGGCTGTGTCGAGCCGAGCCTGGGCCAAGGGACAGCCCCGAGGCCGGCAGCCCCGGAACGTCCCAGAACATCTAGGGGGCCACACGGGGCCGGGGTGGCTACAGTGACATCTGAGAGAGAACCAGACTTCATGTGTGCGTGAAGTTCCCATAAACCCCAGGTCACTTCTCAACGTGATGTGGACAAGAAACGGGACAAAGCCAGGGCACGTGAGCACAGCAGCGGGGTGGTGGATGGGAGGCAACCTGATACCGGGACGGGAGGCGGGGGGGGAGCCAACAGAAGGGTTAGAGGGCCTCCGCGGGGGTCCCCGTGCACACAGGCTGGGCTGTGGCGAAGGAGCCACCAGGAAAGAGCCAGCAAACTCTGCTGGCTGGTGATATGGAAACAGGAAGTTTGCTCCCGACTTCGCAATGTGCCCTGAGTAAGTTGCAGGTGAGTTCAGGGCTTAAAAGTTAAATTTGGTCTCCTCTGTAAGACGTGTTTCTCTCGGGGGTCTGTTAGCTTCATTTCCGGTCGTCCATGCACGATACGGAAAAGCATCCCTTGTTAAACATGCAAAAGCACCATGAAGAAAGCCCAGAGCTATGAGCAAGGCAGAGAATGTCGGCTCTCCCCACGGGCCCCACCGGCTCGAGCGCTGTTCTGTCCTGGGTCGGCGCGGCTGGTGCGGCTCGGGTGGACGCCCCGCTGGGCCCACCCGCGGGCCTGCTCCCTGCTGCTCCCCCGCTGTGGAGCCCCGCAGCGTTCCCTGCAGCCCCGGTGGAACCAAGGCACTGCCTCGGTCCCACGGGGCAGCCCCCGCCGGCACCTGCCACGGCCTGCCAGTGGGTCCTGCGTCCTAAGAACGGTCCCCGGGGCCGTCAGCTGTCCTTTAGTCCCCGTGGCACCCAGCCTGGCGTCTGCACACGCCAGGAGCTCAGGCCACCGGCTGGACGTGCCCGGGCTGCTGACCTGGCGGGGCAGGGCTGCGGGCTGCAGGCCTCCCGCTGCTCCGGCCGAGGCAGCCCCTGGCACTGGGCGTCCGGCAGGATCTCCTCGTCCTTGTCCTCGCCGCGGGCCCGGGCGCAGTACAGGATCCTCCGCGCCACCCCTCCCCCACAGCTCACGCTGCAGGCCGCCAGCTTGTACCGCCACCTGGACAGACGGGGTCCGGGCAGGACCCAGAGAGGCCGGGGTTCCCCTCACTCCCCCGCACCAGGAAGGGGCTCCCTTGGGGGCCGCCCTCACATCACCACCGCGAGGCTCGGCACGGGGACAGAGAGCGTGCCGAGGCGCCCGCTGTATGGAAGGGGGATGGGGGCAAAACCAGATGCGCCCAAAGGCAGTGGGGGGCAGGGCACCCCCGGGGTCCCGCTAGGGTGTCTCTTTCCGAAGGGAATCCTTCAGAAAAGGACGGGAGGCACAGTCACCACCCATCACCCGAGGTGCCTCCGTCTGCCTCATGCACCGCCGTGTCCCCGCGTCCCCAGCGTCCGCTCCAGGGACGGGCTGCCTGTCCCCCAGGCCCTGCTGGGTCCCCAGCATCAGACAGCGCTGGCACGCGGGCGCTCAGCCAGGAGCGGGGGCCGCCAAAGCGAACCATCGGCCGCCACGTGCACGCACGCATCCCGGACCCGGGGCCACCCGCTGCACGCAGCCCTGTGCGTGTGACCCCCCACCCCCGACCACCGGTCTCCTTCGGAGGGGGCCCACCTGGCGGGGCAGGGCTCGGGGCTGCAGTCCTCCAGGGGGCCGGGCCGGGGCGCCGGCCAGCACTTGGCGTGGGGCAAGGGGACGGGGCGCCCACGGTCCAGCCCCACACAGCGCGCAGCCCGCGGCACCTGCCCCCCGCTGCAGGTCACCGGGCACGGCGCCAAGGCGCGGGTCTCCCACCTGCCGGGAGGGAGGGCCAGCGCTCCGCAGGGGGCCGCACCCCGGGCAAGCCTCCCTCCAGCCCAGGCTGCGGCCCCCTGCACCGTCGGCCGCCCCGCTCACCACGCCGGGCACGGGGCGGCCTGGCAGACCTCCCGCCGGCTCCCCGGCGTGCTTCCCAGGCCACACAGCTCCTCCCGGGCAGGCGTCCTGCGGGCAGTGTCCACGCACACAAAATGCAGCTCCATCTGGCCTGGGGACGGAAGCGGGGGCCCGTGCCCCAAGAGGCGGGCTCAGGCAGGAGCACGGGGCCCAGCTCGCTGACGGGCTTGAGCAGAGGCTGTAAGTCAGGCCTCTGCCACCTACCAGCTGTGTGACCTTGGACAAATGACCCAACCTCTGAGCCTCAGGGTCGTGCATATCCTGGGGCCTCCCTCACAGGGGTCTGTATAAAGGTTCCTAAAGGAGAGACACAAAGTGCACGGCACGTAGCGGGTGCTCAACAAGGGGCAGCTGCTATCGTTTCCCGAGAGGTGTTACAGGAACTGCTATATACGACTTCCGGTCAAGATGGCGGCATACCCAGACACGGCTCGCCTCCTCGCAAAACCGTATCAAAATTACAACAAAATATAGAACCACCATCACTGAGGAACGTTTGAAATTGAGTTGAATGGAAGTCTGACAACCACAGAATTAGAGAAACCACATCCACCCAGACGGGGAGGAGGGGTGCAGAGGTGGAACGTGTGCAGTGGATAAAAACCAGGGAGGGGCATCTCGGGAGTGAGGAGACCCAGCCCCACTCCGGGGCCCCCAGCCCAGGGTCAGGAAGGTAAGTCCCCACAACTTCTAGCTGCAAAAGCCAGTGGGGATTCAGTCGTTGGAAGAAACTCCTGGAGCCCCAAGCAGTTCTCCTTAAAGAACCCACACGTGGCATCACCTACCCGCTGAGCTCTAGCACCAGGGGCATTCGGGGAGGAACTGAAGTGTCCGGCATCGAGGCAAGCAGAGGCCATTGTCCCTTTGCTAAACCCTCTCCCACAGAGCCCGCAGGCAGGTGCCCTATCTGAGACTCCATCAACCCAGCTAACACTGTCTGCCCCACCCAACTCACAGACGCACCCAAGCTGCTTTTCGTTAAGAGTGGCCTTGGCTCAGGCTGCAAAACTACCTAAATCCCTTCAGCACGCACAGCCGGCCTCCCGAGCCCCAGGCCCAGCACGAGCGGCAGCAGCCCAGGGTCGCAGCTTGGGTTCACCTGGGAACCCCCAGGCCCAGCACAAGCGGCAGCCGTCTCAGGGTGCTTTACAGCGCAGGCGGGGTGGCCCCGGGCAGAACACAGGTGGGGGCCGACCTTGGCCTGCACCACCCAGGAAACCCCAGGGCCAGCGCACCCAGTGGGCAGCCACAGACCACGTCGGAGCACCGCCACCCCGCCCTGCACAGCTGATCCTCCACGGAGGGCGGAGGGTGGTGGTCAGTGGTCACAGCCAGTCCTTGCAGCTGACTGGCCTGGGTGAACCCCTCCCATTGACCTGCCAACAGCAACCAAGGCTCAACTACAAGAGGAGGGTGTACTCAGCCCACACGGAGGGGCACCCTGAGTCCCCAGCTTGGGGGATAGGGGAGGCTGTGTCACTGGACCCTACAGGACACCGACTACATTAGGCCACTCTACCAAGACACGGAGTCGTAGCGGCTCTACCTCATACATGGAAACAAACACAGGGAGGCTGCCAAAACGAAGAGACAAAGAAACATGGCCCAAGCGAAAGATCAGATCAAAACCCCAGAAAAAGAGCTAAACGAAATGGAGATAAGCAACTTATCAGGTGCAGAGTTCAAAACACTGGGTATAAGGATGGTCAAGGAACTTAGTGAGGACCCCAGCAGCATAAAAAAGGCCCAGTCAGAAACGAAGGACACACTGATTGAAATAAAGAACAATTTACAGGGAAACGACAGCAGAGTGGATAAAGCTGAGAATCAAATCAAGGATTTGGAACATAAGGAAGCAAAGAAACAACCAATCACAACAACAAGAACAAAAACAACCCCCCAAAAAGAGGACAGTGTAAGCGGCCTCTGGGACAACTTCACAAGGTCCAACATTCACATCACAGGGGTGCCAGAGGGAGAAGAGAAAGAGCAAGACATCGGAAATCTATCTGAAAAAATAATGAAAGAAAACGTCCCAAATTTGGTGAAGGAAGCAGACATGCAAGACAGAGTCCCAAACAAGATGGATGCAAAGGGGCCACTCCAAGACGCATAATTAAAATGCCAAAGGTCAACCCTGGTTGGCGTGGCTCAGTGGATTGAGCGCTGGCCTGCGAACCAAAGGGTCGCCGGTTTGATTCCCAGTCAGGGCGCAGGCCTGGGTTGCGGGCCAGGTCCCCAGCAGCAGGTGCGCAAGAGGCAACCGCACATTGATGTTTCCCTCCCTCTCTTTCTCCCTCCCTTCCCCTTTCTAAAAAACAAAAGCAAAAACCCTTTAAAAATGAAATAAAATGCCAAAGGTTAAAGAGAGAATTTAAAAGCAGCCAGAGAAAAGCAGTTTCCTGCAGGGGAGTTCCCATAAGACTGTCAGCTGATTTCTCAAAAGAAACTTTGCAGGCAAGAAGGGATCAGCAAGAAATATTCAAAGTCATGAAAAGCAGGAATCTACAGCCAAGATTGCTCTACCCAGCAAAGCTGTCATTTAGAATTGAAGGGCAGATAAAGAGCTTCTCAGACAAGAAAAAAATAAAGGAATTCATCGTCACCAACCCAGTATTATACAAAATGTTAAAGGGACTTGTTTAAGAAAAAGGACAAGATCAAAAGTAGGAATGATGAAATAGCAAAAATACACATCTATCAACAATCGAATCCAAAAACCAAAAAAGCAAACAAGGACAGAGACAGACTCGTGGATGCGGAGCGCGTTTTGCCGGTTGCCAGGTGGATGGGAGGGGTGGGGGAGGGGGTGGACAGGTGAGGGCATTAAAGAGCACAGACAGGTCATCACAGACCAGCTGCGGGGATGCCAAGTGCGGCCGAGGAGATGGAGCAGCCACAGAGCTTGTACGCATGACCCGTGGACACGAACAAGGGTGGGGGGTGGCCTGAGGGGGTGGGGGGTGCTCGGGGAGGGGGCCAAGCGGGAGAAGTCAGGACGACTGTAAGAGCATAGTCAATAAAATATAATAAGGCAAAAGAATTGCTATATGGACACCTCTGACTGTGTTAATCGTAAACACGGTATTCAGAGTATCCTCGAATCTCTGGTCTCCACTGTAAACACGCTGCAGTTTTGCCGAGCAAGCGGCTGGGGCTTTAGAGAACACGGTGCGTCTTTAGACAAGTCCCTTCTCTGGTCCGGCCCCCTGGGATCTCCGAGCCAGATTTGGGGCCCCCCTCCCGCCGCTTTTCTGGACCTTGAGAAATACGCTTCTGATCTCTTCCCGCCTGTGGGCCAGGCGCCACACCCCTCACGTGGCTCGCGCGCTGGCCCTGGCCTCCCCGCGCGGCGGTGCGTTCCCGTCCAGCCGGGCTTTTCCGTACGCCGCCCCAGGCGCCTCTCAGGACTGGCAGGATGGAGGCAGAGGGGAGCGGGCTAAGGAGCGCGGGTCTCTGGGGCCTCACCTCTACCGCAGGAGACGGAGCAGGGCCCTGCCAGGGGCATCCACGCGTGTGCGGCCCGAGCCCCCGGACGGGCACTGCCTGGGGGCGTTGCCGCCTCTGCCCCCGGAGGCTGGGGGTCCAGCTGCAGGGGCAAGCAGCAAGCGGTGGGTCTGCGTGTCCCGCCTCCAGACCTCCCCCTTCCCAATCTCTTCAGGAGAGAGATGTGGTCCCCGGTGCCCAAGGCCGCCCTCCCAGCCGAGCCCTGCTCCCAGCCCCCAGTGGGTGCCCTCCACAGGCCCCCTCGACCTCTGCACCCCCGCGACTGGCTCCTGGGGGCGGGGCTGCGAGCTGGGCTCAGGAGCCTGACTTGTGGCTGGCTCTGGCTCGCCTGCAGTCCCCGGGGGCAGGGCTGGCTTTCGTCTAAAAGCAGCAGTGCCCGGCCCGGTGCCCCTGAGCACCCGGCAGGAGCCCAGCAGCGCCCCTCCAGGTGGCCGGGGCCGGGGGGCATCTCAACAGGGTCAGGGCCTCTCAGCCCGGCCGGCCGGCAGGAGGGGCTTCTCAGTGGGCCCTGAGCCCTGTTCCTGAGTTCGTCCTCGGACCCGGGCCCGGCAGACAGCAGCTCTGCAGACGGGTCGTCTTCTCTAGCCCGGGGGCCAAGGGTAACCAGGGCTCCCCATTCTCCCGGCCAGACAAGGCCCCAGGTGCCCCAGTCACACCCTTGCCCGGGACACTCACGTGGCCCCAGCCTGGAGGGCATGTCACCCCGGGGCAGGGCTCGAGGGCAGCTGGCTTCTTGTCCGGGAAACAGGGCCCAGCAGTCGCCGGCGCCTCCGCGCCGCCCGCCCCCGGCACACACGTCGCGTTCCGTGCAGCCAGGTCCGCTCCGCAGGCCCACGAGCAGGCGTCTGGCTCCTCCGACCTGCGGGCACAGCACAGCCCTCGGGCCTTGCCCTCGCCATCGGCCATCGACCTTCGGGGCAGCCCGGCCTCTGGGCGGGGAGCCTGCTCCCCGGTGCCCAAGAACCCAGAGGCGCCCACAGAGAAGCCCACCCGGGGCCTCTCCCGGCAGCGCCCGCAGCAGCCGGGCTCCCGGGGAGCGGGGCGCAGGCCCCCCCCCCCCCCCCGGCTCGGCCGTTCCCTGCAGCAGGCTGTCAGCTGAGAAGCAGGCGTCAGACGGGCGGGCGGGACCGCCGGGTCGGGCAGGAAATCGCTACGTGCGCACAGGCCCTGGGAGGCAGGGCCGCCTGGGCTGCGGCGCGGAAGAGGATCCCGAGAGCGGGGCCGGCGCGCGGCGGGCAGGGCGGTGCACACTCGCTCTGTCCGCCGTGGACGTGGGAGGGGAAAGGAACCCAGATCCACGGGGTGGGGCGTTGGGGGGAGCCGCTCGTGACCGAGGCCGACACCCTGCCCAGGGTGGCCCCAAGACGGAAGGGTGGCCCTGGTCCCCCAGCCAGCCAGCCAGCCACCGATCAGCACGATACCCGCTGCCGGCTCCGACGCGGAGGGGCCGAAAGGCACCGCGGAAGCGAGGACGCTGACAAGGTGGCGTTTATCGCTTTGACGCGTGGCTTCCCTCGGCCCTCCCGGCCCCTCTCCGAGCAGCCCTCGGGAGCTGGGGGGAACACGGCCGGTGCGGGTCTCTCGGGATGGCGGGCCGTTCTGACACTGGCACCGGGACTCCGGGCCAACACTGCCGGTCACCCAGGGTGGTGGCGCCCCGCCAGAGGCTTCGGGAAAAGCGGCCCCTCAGCAGGGGCAGGGTGACCGCAGGGACGAGGCTGCCAGGAGAGCCTGCCCCCGCTCCACGCCGCGCTCACCTGGCGGCACAGGGCTGGGAGTTGCAGGTCTCAGCACCGCGGGCTCCCGGGCCAGCGCTCCGCACCGGGCCGGGCGCAGGGCCCTCAGGTGTCGGCCCGGGGCCTCCACGCAGCGCGCCGCCCGCGCCCGCGGGCCTGCCCCACAGGAGGCGCTGCACGGGCCGAAGTCTCCCACTGCCCAGCTGAGGGAGGGAGGCAGGGACGAGCGTGGGCCTCCGGCCAGGTCCCCAGGCTGAGGGGGCTGGCGGGGGGCGCTGGGAGGCAGGCCCATCTGTCCGGCCGGCTCACTCCGTGGTCTGGGCGGGGCCCTGTGTCCCCTCAGGCGCCTGGGCACGGCACAGGGACAGCCAGCCCAGCCCTCCAGCTCTCCGGGGGCCCCCAAGTTGCACCTGAGTCTAAGGTTGCCAGTATAAACCGGCAGGCGGGCGGCGGCCCCCGCCCTGTCCCCAGCAGGGGCAGCCTCGTCCCGAACGTCACGCCCCTGCCAGCCACACCTGCCCGGGCGGCGACAGCCAGGCGCTTTCCCTGTGACCCCCCTGAGTCCCCCCTCCCAGCAGGGCGGCCACCTCCACTGCAGTGACCCCAGCCAGAGAGGGCGTGTGCGCGGGGGACAAGGCACATCAGGTGTGAGTCACTGCCACCTGTGTCTGCCGCGCCCCAGTGTCCCCGCCTGTGAAACAGGACCCTGACAGGGCCCACCCGCCCGGAGCCGCCCCCCCCACCCCGGCACTCACCGCGGGGGGCAGGGCCCGGGGCTGCAGGGCTCCTGCCGGGCCGCCGGCCGCCGGCCCCCTCCACACTGGGCCTCCGCCACCCACCGGTTCCTGGCCTGGTCCAGGCAGCTGTAGGTCACCCACCGCAGGCCTGGGGAGCGAGAGGGAGGCTAGGCCGCCACCCCGCGGGGGCACCCCAGGCTCCGGCGGCCCTGTCCTGGGCCTCACCTGCCCCGCAGCTCACCGAGCAGGACCCCCGCACGGCGGCCCACGCCCCGGCCTGCTGCAGCCTAGGTCGGAAGTAGGAGAAGGAGATGTCCGGGCGGGTGAGGGTGCCATACTCCTCGCCGTAGCGCCTGTAAACCTGCGTGGGAGGGACACGGGCTCGGGGCCTGGTCCAGCGGGCTCCCCGGGCGTGGCCGTCACTGCCACCGACCCCGACAGCCTTGGACTTTTCCCTCCGCTGTGCCTCTATTCTTTTGCTGAGGTGACCGCGTGCCAGGTCTGGGGACAGCCCAGAGAGCAGGACATCACCCCAGCCTCCAGGAGCTCCTGGTTGGGTGGCGGGGGGCGGTGACAGGTAGCCCTAAAGGGCCCGGCAGGCCCCGGGCTGTGCAGGCTCGGGCAGGTCAGGAAGGCGCGCCCGGGGCCGGGAGCAGGGCCGCCGGCGGGCAGAGGGGTGTCCAGGCAGGGCCTGGGGGCGAGCCCCGCGCGCTCACTCGAGCTTGACGGGCCGAGGGGCCGGCAGGACGGCGGCCCCACCCCACAGAGGAGGAGACCAGGCGCGCGGCCCTCAGCGACGCGGCCGGAGCCCTAGGACAGCGAGGCCTGGCAGGGGGCATTCGGGTTCCGGCTCCTGACCCCGCTCTGCCCGACCCCACTCCTGGGCTGGCCCTGTCCTGGGGGGGAGCTTCCCACACCCCCGCCCCCCGCCCCCGGGCCTCCAGTCTGGGCGCCGGCCCAGCCAGCCGCCCCCACGGTCACACTCCCTCCTCAGCCAGGCCTGACGCAGGCCCCACCCCGACGCCAACAGCACAGGGCCCTGCGGCAGCCCCCGGGGACCCCCACGAGGAAGCCCAAACTCCTCACAGGGCGAGGAAGGGCCCTCGGGGTCTGCCCCGCCCTCCGGCCTCCTTGCCCGGAGGGTCCCCTTCCTTCAGCCCCTCTGTTGTAATTACCGCCCCGTGCTCTGGGGCTGCCCCAGACCTTCCTGCCCCGGCTGGGTGCTAGGGCTCCCCGTCCCACCCGCGCCCAGAGCCCCGGCGACCCGCTGGCTCCCACGAGGGACGGCCGAGGCAGCCGACGGCCGGGGCCCTCTGGGCCACCTGGATCTCCACGCCCTCCCGGGTGGGTCCCTGGATGCGGATCTCCTCCAGGCGGGGCAGCCGGTCCGGCGTGAGGGTCACTTTGTACTCGATGCGGCTGTCCTCCAGGGGCGAGGGGTAGGTGGTGCTGGGAGAGATGCTTGAGTTCCCGGCCACCACGTAGCGGCCTCGGATCCTCACTGCTGCGGGGGGAGCGAGGCTGTCAGCATGGGGCAGGGGTGGGGTGCCTGCCCTTTCCAGGGGGCCCTGGTTTAAGGAATGGGCCACTGGGGCGTTGCCCCGGGGCCCCAACCCCGGGAGCGGACGTCCTGGTGCCTCGGTCGGGCCGTCGGCGAGCCCGCCCTCCGAGACGCCCCCAGTGGCCTGACCTCAGAAGGCTCCCTCACGGCTGTGACTCTGCCCCTTCGCAGAGCTGGGGGCACCGCGGGCCCACTCCCCCACCCGGCATGGGTGCACGGGCAGGTACGGGAGCTCGGGGGCCCCAGGCAGGCGCCATGGGAGCCACCCGGACGCCCATCGACCAGTCCCGCCTACGTAACGAGGCCCCACGGAAGCTGGACGCTGTGCCTGGGTGACCCGCACGCGGTGTCACGCTTTGTGCTGGGCACGGAGCCCCGCCGGCCTCTGCCGGGGCAGCTCTCCCTGGGCTGGTTTCATCGTTGCCTTCCCCGGTCACCCGCCGTAACCACGGGCGGAACAGCGCTGAGTTCTGGGGGCCCCCGAGCCGCCGTCCGACAGACGGCGTGGGGGACCCCCCAACTGGAGGTGGGCGTCGGAAGCGAGGGCGTCCTGGGAACCGCGCCTCAGCCTTTGAGCTTGGGTGAGCGCGGGGCGCGCCCCGGCCCTGGCCAGCTCACCCAGGTGCGTGAAGAGGGGCCGGTGGTTGGCGACGTGCACGCGGGTCACGTTGGGGGCGAGCGCCAGGAACGTGACGTACTCTGGGAGGAAGCAGAGGAGGGTGGGCGGCCTCAGGCACCCACGTGGCCGTCCAGGGAGCAGGTGCCAGGGGCCCAGAAAGGGCTTCAAGCCCGGAAGCTGCGCTGTGACGGGGCTGCCCCAGGCGGCAGGGGCCCCCGGCCCAGGGGGCCATCGAGGCCAGGCCGGAGGGGGCCTGGTGTGGGGGCGCTGCCCTGGCGCAGGGCGGGGCCGGGCCGGGGTTCTCCGCACAGCCTGGGGCCTGCGAGAGGGAGGCGGCCTCAAGGCCGCCTCCTCTAAGCACCAACTTTGCAACCGATCTGACCTCTTTTGCAAAGAGATCGAGATCAAAGACTTTCCCGGTACAACATCCCTCCTGCTGGGATCTCGGGAGCAGGAGGGGGGGGCCGGCGGCAGGAGCTGGCCCAGCGCGCGGCCACCGCCGCAGCCAACACGGCGCACCACCGCCCGCCGGGCGGGCACCCCCGACACCTGAGCCACGTGGACAGGCCCGCAAGGTAGGGGCCGAGGCCGAGGCCCACGGGGCGGCCCCAGGGCGAGCCAGCGTGCGGACCCCCGGCCCCGGCCCCGGCCCCGGCCGACCCACCTCGAGCCCTCCCGGCCGTGAAGGAGCCGTGCTGCGGGCTGCAGGTGCTGCTGTCGCCTCCACACACCTGGCACGCGTCGAGCACCTGCTGGGAGTCCATCCTGCCGTCACAGCCGAAGGTCTGCGAGTGGCGGGGAGACGGGGGTCGTGGGGGGGCTGGCCGCTGACACCCACAGCGCTGCGCCCTCAGCTTTGCGTGACAAGGGGGGCCCTCTGGGAGCCTCTGCCGTCCGTGCAGGAAGCACGTGACCTGCTCCAGGTCAAGCACGGCCCTTCGCGCGCTGACCCTCGGTCGGCCCTGCGTCCCCGCGTCAGCCCGTGCAGACGTCACAGGGCCCCAGGGCCGGCGCCCACAGCCCTCACCCCCAGGGGCTCCTTTGTGCCTCGGCTTTGCTGGGACGGGCCCGGGGCCACAGGCTCTGGAAAGGCGCCCTCTGCCGGCTGGCGCCTACCCTGCAGCTGCCCTGCACGCACAGGCTCAGCGACCCGTCCTCTGCGGGGACGCTGGGCACACACCGGGTCCCATCCAGGAAGCTGTCCCCACGCCTCATGATGAAGCTCTCGCCAATGGCCCGGCACATGTGTCTGCACAGAGAGTCCCCTAGGAAGGCAGAGGGGCAAGGGACCCTGATGCAGGGGTGGCAGGGGGTAGGGAGGGTGGTGACCCCGCAGAGCACGGTCCGGGTGGGGCCGCCGGCCCCGCCCCCCCCGCTGCAGCTCCCACCCCACCTTGACTGTGCCGCACGGCAGGGCCCCAGCGGTAGAAGGAGGCGTTGCCTGGGGACAGGTGCAGAGGGTCCCCGTCCGTCCGGGCGCACTGCTCGGACATGAACTCCAGCTGGGTCGTCTCGCAGGCCTGGCCAGAGAGGACAGGGGCCGGGCACCGAAGGGCAGGGGGCGGTGGCTCGGGGAGAGGACCTGGGGCAGGGGAAGCCTCGCCGAGGGCAGAGCTTGGTGGGAAAGGAATCGGTGAGGGGGCCGCGACCAGAGCCACGGACAGCGTGTGGGGAAACCGGACTCCGCCCGGGGCCGCTGGGAAGGCCCCGGTTCCGCTGCGGTGGGTGGGGGAGACTCGGGGGTCCCCCGACGAGGTAAACACACGATCCCCGTGTGACCCGCAGCTCCGCGTTTAGGCGCCAGAGCACTGAAGACGGGCTCGCACGAGCCCACGAACCGGGGGTTCACGGCTGTGCCCCTCACAACGGCCAAACGGCAGAAAGAACCCAGATGTCATCGCTGGTAAACACAGGGACCCACTGTGGCCCATCCACGCAGTGGGACAGGCCTGAGCCGTAAACAGGAGCAAAGCACCTGCACCCGCTGCAACGCGGAGGGACCCCGGAAACACAGAGCGAGTGCGAGGAGCCGTGAGCTGCGGGGCTCCACGCCCAGGAAGTGTCCGGGCAAGGCAGACCCACAGGGACAGACAGCAGACTGGAGGTTCCGGGGCTCGGGGACAGGATGCGGGCAGCAACCGCTAATGGTCCTGGAGTCGCTTCGGGGGGGGGGGGGCATGCCTCGGACTGGACAGAGGTGGTGGCCGCACTTCACTGTGAACGTGCTCGATGCCACCGAATCGCACTTTAAGGAGCTGGTTTTATGCCTGAGTTTGTAACTAGACGAGCCACAGCTTCGCGTGCTAAAGTGCGTCGCTGGGGATGGAGGCAGGGTTCTCACCGCAGAGACCAGGGTGCCCTGGCAGGAGGCGGCATTGGGACGGGGAGGGGACACTTCAGAGTCCCTGCTCTCAGGCGCGGGACAGCCCGGGAGCACACCCTGTGGTTCCGGTGTGGACATTAGTGGCACCCCTTCACCCCCACCATTGCTGGCGGGAAGCACAGACCTCAGCCGCCCTGGTCTCCGGCTCCCCAGGCCCCGGCGCCCCCCGACCGCGCCGCCCCGCCCGGGCAGCGGCCTACCTGTGTGTTGCACATCTCGGCCTGCAGGTCAGCGCCCATGCACACACGCCCCCCGAAGGCAGGTCTGCAAAGGCACATGAGACCCCAGGGCTGGCGGGGGCCCCAGACGCCCAGCCGGGGACAGCGGAGCCACAGCCCTCCCCCGACCTGCCCCCAGTACCTGGGGTTGTTGCACTGCCGCCTCCGGGTGACCACGCCCCCTCCGCAGGAGCGGGAGCAAGGACTGGGGGGACCCCAAGCTGACCAGTGCCCGTGCACGGCCTCCAGGGGCGAAAGCTCTGCCAGCGGGCGGCAGCGGCCCTTGGAGCACCACTGTGGGGGGCGGTGGCCGGGTCACCGGGGCGCCCTGTGGGGCGCCCACACCCACAGCGCGCCCACGCCCGGGGTACCTGGCGCCCACGGCGCGGCTTGCACCAGGATGTGGCCACTGTGCCTGTGACCGGGGGACCATGTACAGCCCCAGGGCCCTCTGCCCTCCTGCCCTGGAAGCGAGGGCTGCCAGGCTGCAGGTGCCCCCCACGAGCGCACGGGAGCATGCCCGCACACGCCCACACACGCCCGCACACGCCCGCTCACACGCGCCCCTCCCCGCCCGGACCTTCTCCAGGCCACACTCTGTCCCGTCCAGGAGAGGAATGAGGAGGCGGCTGCAGCTGCTGTGGTCCGCGGGGTCCGTGTGGCAGGACAGGGCTTGGCACGCGTCCTGGGGGGGGAGCAGGGGGCCGGCACGGGGCCACCAGGGTCTGTCAGGTCAGTGTCCAGCCTTGACGGTCCCCCCAAGGCTGCAGGGCTCAGGGACAGACACACCGCGCTGCTGTGCGGGCCCGGTGGCCGGGGAGCGTGGGAGGGTCCGGAACAGGGACAGGTGTCCCCTCTCGGCCTCGCAGCCAAGATCAAGCACAGGTCCCGGGGCAGTGGCCCCTTTTAGGGACCCATAGACGTGTTTTCACGTCTCAAATAAGAAGAAAAACTGAACTTTCAGATCACAGAAAATGTTCTAGTTTGTGATGTTGATTATCCCTGTATTTATAGTAGCACACATAAAAATGTGTCTGTTTTGTAAAAACACTAAAATACAGTTCTCGATGTTTTGTACGGAGAGACTGACTGAGGCAAAGGTGTCGCCCTGGGAGGAAGTCTGTTTTCGGGGCACCTGCCCCCGTCCACCTGCAGGGTTCGGCTGGGAGGACATCTCCTCCAGGAAGCCCTCCAGCTCTCGTTGGGTCAGAAGCCCTTGGTACCTGCCTATTTAGGCTCAACGTCCGTGGGCTCCGGGGCCACGGCAGGGCCGACTCCACGTAATTGGTGGGGCCCAGTCAGAATGAAAATGTGGGGCCTGGTTCAAAAATTGAGAATTTTGAGAGGCACCTGACAGCCAGCCTGGGGGCCCACAGTGGACGGGGTGGCCGAGCTGGGCCGAGGGGCTGTGGGGTGGGGGCAGAGGCGGCCTCGCGGAGGGGCGCGGGGGCGGGCGCCAGCCCGAGGCTGGGACTCACGAGGTCCTCCCTGGTGAAGGTGCAGGCGGCCGCCGAGGGGCCCAATGCCACGCGGCACTGCGCGTCCGCGTCGTAGTAGAGGCCGGGGTGTGCCTGAGGCGGGCGCCCCGCGGGCCCGGACAGCTGTCCCGGAGGGTCCAGCACGCAGCGCGCCCGACCTGCGCTGTGACGAGGCCCCGGGTGGGCGCGGGTGGAGCGGGAAGGAGGAGTGGGCTCGGGTCTGGGACGGGAATTCTCGGCCCGCGCCCCCACCCTGAGGGGCGGAGACAGAGCTGGGGCGGGGGGCGGGGTTCCAGGGGAGGGGGCGGGGCGGTGGGCGGGCCCTAGAGGCGCTGGGGCAGGTGGGGGTGGGACCCGGGGGGACCTGCAGGGCGGGCCCGGGTGGGGCAGGATGGAGGCGGGGGCGGCGCAGGGGCGCGGCTACCTGAGCAGGTGCAGCAGCTGCCGGCGGCTGCAGGCGGACCACGCGAGGCCTCCGCGGGCGGGCGCGGCGCCGGGGGCGCCCATCACGTGGCCGCTGGGCGCGCAGCCGCTGCCCGGCGCGCCGTCGTGCTCCAGGCCGAAGCTGCGGAGGGCAGGCGGCGCTGGGCGCGGCTGCGGCCGGCCGCGCCCCACCCGCCCGCCCTCGGGGCCGGTCAGCCCCTGGCCCGCCACCAGCCAGCGCCGCGGGCAGAGCGAGTCACTAGCCGGCCAGCCCCAGCGTCCCGCCCCAGCTGGGCAGGCGGGTGGCTCCCGCCTCTTGTGGCGGATGGGTATCCAGAGTCCTTGGAAGTGTCAGGCAAACCAGTCCGTGGTGGTGTAAGCCTCCCGGATGTGGCTCGGGGCCCGGGGGGGCCTGCCTCCCCCCCAAGTCACTCTCTTGATCTGGGGACGGGCGCTGTCAGGTTCATAACTGTGTAGTGGGGTTAGAAAAATGTCCGAGACGATGTGCGGGCCTCCGACCATCGATCCCACCCACAGCTCCCCTCCAAACGTGGCAGATGGAGGAACTGTCCCGGCAAGCGGGGCCGGGGAGTCACGTGGAGATGCAGGGGCGCGATCGGGGCGACAGCCGGGCCTTGTCGCAGCCTGAGCCCCGGAGATGGGGGGGTGGGGACGGAGTTCCCCAGAAGCGCTCCGAGGGGCCGGAGGGGCAGCAGTGGGCAGGGAAGATGAACAGAGACTCATTTTTCACTATAGGAGTCCACGCGGAGCTTGAGTTTTATACTAAGCGGGTGTTAGTTCATAATTAAAAGACTGAAAATCAAAAAGAAAGGAACGGAGACTTGCCCAGAAGATGCGTAATGTGGACTTCTGGTCAAGATGGCGGCGTAGGCAGACATGGCTCACCTCCACGCACAAAATTAACAACGAAAATACAGACCACCCACCACTCGGAACCGTCAGAAATCGAGCTGAATGGAAGTCTGACAACTATGGAATTAAAGAAACCACATCCATTCTGAGTAGGAAGGGTGGAGACGCGAGACAGGCTGGTCCCTCAGCCACGTGCGCGGGATAAAAATTCCGAGGAACATCTCAGGAGCGAGGAGTCCCAGCCCCACGCCAGGACCGCAGCTCAGGGTTCCAGGGCCCGGAAGAGAAGACCCCACAACTTCTGGCTGCAAACACCATGGGGACTGTGTTGGTGGAAGAAACTGCTGCAGCCCCAAGCGGTTCCCCTAAAGAACCCACACACGGCCACACCTCCTCAGACTCCCTCTCTCTGAGCTCGGGCACCAGTGGTATAAAGGGAGGAACTGTAGTGTCTGCCATTGGGGTGAGCAGAGGCCATTGTCCCTTTGCTAAACCCTCCCCCACGGAGCCCGCAGGCTGGGGCCACGTCTGAGAGCCCATCAACCTGGCTAACGCTGTTTGACCCGCCCTGGAGATCCCCAGAGACTCTGCCCCACCCAACTTACAGACCCACCCGAGCCGCTTTTCCGTTTGAGCAGTCTTGGCTCCTGCTGCACAACTTCCTAAGTCCTCTCAAACAAGCCACAGCTGGCCTCAGGGGGTTCCCAGTCCCCATACCTCTTGCTAAGGGTCCCCAGGCCCAGCACGAGCAGCAGCAGCCCAGGTTCGCAGCTTGGCTTCACCTGGGAACCCCCAAGCCCAGCACAAGCGGCAGCCGTCTCAGGGTGCTTTACAGCGCAGGCGGGGTGGCCCCAGGCAGAACACAAGTAGGGGCTGACCTTGGCCTGCACCACCGGGAAACCCCAGGGCCAGCGCACCCAGTGGGCAGCCACAGACCACGTCGGAGCACCGCCACCCCGCCCTGCACAGCTGATCCTCCACGGAGGGCGGAGGTTGGTGGTCAGTGGTCACAGTCGGTCTTGCAGCTGACTGGCCTGGGTGAACCCCTCCCATTGACCTGCCAACAGCAACCAAGGCTCAACTACAAGAGGAGGGTGTACTCAGCCCGCACAAAGGGTGCACCTTGAGTCCCCAGCTTGGGGCATAGGGGAGGCTGTGTCACTGGACCCTACAGGACACCGACTACATTAGGCCACACAACCAAGACAGGGAGTCAAAGCAACTCTACCTCATACATGGAAACAAACACAGGGAGGCTGCCAAAACGAAGAGACAAAGAAACATGGCCCAAGTGAAAGATCAGATCAAAACCCCAGAAAAAGAGCTAAACAAAATGGAGATAAGCAACCTATCAGGTGCAGAGTTCAAAACGCTGGGTATAAGGATGGTCAAGGAACTCAGTGAGGACCTCAGCAGCATAAAAAAGGCCCAGTCAGAAACGAAGGACACACTGATTGAAATAAAGAACAATTTACAGGGAAACAACAGCAGAATGGATAAAGCTGAGAATCAAGTCAAGGATTTGGAACATAAGGAAGCAAAGAAACAACCAATCACAACAACAAGAACAAAAACAACCCCCCAAAAAGAGACAGTGTAAGCGGCCTCTGGGACAACTTCACAAGGTCCAACATTCACATCACAGGGGTGCCAGAGGGAGAAGAGAAAGAGCAAGACATCGGAAATCTATCTGAAAAAATAATGAAAGAAAACTTCCCTAATTTAGTGAAGGAAGCAGACATGCAAGTCCAGGAAGCAGAGTCCCAAACAAGATGGGTGCAAAGAGGCCCACGCCAAGACACATCGTAATTAAAATGCCAAAGGTTAAAGATAAAGAGAAAATCTTAAACGCAGTAAGAGAAAAATAAGTTAGTTTCCTGCAGGGGAGTTCCCATAAGACGGTCAGCTGATTTCTGAAAAGAAGCTTTGCAGGCAAGAAGGGATCAGCAAGAAATATTCAGTCATGAAAAGCAGGGACCTACAGCCAAAATCGCCCTACCCAGCCAAGCGATCGTTTAGAATCGAAGGGCAGATAAAGTGCATCCCAGACAAGAAAACACTAGAGGAATTCATTGTCACCAAACCATTATCATACGAAACGTTAAAGGGACTTGTTTAAGAAAAAGAACAAGATCAAAACTATGAACAATCAAATGGCAATAAATGCATATCTATCAACAATTGAATCTAAAAAAACAAACTAAGCAAACACGAAGAACAGACAGAATCATGGATACGGAGAGCGTTTTGCTGGTTGCCGGATGGCACGGGGGAGGGGGAGGATGGGGGACGGGGTGGGGGTGCTGGGTCGAGGGGGGCCAAGGGGGAGAAATCTGGAGGACAGCATAGTCAATAAAATAAAAATTAAAGAAGAGATAAAATACTTAGGAAATAAGATGTAAGTGGAAAATGAAATCAAAGTGTAAGACAAAAGAATGCATAATGTTCATAATTGGAAAAACTTGGAAACAACCTAAATATCCAAATAGGGGATTAATTAAATTAAACAAAAAATAACTTTTCAAAGGACTTGGGAGAAATACACTGCTGCTTGAAAAAAGCAGATGGCAAGCCAATATCCAGTATAATCCCAATTTTGCAAACGCAAAACTATGCACGTGTAAAGAAAGGCTAAAATCAATCGTAACATGCGAACAGACACTATCTCTAAGGGGCGGGATTTGGGGTAATTTTTACAGATCAGTTTTCCTTTTCCTGAATTTGCTACAAACCTTATTTTCTCATGGCCTAGCTTATTTTCCTTGTTTTTTGTTTCCTTTCATTCCTCGGTAATCACGTAGCGTCAGATTCCCCGGCGCTTGCCCCCCACGCCCCCCCACGCCCTGGTCCGCGGGGGTGCAGGGCTGGGGCTCCTCCCTGCAGCCCAGGGCCCCCGCCCGCCCCGGCGCCCCTCCCCCGCCCGCCGGGGGCCCAGCTCAGCTCCTTGGCCTGAGCTTGGCGACCGCTTGCAGGGCCACATACCTGTGCCCAACCTCATGGGCGATGGTGACCCCCAGGTCGAAGCCGGTGTCTTCAGCAATGAGGCAGCTCCACGCGGGGGAGCAGGCACCCCCCAGCTGGGTGACCCCCCGCACCTGCCGGTTGCCGTCAGGCAGCTCCAGGTCAAACCTCGGGGAGACAGAGGAGGCCCCTGCGGTGCCTGCCGCCACCCTGCCGCCGCGCAGAGGCCGGAGGGCCAAGGGGGCCGCTCCCAGCGCCGCCGCCCGCGCCCCGGCGAGCTCGGCTACCTGGTGACGTAGAGGACCAGGTCGGCGTGGCCGGCGTCCGAGTCGTCCTGGGGGTTGACCGTCCGGCCCCACTGGCAGACGCTCCGCAGCGAGGAGCTGATGTTGGCCGTGATATTAGGCGCCTCCTGGGGGACGAGCGGCAGAGCCCGCTTTTCCCGGACCCACCCCAGGCCGGGCGTGGCTGCTGTGGCATCTCAGCCCCCCGCCGACGCTGTCACTGCCCGGTGTGGCCGCCGGGGGTGGCCGGCTCTGCGGCACCGCAGCAGGAGGGTGAGAGGACAGCAGCGGGTTTTCCGAGACCCCGGGCTTCGGGCGCGGCACCCACCTCGGGCTGCGTCAGGACGGCCATCCTCACCAGGTGCACGCGGAACTGAGCCCCCAGGGACGCGTCCCTCAGCAGCTCCGACGCCTGTGGGAGGGCGGGCGGGGCGGTGACCGCGGGCGGGGTGGTCCGGCCGCCCGCGGCCGCTGACGTCCGCGGGGGCGCAGGGGACAGGGCTCCGTCAGCGAGGCGGGGGTGGGGGGCACCCAGAGCGCTGTCCTTACGCTGGGAGACGCCAGAGGGACAGGCAGATGGTCCCGGCCCTCCTCTCCCTCAGGGCTCAGGAAGCGCGACAACAACGCAGAGAAGCGAGACCCGGAAACAATCGGGCGGGCAAAGTCCTCCCTAGCCTGGAACGTTCCATCCAACACTGCGTCTCGGCCGATTCGCCCCATCCTCGCTCACGGCCGCTCGTCTCCCTGATTCATTCGCCTTTCTCTCCGCCGCCGCCAGCCTGACGCCCCCTCTGCCCTCCGAGAGCCCTTCCCTGGGCACCCCCGCCCCGTGCGCTCTGCTCGCGTCTGTCCAGACGCTGTCGTGGGCGGCCTGCACGGCGGTGGTCGCACCGGCGTGTCCTCCAAGCGAGGCACGGCTCCCCTGCCCGGCCGGACCCCGGCTCCGCGGCCACCTGCCCTGCACTCAGGATCCGCCCGCTGGCCGCGGCCGAGCCTGGGTGGCCTCATCCGTCCCGTCGAGCGACAGCCCCCATGGTCATTGGCAGACGCAGGCACAGCGCAGCGGGCACGGGGGGCACCCACGATGGCAGTGGCCACCACCACGGCCCCGCCACCGGGCAGGAGCCTGCCTGGCACCTACTGCCCGGGTGTCCTCAGCCCCCGGAAAACGCGGCGAGTCACCAGGGGAGCACGGGCTTGGTGACCGACCTGCAGCACGTTCCCAGTGGGGAGACACCGCCAAGCTTGCCAACGGCAGCTTGAGAGTGACTTAGGCGACACGTGTGTCACCTCTGGGGCTTGTAGGCGGAGGCCCCCTTGCTGCTCCTGGTCCCCAACACAACGGGGAGTCCTGCCTCCTGCCCGGCCTGTCGCCACCTGGAAGCCTGCGTGCCTGCGGCAGCCGGCAGGGCAGGGGAGCCCACGGGGAGGGAGCCGAGAGAGGCCGGCGGGGCTGCCCGCTCGCCAGGCAGCACTGGCCGAGGTCCCCCTGGATCCGGGGCAGAGGCCAGACGTGAGGGTCCCCCCGGCAAAGGGACCCAAGTAGCAAGAGCCTGCGGGGTGCACTAGGGAGTGGAGAGAGGCCTCGGACCCGCCCCCCTCCACCCTGGGGCGGGAGGGGCAGGAGGATGGAGGGAGTGGCCGTCGCGCCCCCCCCCGCCCCCCGCGGCCCTGAGCCCCTGGAGGGACCCAGCCTCAGGTGTACGCCGAGCTCAGCAGGCAGGTTCAAACCACCAGACGAGACACAGGCCCGCCTGCGGGCCGGACCGTGTCCAGAGGCTCCCGAGGCCGCGGTGGGCCGCCAGCGTTCCCCAGGCGTCCCACATCCTGCGGTTGGCGCCGCAGGGGGCCTCACCATGTTGAGGTTGGTGAGCACGTATCGCTCCGTGTCCTCCTGGTGAGCCTGGTAGACGTCGGGGCCCACGGCCACCAGCAGCCGCAGGTGCAGGACGGGCGGGGCGGGGCTCGGGGGCTGCGCAGCCGGCTGGCCGGGCCAGGGCGGACCAGGCAGGGCGGAGGTCGAGGGCTCTGGAAAGCAGGTGAACTGCGGCTTTAGCTGTCTGGTCTGACGCCCCGAAGGCCCCCACGTTCCCCACGGTCCCCACGGTCCCCACGGCCAGGTCTCTCTGTCACCGTGTGCTCCTGGACCCGGCCACCGACCACTTAGGCGGTTGGAAGGCCCGAGCCCCGGCTTTCTCGCGGGCACCGTGGGGGCGGGAGGGCACCTGCCTCCTGGGGGCCCAGTGACAGCAGGGCGAGCGGCCTGCCCGGCCCCCCAGGTCTCCCCTGGGCCCCCGCCTCCCCACCTCTCCGCGCCCTCAGACATCCAGAGACAGGCGTGGTCGCCGGGCCTCCCGACCCCTCAGGGGCAGACTTCTCAGGGGGCTGAGACACCCCGCGCTCGCTCTCACGCCACTGACACGGCGCCTTAGAACCGACAGCGCTGGCCCGCCAACCGGATGCCGGTGGCCGGGTCTCGGGAGGGCCGCCTCTCAGGGCGGCTCAGGGCCCCCGCCCCGCACTGACTGGACGCGTCGGGGCACAGGTGGCAATGTGGGGCCTGGGCGGGGCTGCTGTGTGGCTTTCATGTCCTTCTGGTCACCCCCAAGCCCCATGCAGGGCACCCTGGAGAACGGTCACCCCAAGGCAGCCAGGAAAGCCCTGGTCCTCCAGAAACTATGGGCCCCTCCCCAACAGCGGCCTCCCACTTTCCCCGCCCCCAACCCTCCGCAGCCCAGGCCTCGGTCGGCGGGCCTGTCACCCAAACCACAGAGAAGTCAGTCACAAGTGGGATCCCCCCAGTTCTGTCCTCCTGCCTTGGGTCCCCACCAGCGTTTTGCTTAACGTCACCAGCGGCCATTCTCTGAAAGAAGCCGTGCCCGGGAGAAGCCCACAGACAGGCCCCCGGGGGACGGGGAGAGGCTGTGGCCGGGACTGGACCCGGCGCCGCGCCGGCTCTCCGGGGCGGGGGGTGGGGGTAAACCGGGACGCCCACGGCCAGAAACCCACAGGAGTCCGTCCACAGAGGCGCAGGAGCGGGAGGGACCGGCCAATCAGAGGCTGTTCCCTTAGACACTGAGCAGAACCCGGGGTCAGACCCCAGCTCCGCCGTCCAGAACACCAGGCCAGCGCCTATCGCCTTGGCAGGAAGTTTGCTCCCCGGGGTGACGGCAGTGGCTCTGAGCCCCGTCCCAGCAGAGCCACCAAAAAGCCCAGCCCCGGGCTCAGGGGTGAGACACCCCGCAGGCTCTGAGGGGCGCCCGTCGCCGGGAAGCCAGGAACGCAGGAGGACATGCACCTTCTGAGGTGGCACGGGGGCCCAGGTCGGGAGTCACCTCCTCGGGCTCCGGAGCCTGAAGAAATCCCTGCAGGAGAGAGAGAACGGTGAGGACAGAGCGGGAGGCCCCCGGGTGGGGGGGTGGGGGGGAAACAGGCTGGACGGGGGAGGTGCTCGGAGAGAGGTGCCGGAGGGCCGAGCCCCGGAGGCCCTGCCTGCCTGTCGCGGCGCCTCCGTCAGCAAGCACACTTCGTCCAGCGCCCGTGCCAACCCCGAGGCGGAAGGGCACCCGCAGTCGGCCCAAGGCAGCCACCTCTCTCCCCAGGGAGCCACTTCACACCCAGGAAGCCCCGTCCCCAGGGCCCCGGACAGTCACCCACCTGCGGGACCTCAGGGAGCCCGCGGCAGCCCAGGAGGAGGAACCCAGAGGTGAGAATCGCCCACACACACGTCCCCCCGGGGCGAGGCTCGCTCATCCTGGCCGACCACAGCCTGCTGGCCCCGGGAGCCCCGAGACGTCTGGAGTCCAGTCGGCCGGTCTGGAATGTGACAGACCCCGCTGGGCTGGGCGGGGCGGGGCCCTCAGGCCGTGTTTACTTTTGGGAGCTTCCTCCCAGGGCAGGCTCCTCCTACTGCGCCCTCCCGGCCCTGCCCCCGGGAGGGGGCCGGCCCCGGGGTCTGCAGCGGGGGCCGCCAGCGGGCCCCCACCAGCGTTCGGGCTCCGGCGGCTGCTCTCCTCTGCTGATGCCCCTGCCCGCCGTGACCCGTCCGCTGTCCTGTCCTCACCCCCTTCCTCACCCAGGGCAGACCCCCCACCCCCCGCCAGGGTACTTGCTCTTGGCAAACAGGCCTCTGCCTCACACCCTCCCGCGCCGCTCCGCGGTCACCCGTTCTGCGCCCGCACTGCACACAGTGGACGGTCACGGGACCGAGCCAGCGGCGCCCCGCTGCACTCAGCACCTCAGGCCGCCCGGCGGGCACGTCACCCCCGGGAGGCTCTGGGTCACCCGCTCCAAAGCACTACGTCACAGTCTCTCACACCCCCGGGACACAGCCCCAACTCCGTGCGGAGAACAGGGGTCTCGGTGGGTGTCCGCCTACCGCCGTCCCCTGTCCCCTCCTGGTCCTCGGCGATGAGGGAGGACGCCGCCTCTGTGCCTTCTGGGCCCACTCGCTTTCCTTGCCCAGGCGCCCCCCGCCCCGCCCCGCCCCATCCCCCTTCGTCTCCCACGGGCGTTCCACCCCAGGGAGTGCCGTGCGCTCCGCGCTCCGCCTCTGCGGCCCACGCTGACCCGCTGCCCGAAGCCCCGCTGCCCCGTCTGGGGCCTGGCGGGGCCTCCGCGGTCGGCTCCTCGCTGGCCCGCGCTTCCCCTCCCTGACGCCCCCGGCACACCCCTCGCCCCGCGGCGGTGCCCTTCTCGTAGCTCGAGTCAGGCTGCGTCACTGCTGCTACAAGCAACCCCCGCGTCCCTTCGCCCTTAAGATTATGTATCCGAAGTCCTCCCCGCAGCCTCCGAGGCCCTTAGCCGCCGCGGCTCACACGGCCTCAGCCAGGCCAGCCTCTCTCCGTCCCCCGTGCCTGGCAGGCCTCCGCATTTCAGCTCCAATGCAACCTCCCCAAAGGGGCCTTCCCTCAGGACCCCGTCTAAGTGGCCCTCCAGGGAAGGCTTGCCACACTTGGAAAATAAAAATCAAGACAGCCAGTTAAATGTGACTCTCAAATAAACTTGAATTTCAAATATTGCCACCATTGTGTGGGATGCATTCAATCCTTCATCCGAAACTCCGCCTTCCCTGCGTGTCCTGCATCTCGTGCGGATACCTTCCCCCTGTCATCTGTACGGCGTCTCATTTTATCGTCTTCACGTCATCCCCAAATACGTCGTTGCGTTCTCATCTGTACTCCCGAGAAGGCCCCTCGCACGCACAGAGCCTCGGGCGGCGACCTTAGGCGGGTGGAGGCCTGATCTGCGCCGTCTGTGAAGGTGCTGTCGGGCCAGGCACAGAGGGCGAGCGGTTTCCTCTTCTAGTAACATAAAGTAATAAACAGGTAACAACCCTGATCACACTTTGTTACTATGCGAGGTCGCTGGGCTGCCTTTGCAGACCTATGGCTCTGCGGAACCAGGCCGTGTGACCTGGGGGTCCCCCTCCCGCCCCTGGGCCTCAGTTTCCCCACTCCCTAGGGCAGATGCCGAGAGGCTGAGCTGGGAACCGCCGCGCTGGACGGGAGCGGCTCTGGCTCCCCAGGCCTGGCCGCTCGCGCCCCCTCGCGGCCGCCTGCTCCCGCCGCTCTGCCGGCCCAGACGCGGTGCTACACCGACAGCGGCCCCCCAGTTCCATTCCGGCGCCTGCGTTTCTCGTCCCCATCCCGGCTCTCGTGGGCCCCCGGGCTAACCCTAACCCAACGCTGGGTCGCTGACCCCGAATGCCGCTCGCTGGGTCGGCGACCCTTTTCCCGCGCGGGCAAAGAACCCTCCTTGCTCCCTGCCGCGCGGAACTAGAGGCGAGGGCCAGGTTTCCGGTGGGTCGGGGAAGGGAGAGCACTTCCGGGGGCCCGGGGCGCACGTGTCTAGATCCGCGAAGGGTCGCTTCCGGATTCGCTGCCCGGCGCGGGGGGCCCGTGGCGCCTTCTGTGGTGAGTCGGCTGTCAGAGCTCGGAGCCGGGGACAGTGCGCTCAGAATGGGCGCAGGGGCCGGGCGGGGCGGGGCGGGGCGGGGCGCCGTCTGCCGCCGGCCTAGGTCTGGACGCCGCGCTCTGCTCAGTCCCTAGGTCGGTTGGCGATGGCGATGGCGAAGGCGAAGGCGAACGGGCCGACCCCCAAGCGCGCCCCTGGCGACCCCGCGGCTGAGCCAGGGCTTGTCGAGAAGCGAACACGGAAAAAGAAAAAGAAGAAGAGGTTCTGGAAAAACAAAGCGGGGAATGTAAGCAGGATACCGGGAAGCGACCCCAGGGTTGCGCTGCGACCCCCGAAGGCCCCGGAGGACTTCTCCCAGAACTGGAAGGCGCTGCAGGAGGTAAGGCTGGGGCAGCGCTCTTTCCCGGCTCCGCGGACGGAAGCCAGGAGCGCGACCCGTGGGGCCCCGAAAGCGAGCCTTGCAGGCGGACTGGACACACAGCCGTTCTCAGGAGAAGGGGCCTGCGGGGAGGTTGCCAACTGCTGGGCAGGCAAACAGCAGGGACGGGAAGCAGAGGACCCCAGCAAGCCGACTCGCGGGTTTTTAGGTAGCTGGTAGCTGACGACAGCTGCCCCGATATCTGAGCTCTTAAAAGGCGCGGGCGCTAAGCATCGGGCGCGCGTTCGCGTTTGACAGTCACGCCAGCGCTGTGAGGCAGACCGCCTGTGTCCGCTCCGATTGATGGCGAGGAAACGGGCCCAGAAGGGTTAAATCATCCGGGAGGCGGTTGGGTCTGCAGGACCGGAGTCTGTCGCTGAACCCCTGCCCTGGATGTGGGCTCCCGCACCGCCTCTCCGGGCGTCAGTGGGCAGCGCTACCGGGAGGTTACTCCCTGCTGGGCGCCGGTCCCTGCGCTTTGCTCCCCAGTTCTCCCCACCACCCCTGGGGTCGGCTGCTGCTGTTGGTTTTCTAGATGAGGCAGTTGAGGCAGAGAACGGAGGCACTTGGCCCACGTCACCCAGCTAGTGCTCTGCAGGCGGGGGTGCGAGCCCCACAGGCGGGCGTGAGCGTGTGCTGCGGCTGCTGCGGGCCTTCAGGGTCTCTCTGACAGTTTTCTGGAGCCTGTTCTGGAGCCTCTTCACCTGCTGGGTGGCACCTCAGGGTGGAAGGCCGCAGCAGGCTCCTGTCTTGACAAACAGGACCCACAAAATCCCCCGCGGGCCCGCCAGGGTCCCACCTGGGTTTCCGGAGCTGCGACTCTGCCTCTTGGTCTCAGGAGAGTAAAGCACAGTTGAGTGGAAGCGGGGCTTGGTGGGAAAACGGTGAGCTCTGTCGAGCGCATCCGGGAACGTAGGTCTTCTGGGTCCCCTCCCGCCGGAGGCGGCCGGGCAGCCTCGTGGGCGGTTCCTGGGCACCAGCCTGTGGGCCCGAGCCGTGCGGCAGCTCCTCCAACATGAGCTCGAGTTACCGCGACGTGAAGGCAGGCTGCTCGGTGCTCCCGCGGGCGCCGGAGCCCCTGCTCACCTGTTCGCCGGGCAGCCGAGGCACGGAGCTGAGCTTGCCAGCCATGCACCATAACTTACAGGCGAGAAAGACGAGAACAGCCGGGGCCTGTCTCCAGGCCGCGTGCAAGCGAATTTCAGGGATGTCACCAGGACGTGTACCAGATGTGATGGGGGAGGGGGGGTGTAAGTGTGTGCGCGCATGTACCTATACATGTGTAAGTCATTCCAGTTGCTTGTGCATGACATCCAAGGTAAAGTTGTGCGTTTCATCTTGGGTCCCCGTAGCTGCTGAAGCAGAAACCGCAGGCCCCGGAAAAGCCCGTTGTCGCCACTCAGGCGGTTTCCAGGGCACAGCCCCCAGCCCTGCGACAGAGAGGCAAGGCCAGGCCCGGCGCAGCGGGCGCGGAGGACGCAGGCCTGGCGGCGCCAGCACCGGCACCACCCACAGAGGGCAGCGGCGTGGGGCACAGCCAGAAGGGAACCAAGAGAAGGACCAATGGCGACCTTTCTACAAACCAAGGGGACCTCAAACACAGGAAGCGGAAAGCGGAGGCAGTGGCTGCAGCCTCGACTCCAGCCCCGCCCACCGAGTAAGTGCCAGCGTCCCCGCAGGAGGACCAGCCCGTGGTGCCTGGCACGGCCCGTGCCGCTGGCCTCGGGCGCCATCGCGCTGAGGACAGCCAGCACCTAAGGCCCGGCTCCTTTAGGAGGCAGAGCCGGCCCCTCGCGCAGCCTCTGCATCACCGCCCTGAGGCTCTGTTTCTTGGCTCACTGCCTGGTGCTGCTAGAACAAGGCAGGATGCGAGCGGGGTGGCGGGGGAGTGGGAGGTAGGGGGCGCGGCCCAGCCGGACGGGGGAAGACCTGGCCTCGAGGCCGATTCCTGTGTCTTGATGGTCGGGTGGTTTGGGGCACGTTCCCGATGTCCCCCACCCCCAGCCCCGGGGCATCTGTGGTGTTTGTCGGGGCGGGGATGAGACAGGGCATGCTGAGTGCCCCGCGGTGGCTCCCTGGGTCCTGCGCTGGCCACTCCCACAGGGAGAGTCGGCTCCGCTGGGGGCAGCATGTTGCGCGGGCGCAGGGCGGAGCCGTCTGAGAGGCTGCCTCGGGCCGCTGTGCCCCGCACGCTGTGCAGACAGAGAGCAGCCGCCGCAGGCCTGCCCTGCAGAGGCTGACGGTGACGTGCGGAGCCGGATGGCGCACTGGGGCGACCGCCTCGGCAGGGCTGTGGGTGTGAGCACCGGCGGGGAGCCGGCCCCCTCGGCCGGGCGGGGGGGCCTCTCAGGAAGCGATGCTCAGCCCGAGCCCAAAGGACGCGGCTCGCCGCCTGCGTGGGCGTGGGGCCCGGCGTGGAGCTGTGGCCGTGACAGGCGGCAGGCCCCGCGTGCCCGCGTCCCTGCTGCTGGCTGTATCGGCGTCTCCGCAGCGCTCGACACGCAAGCACATCCCTCTGTAGGGAAACAGGAGACGTGGGCTTAGCCGTTGCGCCTCAGCGGGGGCTGCACGCTCCTGTCTCGTGCCGCTCGCCTTTGCTCTAGTCCCGAAATGCCCCATGACGAGTGCGTCTTCTGCCTCAGCAGAAAAGCTGTGAGAGGCAGTGGCCGGCCACCAGGGTGGCAGCAGCGCCCACGTGCGGGCCGCGCCGCAGGGGCTTCCGCTCCAGCGGCGCGGTCAGCCTGCCCCTCTGCCTTTCAGACAGGACATCTGGTTCGACGACGTGGACCCGGAGGACATCGAGGCGGCCGGAGGCCCGGAGGCAGCCCGGATAGCGCGGCGGCGGCTGGGGGGGCGGGGCAGCGGCATGGCGCTGGAGAAGCCGCAGGCCTTCAGAGGGTGCGTGGCGGGGGGCGGGGGGCCTCTGGGGGAGCCGCCTTCCGCACCGATGGGCTGGGCACCCCCCACGCCCGGTGTGAGAGCTGGTGCTGCCGAACCCGTTCCGGCCCCGCGCCGCTCACTGGGGCCCCGGCCCCCCGCCCCGCAGCCTGACCAGAGCCGTGGCCCTGGACTGTGAGATGGTGGGCGTGGGCCCCGCGGGGGAGGAGAGCGTCGCCGCCCGCGTGTCCATCGTGAACCAGCACGGGAAGTGCGTCTACGACAAGTACATCAGACCGGCCCGGCCCGTGACCGACTACAGGACGGCGGTCAGCGGCATCCGGCCGGAGCACCTGCAGCGGGGTGGGTCCCTGCCCGGGGCTGGGGGGCTGGAGGGCCTGGGTCTCGGTGCTGTCAAGCCCCCCCGCCCGAAGACAAGCGTGCTGTCCCTGCGTGGCTCTGTCACGTGGCGGCGGGGACCGAGCTGGAGGCCACTCGGGGGCGGGAGGTGAGACAGGGCCTTGGGGGGCTTCTGACAGCGTTGGGAAGCCATGGGAAGGCCGAGCACAGAGGGGCCTGGGCTGCTCAGGTTCTAGCAGGCTCGGCCTGGCTGTGGCTGTCGCAGCGGTGGGCTCTGGGGCCCGAGGGCGGAGAGGGAGGCTGAGGTGTGTGTGGCTGGTGGCCGGGTCAGGCGGCGACTGCGTGTGGTCAGCTGCGGACACACCGAGGGCCACGTCGGGTTTGCGGGTGGGCTGGGGGCGGGCAGAGAGGCGTCGGACGTGAGGTTGGGGACCGCGGGGCGGCGGAGATCCCAGAAATTCAGGGATCGAGGCCCCTGCTCTGTGTGGGGACAGCCATGGGGCCCCTTCTCGGCACCCCGGGTCTGTCCGTGCGGGAAACGGCTCCGCGCACCCCAGGCCTGCTGGAGGGTCACGGTGGGCGGGGTCGCAGGGTGCCGCCACCCCCTCCCTTTAGGGGGTGGGAGCAGCCCCAACGCATGCGCTGCGGCAGCAGCCAGGGCCTGAGGGCGGAGCCACGCTTCCCGCATCTGCGGCCACGGAGGGCTGCGCTGGTCCCCGAGGGGAGGGACAGAAAGCACCAGCCTGGTCTTGGCCGACTTGGTGGCGCTCAGGCCGTGTGCCCGGCTGGGGGCGGGGGAGACGGCCACTGTCCCACAGTGTGAGCCACATGGGCCTGGGGTATAGCGGGCCCGCGTCCTGGGCCAGAGTTCAGCCTGCCGGCCCCAGGGCTCCACCCGGAGAGCGGCCACGACTCACTGTTACTCAGAACTGCTTTTTCGGTTCGATTTCAGGAGAAAAATTTGAAGTTGTTCAGAAAGAAGTGGCAGAGATGCTGAAGGGCCGCATTCTCGTTGGCCACGCGGTACATAATGACCTGAAGGTGCGTGTGTCCCCCTCCCCCGCCCGCCTGTGCCTGGTAGCCGGGGGCAGGGCGAGGCCAGGCATTTCGTTAGAGCCCTTCAGTCCTTCAAACGGGGCTGGGCCCTCAGGCATGTCCGTAGGTGGTGGGACCGAGGCTCCGCCTCCACGGTGTTGACCCAGGACAGCTGGGTGCCAGCGGGACAGGGTGCAGGCCCCTGCCCCCTGCTGCAGCACCCGCACAGGGACGTGGCCCGGCCAGTCTCTGCCGCCCTCACCCGGCGAAAGCGGAGCCCTCGCGGCGGCTGCTGCGGTGGAGGGGTGGCCAGTGGCGGCAGCAAGCAAGCTCCGAGTGCATGGCCTCCAGCCTCTGCTCCTTGAGGGTCCGTCCTGAGGAGGACCGGAGCCTGCCTGCCCGGCCGAGCCATGCACACCGTGTTCCGTGGCGCCCGGGGAACACTGAGTTCAGGGGCCGCTGCCGCCGGTCCCCACCGCCTCTGAGGCCGGCCCTGGCCTGCGGGAGCCCGCCGCCCGGCCCCCGAAGGGCCTCTGTGGTCGGCGCTGCCCCTGAGGCGCCCCCACCGCCCCGTCCGTTGCCATCCCCGCCCCCCGTGTGGCACCGGTGCCCCTGCGGGCCGAGGACAGGCTGGCTGCTGGGTCGCGGGTCGCGGCCCAGGCTCCGGTGCACGGCTTTTCTTAATGGGGTTCTTGCGGCGGGGCGCCGCTGGCTCGGTCCCGTGACCGTCCACTGTGTGCGGTGCGGGCGCAGAACGGGTGACCGCGGAGCTGCGCGGGAGGGTGTGAGGCAGAGGCCTGTTTGCCAAGAGCAAGTACCGTGGCGGGGGGTGGGGGGTCTGCCCTGGGTGAGGAAGGGGGTGAGGACAGGACAGCGGACGGGTCACGGCGGGCAGGGGCATCAGCAGAGGAGAGCAGCCGCCGGAGCCGGGCGTTGTCTTGAGTCATCGTGAGAATTTTTTTCAGCGTTCAAATTCACAGCAGTTCCTTTTTGTGTGTATGCGTGATACTGGAATTCCTCGTAAGCGGTCATTTGAAAAAAAGGGGTCACGGCCACCAGCCAAAAATGACAGCACCGCCCTGGTCTTTTCTTCCAGGTTCTTTTTCTCGATCATCCGAAAAAGAAAATTCGAGACACGCAGAAATACAAACCTTTCAAGAGCCAAGTGAAGGTACTCCCCTGGGGCCCCTATGCCGAGGTGGCTTTGCTGGCTCCGCAGTTGCCCCTGCCTGGCCCCGGGGGCCGCCTTGTGGGCTAAAGGGGTTTTATCTTTTCTTTAACCCAACTGAAAGGAACCTTAACGAGCAGGGTCCTGAGGCCACGCAAAAGCGGGCGTGACGGAGGCCCGGCGGAGTCCACCTGGGCCTCTGAGGAGAGCAGGGCGGCGCCGAGCCCCGCGCCTGCCCCAGGGCGAGCCGCCCGCAAGCGCCACCGGCTGCAGGCACGTCCAGTGATGGTCACTTCGGGGGGACAGTGCCCCCAGCGTGGCCGTGTGCCGTCCCCTGTCCCCGCAGAGCGGAAGGCCGTCCCTGAAGCTGCTGGCGGAGAGGATCCTGGGGGTCCTGGTGCAGCAGGCGGAGCACTGCTCGGTGAGTGGGCCCAGGGGCCAGTCCTCGGGGTCAGGCCGGGCCCCACCCGGCGGCGGCAGCACCGTGCCACCTACCAGGCCGTAAAACGTGACCCGGCACAGTGGGCTCAGAAAGGGCGAAACTCCGTGGGTCACGCTACAAGCGCAGCACTGAGAAACCTGCCCGGGGTGGGGGAAGGCCCACAGGGTGGGGCACCCGGGCCCGTGCTGTGGCCTCCGGCCTCGCACCCCGCCTGGCCGGCCGCCCCTGCGCGGCTCCCCCGTGACTCGCCCGGTGTCTGTCCCGTGGCCGTGCGTGTCACCTGCGGGGCCCCCCAGGTTCAGGACGCGCAGGCGGCGATGAGGCTGTACGTGATGGTGAAGAGGGAGTGGGAGCGCGCGGCCCGGGACAGGCCCCCCGCCGCCACCACAGCGCCCCGCAGCCGGACGGATGCTGCCCCGCCCCGCAGCCGCGTCCCCGTGCACAGGCGCTTGTGACCACACCGCAGACAGAGCAGATCTCCCGGGAGTGGCAACGGAATTGTGGCGGCGGGGGTGGGGCCGCCGAGAACAGCCGCCTCCCTCGGGCCTTTCCGTCTGAGCCCTGGTCCCGCTGGGGCAGTGGCCCGCGGGGACCACGCAGAGGCGCCCGGCTGAGCCCGGGCGTCAGGGCGTCAGGGCGGGAGGCGGGGCTGTGCCGCTGCCCTCCTGCCACCACCCTGCCCTCTGGGCCCCTCCTTCCATCACTGCCAGACTCACACGGGCCCGGGCCTGTGTCCGCGTGAGCCGGGCCAAGCCCCGCCCAGGAGTTTGCTGCAGCCGGCTCTGGACCAGGAGACTTCTGTGCCCTTCTGTCCCCGCCCCTACTGCCTGCCGAGCTGAACGAGTCGGGGCCCCAGGAGCCCCCGCACATGGCGATGCCAGCTACACGCTGAGGCGGCGCCTCTCCCGTGGGCACCGCCATGCGGGGCTCTGAGGGCCTGGCCCTGGACCCCAGAGAACGAGCACCGAGCCGACAGCGTGAAGCCCAAGGCTTCCCTGCACCTCCCGACAGGCACCGAGGGGGCCGAGCCCACTGAGGAAGCAGTTGGCCATAAAGGAGGTTTTTACTTGCAGTAGAGCCTGTTTCTCTCCTTTGTCTAGAATGGCCTGGAAGGGCTGCTATGTCCAGTGTGGCCGCCTGACCCACCCAGCCAGGGCCGGGGCTTATGGGGCAACAGGAACCCAGCACCATGCCCCCCTCCCCCCAGCTCTAAGGAGAAGGTCCTTGGTGGGGGGCTCCGGGCGAGGTGGCTGCATCCTCAGGCGGAGGCGGAGGCGGACGCCCCCCGGCCGCGCAGAGCAGCCCGGCCTCCTCCAGCCTCAGGAGCACCGTTTCTGCGCAGGAGACCAGCTCCTGCGGGGGGGGGGAGAGATGCGCGGTCACTCCCCGTGGGCAGCCTGGGGGCCCCGAGGAGCTACTCGGTGACTCAGTCCACTTCCCTCGAAGGGGTCTGGCTGCCCTCTCCTTAGCACACAGACGCAGAGCCACCCCAGGCGCTGCTGCCTGAGCCCGGCTCAGCCCCCGGGCGTGGGGTGGGGGTGGGGCCTGGCTCGCGGGGTCCCTTCACACGCACCAGGCTGGAGGAGAAGCGCCCCTTGATCTCCTGAGCCAGGGCCCCGATGCCGCTGGACGCCAGCTCACACAGAGTGTCCCCTGCGGGCACAGCAAGGGTCCTGGGGCCGCGCGAGGCCTCTGCCCTGCTCCGGGGCCCCAAGCCCAGCCCGCGCGCTGCTCTGCAGCTCCTTCGCAGGAGTGGCCTGCAGGACAGGGCTGCATCCCTCCCACCAGGCAGAGCTGGGGGCAGCCACCTGAGCCCACCCCCCGGCCCTTGGAGGGGCAGCACTGCCAGCCGGGCGGCGCTCACGGTAGGCGGCGAGCCGGGCCAGCAGCCGGCTCACGTTCTCCACCACCTCCGGGTCGTCCCTGTGCCGCGCGCAGGTCTCCCGGATGAGGTCCAGGCCGCTGCCAAGCTCCTCCGGCACCACCACCCGCAGCGCCGCCAGCTCTGGGGGTGAGGGGAGGGGGCAGCCAGTCACCCCCTGTGCCTCCGTGCCCTCTGGCGAGGGTGACGGCTGGACCGGGCCTTGAGGCTGTTGGGGCCGCACCGGCTGCAGCTCCTGTCCTTGCTGGGTGAGCCTCCCGGGGCCCCTGAGCTGGGGGCTGGCCCCGGGCCCACAAGGTGACGGGCTCCTGCTGCCTGGGGGCCTCACGGTCGCAGCCCCCACCCCCCAGGTGCACGGCAGGGTGGGCGAGGCCAGCGACGCCACGCAGAGGACGTGTCAGACCCTCCTGGGACCTGGGGGAGACCGACAGTCTGCGGAGGTGGCCAGGCCCCATTCTCACCAGCTCCGCTCTGGCGTCCGGGCACTGGATTCTGACAGCCCTGCCCCTTGCGAGCCCCGCTTGGCCCTTTGGCCCCCAGGACCTCGGCCTCCGCTCCGGTCCCACAAGGGCGGGGCTCGCTCTGGCAGACAGCAGTTGGGGGCGCCTGGGCGGGCTGGGGGCCAGCCTGGAGCCCGAGTGCCTCTGTCTGAGAGGGGAGCCTCTCCCGGGAGCGCAGAGGGCCCGCCCCCTCCTGAGGCCCCTGCCAGGGAGGCTGGGCCACAGGCCAGGCCTGTGCACATGCCGGGGGGCCTGGTCTGTGCAGACCCCGCAGGGGCGGGAGCACCGCACAACCAGGCCCGAGGGGCTGCCAAGGTTGCTGTGCGGGCTGCGCGGGGCGACTCGGCGGGTGTGTGCCCTGCGGGGGGAGCCAGGACAGGCCTGTCTCCCGGGCGGCCATGGTCAGCAAGGTGCGTGGGGCACCGGTGTCCCTGCTCATGGGTGCAGAGGCTGGGAAGGTCGCAAGAGAAAAAGTGACAAACGTGTGTGTCGGTCTCCACGGCAGCTTCTGGAGGATGGGGCTCCAGATGGTCTTCCTTTTCCATGTTGGGGACCTTGCTCCCGTTAGGGACAGCTAGCGGCCACCCCTCACGTTTTGCCCACGCCTCCCGCCGGCCGCGGGCTCACCGGAGACCTGGGCGAGGCTGGCCAGCCCCCGGTAGGCGTTGTTCACCAGCAGCACCCTGTCCTGGCCCAGCCGGATGCTCTGCAGGAGCAGCGACACCACCTCTTCCAGCCGCTGCTCCTCGATGCAGCCTGCAGGGGCGGGGGGGTTGGCGTGGCCTGTCACCGCGTGGGCCCGGGGCCGCCCCCTGGCCCGGGGCCCCGGGAGGCTCACCCAGCAAGGACAGCAGCCAGAGCACCGCACAGCCGGCCTCGGCCAGCTCCACGTCCGCAGGGTAGGCGGCCAGCACCTCCACAACAGGGGCCGTGGCTTTCTCCAAGGAGGCCTTGTTCCCAGGGTCGGCTGGGGCCGGGACAGGGCGGAGCAGGGGACACCTCACTTGGGGGCTGGCAGCATTGTGTGTGGGACCCCAGCTCTGCCTCCCCCCCCTCCCGGACAGCAGGGCGGCGGGGGGACGGCTGTCCTCCAAGGTGTGAGGTGGCTAGGGGGCTTTCCAGCCCGCCAGGGAGGCTACGTGTGACGGGGCGGGGGCTCTCGTCCCCAGGGAGGCCTGGGTGTGGGCGCGGCCCCTTGGGCTCTGCTCCCCTGCCCCCCCCCCCCCCCCCCCCGCCGGGCCCGCTGCTTTTCCTTACTCTGCTTTATTGACTGTGCTGTTACAGTCGTGCTGATTTCTCCCCCGTGGGCCCCTCGCCCATCACCCCACCCCCTCAGGCCACCCCGCCGCCCGCGTTCGTGCCCGTGGGCCGTGCGCACAAGCTCTTCGGCTGCTGCTTTGCCCGCGCTGCGCTTTACGTCCCCGCGTGGCTGCTCTGCGACGGCCGTTTGCGCTTCTGAACCCCCTTACCCTTCGCTCGTTCGCCCACAGCCCCCCCCGCCTGGCGACCTTCCCGCAACCAACGGCCTTTCTCTTGCGGCTTCTACGATTCTCTCTCTCTAACCTTTGGCCTTCTAGTAAGGGTGCACCTTGGCGTGGGCCTCTTTGCATCCATCCTAATTGGGTTCCGCGCCTCCTGGCTGGAGCCCCTCTGACTCACAAAGGAGGGCAGGCTGACTTCCGAAGCCAGGGGCGGTGGGGTAACCCCCGGCCGTGGGAGCTGGGGGCGCCCCAGGAGGGACCACCCTCGCCTGCCTCTCCCTCTGCCCCTGGCTCCTGAGGACCCCTCACGGGCGGCGGCCTGTCCTGAGGAGCACGAGGCACAGGCCGAGGAGAGGCCCTCACCGTCCACCAGCAGCACCCAGAGCAGGCCCAGGCCCGCGAGGCCGAGGTCCCGGTCCCCGGAGCAGGTGCCCAGGCGCTCCACCACGTGCTCCAGCAGCCCCGCCTTCCGCAGCTCCTCCGCAGCGCCCTCTGCCGGGGGACCGAGCTCAGGACCGCGCGGGGGCCCCGCCCCCAGCACCGCCTCCACCGTGCGCTGTCCCGCGTCCCCGGGCGGCAGCCCCGGGCCCCCTACAGGACGGGGCCCTGCTAGGCCGGTCCCAGGCGTCCCCCCGGACCACAGGTCCCAGCACCGCCTGTCCCGTTACTGGGCTGGGCCCTGCCGATGTCACTTTCTGTCCACAGGACCCAGCCCTGCCTCCCGGGCCACGGAGCCGGAGCCGGCCTGAGCCTCTGGGGTCGCGCTCGTCCCGGCGGATGAGTGCGCCCGGCAGGACCCCTGTTGTCCCGTGGTGCCCTGCCCCCTCCCCACAGCGGAATCGCTGGCGGGGGCAAATCACCCAGTCCATCGCCCCGCCCCCACCCCCGCCCGGGCACCCGGTGAGGGTCCCGGGCTCCCGACGTGGGGCTGGGGAGGAGGGGAGGGCGCGCAGCCCCGGGCACTGCCCCCCACCCTCGTTGCCCACCCCCTCGCCTTCCACCCCCACCCGTGCACGTTTGTGGAGGGGAGGAGAGGGGACAGGGCGCGCGGGTGAGACAGCCCGACCAGAGGCCCCGCGCTGCCCTGCCCGGGCACTAGCCCGGCCCCCAGGTGGGCGGCAGACACACCCCGGTTGCAGACGATGGTGAGGAGGCTGTAGACCTTGACCGTGAGCTGTGGGGCCTCTGGGTGGCTCCGCAGGATGCTCAGCAGGACGGGGGTGAGCGAGCTGTCCCTCGGGACCTCCGCGGCCGGGCTCTGCACCAGCGCTGCTGGGACCAGTGGGAGAAGCCCCAGTGCTGGGGACGGCCGGCGGGGCCGGGGGGCGTTGGGGGGCTAGGATGCGGGCCCGCCCCTCCCCGTGCTTCCCGTGCGGGAGGCCGAGGTCGTCCTGGTCCTCCCGACACGGGGCAGGCCCCCATGGGTGCTCGGTGCGTGCTGTGTGAGCGGGTGGGGACCCGGGGCGGAGGACCGGCCTGGCCCGCGCAGCCAGCGGCGACGGGCCAGCCGAGCGCCCACCTTGGCCCAGGATGCGCAGCAGCAGGGAGCAGCCGCTCAGCTGGATGTCCACGATGCTCTGATGCTGCTTCAGGACGGTGAGCAGCGCCTCCACCAGCTCCGCCGGCCACGGCAGACCTGGCAGGGCAGCGGCACGAGCAGGCGTGGCTGAGCGGCGGGGGTGGGAGGGGTGTGGGCCAGACTGGGGCGCCAGAGAGGGCTGGCGTCCGCAGGGCGCCCCGCACCCGCACAGGCCCCACGGACAGGGGGGCGGCGAGGCAGGGTGACCGTGCTTGGCGTGGGGCTGCCCCAGCGTCTTGTTCTCCGGGCCCCAGCGCTGGGACCAGCCACGCTTGCGTGCCAACATGAACACAGGGCAGCGCCGCTCTGGGCCGCCTGCCTGTCCGGAGCCCTGGCCCCGGGAGGGACCCCCGGCTCTCCTGCCGTGCTGTGCTGGGCACCACCGAGGGGCGAGAGGCAGGGCGGGCGGGCCAGCGGCTGTGGGTCCACCCTGACCCCACTGGCTCCCCACTGCCGCTCCCCTCCCGGTCCCTCCCTCTCAGGCCTGAAGTGCCAGCGCCGGGGAAGGCCTGAGGCAGGTGTGGCTCTGGGCAGCAGGAAAGGCCACTGTGGGAAGGGGCCCAGCAGCCTCGCAGTTTTCTGCAGGAAGGAAAATTCTCCCTTCCCATGGACTCTAGCCTGGCCACGCTTGGCTCCAGAGGGGTCCCCGGGAACGAGGGAGGGAGGGAAGGAGGGAGGAACAGGCAAAGGGCCAAAACGAGGTCTCTGTGGCCGCAGCACAGGGCCCGGCCTCTGTGGAAGGAGGCAAATGAGTGGGGGACAGACAGGCGGACAGATAGTGGGGGGACGGGCAGATGAGTGAACAGGTGAACCGCTGAGGAGGGGACGGACGGATGGATAAGGGCCACCCTCCAGCTGCTGTGACAGAGGTTGAGTGGATAGGTTTTAGGGAACCATGTTTTAGCATAGTTAATAAGATTATACTCGTTCCTAAGAGACAGGGTTGGGGAAAGAGCGGCTCACGCGCCCTCTTGGTAGGCGGGTGAGCCAGCGCATCCGTGGAGGGCGATTTGCCGCATCCACGAAAGCGGGACATCTTTGCGCCCTGAACCCCCAGGGGTGTGACCTGCGGAAGCACCCGCGCCCGCGTGGAGCGCGCAGAGCAGCGCCGGTTCCCCGGGCAGGACGTGAGCCACCGCTCGGGCCGGTCAGCGGGGTCGCTGCACGCGGTGCCCATCTGCCTCCGCGGCCACGAGACTCGGGGGAGCGGGGGCCACGGGCAACGGCCTGGGTCCCAAGCCCCGTACCCCCACCCCACCCAGGTGACAGCGGCAACACAGAACTGCAGCCTGCCCCGTCCTAGCAGGTCCGAGGGACACAGGCCCTGCCGGGGGCAGAGCCCAACCCCAGGGGTGTAAGGGACAGTGCTGGAGAGCTCAGGGCGAGGGGGCGCGGAGCGGAGGGGTCTCCACCTAGCTGGCTGTCGGGCATCGTCAGGAGCCTGTCCACGACCTTGAGCTGCACTTCGGGCCGCCTGGGGAAGTTCCGCATGACCTCTGCAGGGAGCACGGGGCGGGGGGCGCCTGCCTGTTCATCTGCCCAACGGCCCGGGCCCCACTTCCCGGGCCCAGGCGGTCGGGCTGCAGGTGCTGCTCCTGTCGGCCCCCTTCCAGGCCACGCCGGCCTCGAGTCTGAGGGCAGGCCCGGCCCCGCCCAGAGCTCTCCCCGCTGCCCCCCCCCCGCCCCCTGCTGCCGCCTGGGCGGTCGGGGTCGGGGTGGGGGTGGGGGGTGCAGAGCAGGCCTCCGCCTTGGATTCATCGCTAACAACCCCGCCCCAGACACGAACCGCGGTCCCCGGACGCAGGCGCAGACCCCTGTCCTATGGCCAGCTCGACAGACCCCCCACCCTGCCTGTCTGGGCCCCCGTTGGGGGGTCCTGCCAGGATCCCTACTTCACACAGGGAAACTGAGGCTCAAGGCCGCTCGGCGAGCGGGTGGCGGGTTTCTGCCTCTGAAGCCCCTGAGCACAAGAAACGGGGAAGCTGAGCAGCCAGCGCCTCGTGGACGCCCTTCCGCGGACACGACCGCCGCTGGCAGGCGGGGCGCCCATGGAGACCCGGGTGGAGCAGGGGCAGCAGCCTGCCCACACGGGGACACGGGGGGCCGGGCGAGCGGAACTGCCCTGGGACTTGAATGACCTCCAGACCTTGGGGTGCCAGCCACTACACCGGGAGCCGGAGAGCCCGGGGCGCGCGGGGGGGGCCCTGCACACGCCCCGGGGTGCTGCGTCCGGGGGTGCTGCGTGCTGGGCGCGCACTGGCCAGGTGACTGAGACCTGCGTGGGTCAGGTCGCAACACGCTTTCTCCCCCTGCAGGGAGGCGCCTGCTGCCCGGGGTTCTGGGTGAGCAGGGACCACGCAGGAGGTGCCGCGGCCTGGGGACCACGCTGGAGCCACTGCGTCGGGTGTGGGGGCCGCAGTGCAGGGCCTTTGGAGGGGTGGCATGGTGGTGGGGGGCCCTCAGCAGCAGGAAGGACAGGGGAGGGGGCTCGGGCCAGGGCGCTGGGCGCTGCTGCAGCCCCTGAAAGCCAGGGGCATGCTGGCAATGGATGGAAGGGTGGCTGGAGCTGCCCCGCCTGCCAGCCCCGCGGCGGGAGCTGCCCAGGGGGCTGGGCGGCGGGGGAGGCACTGACCCTCGGGAGCTAAGACCCGGCAGCCCCATGGTGCCCTCCGCCTGGGCCCCCCCAATCACCTAAAATGCTGGCCACGTGGCCTTCCAACAGGATGTCCGAGATGAACGCAGGCACCGCCCGCTTCTCCAGCATCAGGGCGACGCTCGGGGACCTGAAATTGCTTTCCTCCAAGGCGCGGTGGATGACGTGTCTGCGGAGAGGGATGCAGCCCGTGACCCGGCCCGTGCGGCTCTCCCTCGGACAGGCGGCCGGCAGTCTCGGGGCTCTCGGGACGACTGCGCGGCCGGACGCTGGACCCCGCCGTCCCGTTTGGACTCCACCTGGCAGCGTCTCTCCCATGTCACAGGTGTGTCCGGCCGGCGCTCCGGCCGACCCACCTCCAGGAGGGACAGGGGCTCCCGCCAGCGGGGCCGAGGTGGGCGGGACTGGGCCCCCGCACGTCCCCTGTGGGGACCCTTCCTCCGTGAAAACACACGATGAGCCCGCAGCCAGCTCCTGCAGCTGCGGGGTAAAAGGCGCACGCAACCTGGGCTGGCTTTGGCGCCATAGATTCCCTTTTCTCATTTTCACAAAACGGGCATTCGCCGGGTCCTCGGGCCCTGCGCCCCTCGCTGCATGGAGAAGTGTGCCTTGCCGTCTGTCCTCAAGGGCGTGCGCATAAACTGGCACTGGGGATGGGAGCCCTGGAGGCTCTGTGGCGGCGTGGCAGGGGCGGGGCCTTCACCCACGGTAGGCGATGGGGGGGCGCACGCAAAACAATGTGGAGAAAGAGGAAGCCAAGGCGGCCCAGGCCCGAGCTCACCTGGCTGTGATTCTCTCCAAGGGGTTGGTCTGCAGCATGAGGGGCAAAAGGGAACAGAAGGTCTTGGAGTGGGGGACCCGCCTCTCCTGCACGGTCCTTAGGACGCCCCCCAGGGCGTCTGGGCTTCTCTGGAGGGACTTGCGCAGCAGCATGGCTTCCGTGGCCTGCGAGGAGATGGGCAATGAACACCGGCCAGGGCGCGGGCGGAGCGCACGCGAGCAGAGCGGGACGGCGTGGCTGCTGCCCTCCGGCGTGCCCAGAGACGGCCCGCACCCCAGAGCCCCTCTGGGAGGAGCGGAGGTACACAGTGGAGCCAGCGGCATCTCCCTGGGCTGGGGCCGTGGGGACAACCCCCCTTCTGCCCACCAGGGGGCGGCTGGGGCTGAGGCGGGTGCCCCACTGGGGAAGCCGCGCCCACCAGCCCGCAGGCGGCCAGCGTGGGTCCGGTTCCCGCCGCTTGCTGCCAAATGCATCCTAAGCTCAAAACAGGCCGGTTGGTGCACGTGGAGTCCATTTTCTCACCTACCAGGAGCAATGAGAACACCTGGAGGGCCAGGTGCTGACGGCAGGGGTGGGGGGCCCTCGGGGTCTCCCGCCGCCGCAGAGGCATGGAGCCAGGGCGGGAGGAGGCGGACGCCAAGAGCTCGGCTTTGGGGCCGCCAGCCTCGGGGTGGCGGGCGTGGGGTCTGGGGGACGGTGGGCAGGCGGGCCTCACCCCAAGGAAGGAGCAGCTGAGCATGTCGAGAATGATGCAGCCCAGGGACCAGATGTCGGCCTTCTGGGTGAAGGAGAAGTTGAGGGCCTCGGGGGCCATCCAGGACTTGTGGAAGGGGTCTGCGGCAGGAGAGGGGGCGTGAGTCCTGCGCTCCCCAGGCGGCAGCGGCTTGAGAAGTGAGCCCGTCGCCGCCCTACTGGGGGAGGCAAGGGCAGCCGTCTGCGGGCCGGGGGAGGGAGAGGCACCCCTGCGCCCCCCGCCCCCGGCCAGCAGGCCCCGGCCCTGGTCTCCCGGGAGGCTGCCCGGCTCCGCGGCTGCCGCCGGACAATGGAGGCTCATGTCTGCCCCTCTGGAAGCATCGTGCTCCTCTATTTTTTTTCTCTTTGAAAGGTTTTATTTTTTAGAGAGGGACAGGGAGGAAGAGAGAGACGTCGACAGGCTGCCTCTGGTGCACAACCCAGGCCTGTGCCCCGACCTGACCTGAACCCGCAACCCTTCCGCCCGCGGGACGACGCCCCGCCCTCCGAGCCACGCCAGCGGGGGCACATCTTGCCCCTTTAAATATCAGGACCAGGGGGCAAAGTCCCGGGGGCCCCGCCCTGGTTTCTGAACCTGAACCCCAGACGCGGAGCCAACCGAGCAGAGTCCTGGGTCCGGCTGCGGGTGCTGACAGGCCCAACACAGCCCCTGCCTCTCTGGGGCTCTGTTCTCCGGCCCAACGGCACAGCGGGGGGTGCCAAGGACCCCTGCCCCCCACGCTTCAGCAGATCCCCCCACCCGCCCGCCCGCCCACCCGTTCCCCTGTCAGTCTGTCCATCCGGCCTCTGTGCACCAATAATGACCGTAGGTCGGTGCCGGGAGCGCCGCCTCCCGGGCCCTGGGGTCTGCACCGTGGCTCCCTCCTCCCCCGACGCCGTGAGAGGCTAAGCCCAGCTCCCTTTTCACCCCGTCGTCTTTTCAGAGGTCGGGGGCTCGCGCCCCCGGATTCCCCCCTCTCCCACCCCCTGGGTCAAGTTAGCGCCCGGCCCCCCGCCGCCTTCCGTGTCTGCATGTCAGGTTCCCGTGGTGGCCAGCCCCCTGTGACGGTCAGCATTTTCTGGGGGTTGTGTGGACCCTACATGCCTCCCCCGTGGCGGGGACTCTGCTCAGTTTCAACCCAGGCAGGGTCGGAGCCCACGTCAGCCTGCGTGGGGACCGGCGGGGCCGGGACAGGTCTGAGGTCTTCCGGCCCCCGGAGCGGCCCCGCCCCCGCGGACTCCGAGCAGCCCGCTTCGGCTGGAAGGCCCGGCCCGCACTGCTCCCCAGCCCCCGCTGCCCCGGGCAGGGGCGGGGGTGCGGCCACCTTCCTCTGCCCGGACGGTCCACTTGGCCTTGTGGGTCATCAGCGCCTGGGCGCTCAGGTCCTGCAGTTTGCAGTGGTTGCGGCTGACCAGCGCGACGTTGGAGGGCTTGAGGTTCCTGCAACCGAGGGGACACCTTGGCTCCCCGCCCGCGGGGCTGGCGTGCGCCCTGAACCTTACTCCCTGCCCCGCCCGGTTCCACGCAGCCACCCGCACCCCCTCTTCAGTGGAGGCCTCTCTGCACCCCACTTTTTAAATGTCGTCTCCCATAAACAGAAAACACAACCAGTTGTTTTAAATCGCAGAGAACCGGCCAGCTGCCGGCGGGAAACCGCCCCGGCCTGCTGCGGCTCCTGCCAGGCCCGAGCCCGGCCCTCGGCGGGGACAGTCCCCGCAGCAGCGGCCGCTGGCGTCGCCCCCGAGCTGGGCGTTCCCTTCCTGCCCACGGTCCACGCGGTCTTCCCCTTCTCCCGGACCTACGACACGGATCCACCCGCCGCCATTCCCGCCCCTCAGACCCCGGGTCCCGGAGGCGGGGCTGCTGGCAGGTCGCAGCCAGGGGTCAGAGGCCACGCGGCTTAATCTCCGTCCTGGGCGCGCTGCTATCTGCTCCCCTTCCCTGTACTTTAGAACCAACCCGCCCATCTTGCCCTTTGCGAAGCTGCGCGGGGAGGGTGAATCACTGGAGCTTAGGGGGTGGGGGTGACGGTCTCGCCATGCCCGGGAGGCAGGCACGCTGGACAGCTGCCCGCCCTCGTCCTGGCTGCCTGCGCCGGGGCGCGCCCTCCACCCCCGGGGTCCTGCGCGCGGGCACAGGTGGCCCCGGGGACGCGGTGCCGTCGCTCCGAAGCGCCCTGGCCCCAGTCACCTGTGGATGATGTCCAGCTGGTGCAGGTACTCCAGGGCGTCCAGCACCTGGCCCAGCACGTTGTGCATCCACTGGGGAAAGAGTGAGAGGTGCCAGTGCTGGAGGCTCCGCCCGCCGGGAAGCCACGTCGTCGGCATTGGACCCGCACCCGTCTCCACGAGAGGCTGCCGGGGGCCCCACAGCACCCCCCGGCCGTGACCGGGGGCCTTGTGTGTGGGCGGCAGAGAGGCCGAAGTCGCCAGTGCCCACTTGGGGCTCACCTCTCTGCCATCACAGGGAACAGGGCCCTGACGGGGAATGTTCTGGAAGCATTCTGCATCAGAAACAAGAGGCAGCTCGTCTGCAGGGCGGCGACGCTCTAGCCGCGTCCCTTGGGTTCCACGCGGGGGTGTCAGTAAGAGGCGGGGTGCGCAGGACCCCGGGCCTCCTCCCGCGCCCCCCGCCGGCGCCCCCAGCCCCCATGAGAGCAGGTCGGCATCTCTGACGGTTCCTGAGGACACTCTGGGCTGCAGAGGTCCCACCTCTCGCCTGGGGCCTGGCCCTGGGGCCCTGGCCGGCGGGCACGGGCCAGGGGTGCGGGGTGCTGCACACAGGGGCACCCAGAGCCCTCGCAGGCAGGGGTCATTCGGGGTGGATCGTAGCCCTAAATGTGAATGCCACGGGGACCTCGCTCAGGAGACCACATGGCCGTGGGGCAGCAAAGGCTCCCCCGCAGGGCCTGGGGCACCCGCGAACGTGCAGGGCGGGTACGCCGACGTCACGGCGAGGAAGAACGCCCACGGTTAAGGCAGAGAGCCGGGACCTGGCTGGTGGGGCTCGGTTGGTCGGAGCGTCACCCCAGCACCCAAAGGTTGCGGGTTCGGTCCCGGTCACAGCGCACACGGGAGCCGACCGATGAGGGCACAAACAAATCGGACAAGCCGGCGCTGCCCTCTCTCCTCTCTCCCTCCCTTCCTCTCTCTCTCAACTCACTAAGTAAGGATTAAAAAGAAAGAGGACTGGGTAAGCCACAGATGGGGAGAGGACTCTGGATACCAGCGCCCAGGACACATAAAGAACCTGCACAAACCAGCAGGAAACGACAGGCAAGCTGGGGTTTAAAGAGACACAAGACCTGAACGGATACAAAAGAAGATTCCCCACGGCCAGGAAGCGCTCACTGTGGTTACGCTTAATCACTAAAGTTAAACGTCATTTTTCACTACAGTAAAAGTGGTTGACTTGCTGAACTGCGGGCCAGGACCTGGAGCCGGAAGCCTCCAGCGGCGGTGGCCGTGAGACCCGGGGCGGGGCGGCCGAGCCGGCTGGGAGCACGGAGGGGCCCGGCCGCCCCTCGCCGTGGAGTCTCTCCAGGAAAGTCGAGCGTCTGGGCCCCCAAACACCCCAGCCACGCCTGGCGCCGCCTCCTCCGTCAGAGCCCCACGCTGGCCGCTGGCCGCCGCCCGCACGCGCGGCGCTGGACCGGACCCCGGCGCGGCATGGCCTCTCTGTGGGACCAGCCGCAGAGAGGGATGGCATCCAGACATGCTCACCGCGCGGGGGGGCCTCAAAGGCCCCGTGGGGGAACCAGACACAGAGGACCACACGCGGTGCACGTCCGCGTACAGGGGCTTCAGGGCCAGCAGAGGTCGGCCGCGGGCCGACCGACCGGACCGTCCGGGCTTCTGGCCGCGCTGCGCGCCCTGCTCCGGGAGGCTGGGAGAGCACAACTGTGTGAACGCGCCTAGCTGCCCACGGGGACGCCAAGGAAAAGGACGGACAGACCCGGGGCCCCCCCACCCCCACCGTGGGGCCTGTGAAGTCCACAAGGTCCAGGCGGCCCCCACGCCTGGAGTCCCAGACGGCCTGCCTTACCTCCCAGTCAATGACGGCCTTTTCCTCCCTCTTCTTCTGAATGACCTTCTGGAAGCTTCCCTTGCTGTAGTCCATCACCAAACAGAGGAACAGCGAGGAGGTCTGCTGGGGACACGGGGTCCCTTCGCCGGCTGCCGCAGATCTGGCCCCAGGGGCCAGGCTGGGCGCTTCGGCACAAGGCCACCGTCCGAGGCGGCCCCTGCTCGGGTCTCCAGCCACACGCCCCCCCGGCCCCCGGCTTGGACTTGGCTGCGGAGGCCGTGACTCCTGGGCGGGGTGCCCCGCCCCTCGCGCCCCGCTTCAGGCCCGGCCTCCGCCCGTCTCCCTCTCGGGTGGGCCTGCCTGAGGGGGACCCCAGCGCACCGGGTCCGGACCTCAGCTTGGGGCTGGGGAGGCCCCGCTCCCCCTCCCGCAGGGAGACCTCGCCCTCCTGGTTTCCCCGAGCCCCTGTAGGCGAGTCACGGGTGCTCAGAAAACGCACGGAGCGATGGCCTCCCCACAGGTCCTCTCCGAGGGCCCAGGCTAAAAGGGAGGCCGCGTGTGTGAGCGGGGCCCCCACTCCTGCCTGAACCCAGGTTAGAGTGAGGGCTGTCAGCCCCAGGTGGGGACACTGCTGTGGCCGTGTGACCGGGGTCTCGCTCAGCCCGAGGCCTCCCAGCTTCCCTCCGCCTGTGGCCTCCGCCTGTGGCCCCCGCCTGCCCTGACACTGGCCCCCTGCCTCAGTCCCGTGGCGGCGGGGAGGGTAACTGAGAGACGAGGGCACAGAGCCGACGGGGTGACGCACAGGCTCGGGGGCTGCGTGACCCGGCCGCCTCCCCGGGGAGCCCTGAGCCTCTCTGCCCCCAGGGGCTCGGGGTGGCGCAGCCTGCCCCGCAGACCCCCAGGAGCCGAGGGGGAGCCCGGAGCCAGGTGAGGGGGCAGCACGGGACGCTCCCAAGGCCCGCAGGGCTCCGTGCTGGGAGGTGCACGCGCGCCCGGGCCTTTGGCTGCAGAGCAGGCTCAGGGGCGGAGTGAGCTAGTGCCGCAGCCGCAGGCGCGCGGCCGGGTGCCCACGGTGAGGAGCTGGGAGGGACTTGTTGCTCTTAGCTCCTGTTCCTTCTCTGAACTGGGTGGTAACCCCTCCCCTACAGAGGCTGTGGGGGCGCACCTCTGACGAGGTGCCGCGAGCCCCCCGTGTGGCCCCGGTCAGCGCTGAGTCAGGGGCTGCCCCGTTTAAGCCACTGCCATTGCCCCTCGAGGGGGGTCCACAGGGCGGGGTGCTCTGTGCTCGGTTCGCGGGTCCTGCGGCCCCCAAGCGGCCCTGGCCCCAGGTGTCGGCTCCCACCCACCTGGCTGTTCCACATGATGAACATCTCCCGGTAGACGGAGATGTGGGCGTGCTGAAGCTTCAGCAGTGGCATCAGCTGCGGGCGGGAGGGCGGAGGAGGGGAGGCAGTCGGGACCCGGATGCTCAGTCCCTGCTTCCCTGTCCCACGGGCCAACAGGAACGCGGGCGCCCAGCTCCGAGCCGGCACCAGGACCGTGTGCCGCGGGCTGGTGGTTAGGAGCCACACGACCCGGGGTGGGTCCCGGCCCCCACGTGCAGGCAGCCCCTGCTCTGTGCTGGAGGAGCAGCGAGCTCCTCAGCCTCTCTGAGCCTCCTCGCCTCGCCTGAAAATGGGGAGACAGTGGCATCTGCCTTGCGGGGGTGTCGCGAGGACTGAGAGCCCCGATGCAGGCCGAGCGCCCGGCGGAGCAGAAAGGGAGGCAGGCAGGCGCGGCTGGAGAAGGCGGTGGCTTCGGCACCACACCCTCCTCACCACGGGCCCCGTCCCCGGCTGGACGTGCTGTGGGAAGAGACAGGAGGCCGGGAGCAGACACGGGGCCGCAGCAACGGAGCCCCAGGCCCGCGCCCCCCTGGGAGGGCGGGGCGGGGACAAGCGTGGAAAGCCGCGAGGCTCGGGGGCCGCCGGAGGGCCCTCTGTCCCCGTCAGAATGTGGCCTGCGCCCGTCCCTGTGCATCGGCCGCACTCTGGACCGAAGAGCTGTGTCGCGGGCAAGGTCTGAGAGCTGGCGGTTCCAGACGGAAATCAGACAAGAGACCCTCGCACAGGGCGGCCGACGCTGCCCCGTGAAATTCGAGAAAGCAAAGCAAGCTGCCCGGAGCCTGCGCGCAGCACCCAGGGCGCACGCCGGGGTCGCCGGAGTGCAGACGCTACTGTCGGAGGTGGAGGTCAGGGCCGTGAAAGAGCCTGCCGTTTCTTTGCTATTTGGCAGAGGGTTCTGCCTCCTGCCGAGTTCCTACGGCAACGGACATTCTTATCATTGAAACCACCTTTTAAAAGATGGTCAGTGGCAGGCTGGCCGAGGGACCGCGCCGACGCGCGCACGCCATCTCCTCTGCGAACACGTGTTCCAAGCTGCCGGATCCTCGGCGCACACAAGCGTATCAGGCAAGGGCGCCCCCTGGGGCCTGGGGGCTCCGGCGTCATGGCAGGGGCAGGGGCCGCCTCCGGTCCCCTGCCACCCCATCCCTCCACAGAAGAGCGCGGAACGCTCTCTGCACCCCGCGTCCCATCCTCGGGCGGGGGTGGGGTGGGGCGCCCAGAGTTACCTCCTCCAGGGCCTCGTCCGCGTGATGGTCGTCAAGGCATTCCACCTGCGGGCACACGGGCACTGGCTCAGTCACGATCCTCACTGCCACTGCCACTGCCACCGCCACCGCCATCTTTAAAGGCTCCAAGTGCCCACGAGACAACAGGCTGGCCCCGTCCCCTGGGGCGAGGCGGGACGATGGGCCAGCGGAGCAGCAAGAGGCAGGTGAGGGCGGCGAGCCCACAGGCAGGAGGCCTGGCGGAGCAGGACCGGCCACCTGCACGGGCGGCCGTCACCCATGTGCCCCGCCGACACCGAGGACCGCCCGGAGGTGCTGGCGCTCTTCCCCTGGGCCCTGGGTCTCCTGGCCCCCTGACTTGGACACACAAAGCGCTGTCCCCTCAGGCCTGCCCCCCCCCCGCCGCCTGCCACGCCCGAGAAGGGGTCTGGCGTCCAGTCCTTAGCCCTGTGTGACCTTGGGCAAGTCCTTGTGCTGCTCCCCGACCCCACATGGAGCTCCCCTTTTGTAAAATTGGCAGCCCCCAGCGAAGCAGCCCCCGGAGCCTCTGTGAGGAGGGGCCCGGACCCTGCTTTGCTGGGTTGGCAGGCGACTGAATGAAATGCCGCCACCCTGAACAAACGGTTGTGGTGGTTGTGGGTCCTGTCCATCCAGGTGACAGTCACGTGTGCGGGGAAGCCGGCGGCGCCTCACGCCACCCCCACGCCACGCCACGCCTCCACCCGCCTGGGTTCCCGTGTGGGGCCTGCTGGCCGAGAGGAGTCCAGCTGTTGCCGCACCGGGCTTTCTCTAACAAAGGGACGTCGAGCCTCTGACGGGGACCCGCCCCTGCTGGGTGCCAGGGGCACGGCCGCCTACCTGCTTTATCACGTGCCTGCTTCTGGTTTTTGGCTCCTCCACCACCAGGTTCACCCCCAAGGCCCCAGGACGCAGCTGGTTCAGAATCTACCAGCAGAAAGGAGAGGTCTTGGGGATCGCGCCCTGCTTCCCCTCCTAGAGCGCGCTTGGCCCCCAAGCCTCCTCGGCCCCGACTTCCCTTCGGGCACAGCAAGTGCCTCTGCCCCATTGGGCAGGTAGAGAGAGTGACCCGGAGGCCAGGGAGCTGTCTGAAGGTTGAACCCGAGCCCATCCGCTGGGGCCGGCCCCGGAGCGCCTTCCACCCCCCTTCCATTTGCGGTGAGGACCAGCGGGTGTCTAAGAGTTGGCGCACGGTTTCCCTCTCCGGGCTCGTGGTGTGATTCCGACTTCCAGCACCCGCCTCCAAGCTGGGCGTCCGGACAAGCAAGTGACCGTCCACCACGGCTACAATCATAGTCACAGCCACGCGCGTGCCTGGCACGGTGTCCGGCGCTTTGCATGCCGGTCCCCTCTCTTGCTATCTCTGTGTTCACGCCGGAGGAAACTGAGGCGCAGGGTGCCCGGTCCCAGCCTGAGGCTGCAGCACGAGTAGCCAGGGCGGCCGGATCAGGCTGGGCTCTGGGGTCTGACCCCAGCTGCCGTGCGCGCGTGAAGCCCATCGGGATGGCCGCCGTGCTGTGCCGGGCCCGGGGTCGCGGGGCGAGGCTGGATGCGCGGGGGCGTTCATCAGAGGATGGGGGCGCTGACCCCGGGTCGAGGGGCTCTCCAGCCCCAGAGGGTCTTTGGAGTCTGTAACCCGAGCCGGGTGAGCGGCCGGAATCCTGCTCAGGGCACAACAGGGACACCGTCCTGCGCGGTGACGCTGCTCTAAGAGCGCCCGAGCTTAGGCCCTCGTCTTAGGTGGCAGAGTGAGCAGCAAAACTGCACCTGTGTGTGGAATCAAGCCTTTTTTTTTCCCCCTAAAAAAAGTGACTTTGCTTTTTCAACCTCTGGCCCCCGGAAACTCACCTGCTTCACCGCTGGAGGGCTGCCCTGCCGTCCTGCCCGCCACCCCCCGCAGAGCGAGACAAGTCTACTTCACAGGCTATTTTCAGAAGGATGACATTTTTACAAGGGCGGGGTCAAACGTGTCCTGAGGTTGACATAGTATGTACAGGAGCATTAAACGTTCACTTGTTTTTATTCTGCAGCTTTTCTTTTATGAATTTTTCAGGTCCTATGCATTTTCATGGGCCAAGGAAAGGCCCGAGTCCCCCTGCCGGGGACTGCGGCCAAGGTGTCCGAGGAGTCTGGGGGCTCCTGACCACGACTTGTGGGCGCTCTAGGGTGCCCTGTCCACCCAGCCCGCGCCCACGGACCGTGGGAGAGGATGGAACTGTCTTCTTCTCTCAACATTCAGACAGACAAGGCTGGCGAGTCCTTACTTTCATCTACTGTTTCAGACGCGGGTAAACTGAGGCTCAGAGAGGCAAAGGGCACCCCGGAGGGCACCTTTGGGGGTGCCCTCCGGGCTGGAGGCATTCACTGGCCAGAAAACGGGTCCCCGTGCCTCCCTGGGGCGGGCGCGGGGCCGGGGGGACGGGGGAGGGGGTCCTTGCCTGCAGCCTCTACCGGGGCTGCGACCGTTAAACCAGTAGGGGTTCGGGATGGCAGCAGGTCCAGGTCCCCGACCGTTTGCCCCAGGCCGTCAGCCCTCGTCACCCGAGCCTCCCTGGCAGGGGACACCTCGGCACCTTGTACTTTTCCATAATGACTCCCGACCTCCGTCTCCCTCGGTGGGGCGCTGGGGGGACGCCACCAGCCGGCGCCAGAAGTCGGACCCTCGACTGAGCATGCTCAGTTGGGACCGCGTCTTGGCGAGCACCCCCATCCCCCACCCTGGGGAAGACCCTCAGCCCCGGGTGTGTCTGTCTGGCCACGTGGCCCTCTCTGCCCAAACGGTATCCGCGCCGGGGCACCGGTGCGTCCTCCTGGCGGGCAGGCCCTCGGGGCCTGGCAGCTTTACATTTCGTGCTGGGTGGAGCCTCGAACACGGAGGGCGGGGCCGAGCTCGATGGGCGGGGCCAGGAGAGACGCTGAGGTCGAAGCGCGGCGGGCGGGGCCGGAGCGCGGCGGGTGGGACCTAAGGGCGCGGGGGGCGGAGCCGCGAGCGCGGCGCGCGGTGCGGCTGCGGGCGGTGCGTGGCCCCTTTAAGGCGCGGCCCGGGCGGGCCCGCCGGCGCGGCCCCTTTAAGGCTTGGCCTACGTGGCAGCCGCCGGAGCTGCCGACGAGAAGCCAGGCCGGCCGCCGGGCACTTCCTGTGGAGGCCGCGAAGGGCGCGGGCGCCGACGGGCCGGACGCCGAGCGAGCGAGCGAGCGAGCGAGCCGAGCCTCCCGCCGCCGCCATGGGCCAGAACGACCTGATGGGCACGGCTGAGGACTTCGCCGACCAGGTGCGGCCTGCGGGCCCGGCGGCCTCCCCGCCCGGGCCCCCTCCCCCGGGTCCCCGCCGCTGCCCGGCCCCGACCCCGACCCCGCGCCCCGACCGTTCCCAGAGCCGGCCCCCCGCCCCGAGCCCCGCTCGACCGCCCGAAGCCTGGGCCGTGCCCTCGCCCCTCCGGATCCCACCGCAGGGATCGCGCCCCCTCCCCCAACCACGGCCCTCCGGCCGGGGCCCGTTGCCTGTCCCGACCTGGGACACCCCCAGACCCGGGCGCCGGCCCAGCCTGCCCTCCTGGCCGCCTCCTCACCACGGTCCGGGATGTGTTTCCGAGCCCTGCTTCTGCTCCCAGCTCGGTGACCCGTCCCCGCAGGCTGGCCCGGGCCTTCCTGGAAGGCGAGGGGTGTGAGCGGCCGCCTCCCCGTCCCCGAGGCGGCGGCGCGAGCCCTGGGGGGCTCGGTGAGCGCCCTGCCCTCCCGGCTGCCGGGGCCATCCCTGCCCGCCTGTCCTCTGCCCGGGCGCTCCTAGGAGGCGGGGAGGGGGGCTGGATCCTGAACCGGGGTTGGTCAGACAGGCAGTCTGGGGGTCCTCCCGGAGGAAAGGGGGCGCCCTGGCATGCATCCCAACTACAGAAAGCACGGCACGTTTTCTTTTCCCGTCCCCGGGCGTGTGGACTCGGTGGGGTCCCTTTGACCCCGCAGTTTCCCTTCCTGGACTCTGCCCTGGGGCTGATTTGAATGAGGATCCCTCTTACACAAGCCTGGGAGGAGGGGAGGCCCGGCTTCCCCGGCTCTCCTTCCCCGAGCGCACCGGCGGTCCTGCCAGCCCCGGAAGCTGCCAGGCCGGCAGCCGAGTAACCAGGCCGAGAGCCCGATGGACAGACGGAGGTCCCGGAAGGGGGACGGGACAAGCGCCCAGTCTTGGCAGTGTGTGGGGTGGGCGGGGGTGCTTAGTCTGCAAGCGTCCCTTGTGTCTCCCTGCGGGCAGACCCGGCCCTGTCTTCTTGGTGGCCCAGGACAGGCTTGTGTGTCGCCTTTGCCCGAGTTCAAAGCAGTGAGGTTCAGCGTCTGCTTTCGTGGGGGTGGATATCCCGCGCCCACCCTCTGCGGCTGGGATTCTTGGAAGGCTGGTGTGTGATTTAAAGAAAAGGGAGTGTTTCCTGATCAGCTATCAGTGAACAAGATTTTCCGTGCCCCCGCCGTGCCCCCCCCCCCGCCGGAGCTGGGTGACTGGGTTCTCGGTGCCCGGCTCTGCTGTGGCCCAATGTTATAGAACCGATCGGGACAGGGGTGGGGGGGGCGAGGTACGTGGTTTCGGAGCCTGGTTTTTCCTAAGGCCGTGATTTTGTGTTACAGACACAGTTTAAAACGTGCATCTCTCGCGGAGACAGTTGAGAGTGAAACACTCAGGAGCCGCACAGGCCTTCGCTGTTGGTTTCCATCGACATAATTTGGTGACCCAGTTTTCTCTCCCCCGGCAGCGACTCCCGAGGAAGCGGGCTCCTGTTAGCCGAGGGGGTCGCAAGGGCAGGGAGCCGCGAGGGCCGCGTGCCCTGGCTCTTTGGCCTGGAGGACCCTGGTTTTGCAAGTGAATTTCATAACCAGCTCCAGATAAAACGACTTAGTCAGGCTGCTGCCAGCTATCAGGCGATCAGCTCCCCGCTGACAAGCCCTTCAGCTCTCCCCGGGGCACGCCCTTCTGCTCCTTCGTGCGCTGCCTGCGTTACACAGACGCAGCAGAGCCTGGGGCCTGGGAGGCCCCGGTGGGCACGCAGGGCAGCTGGCACCAGGTGAGGGTCGCTGTGGGAAGGCCGGCGGGGCTGGGGGCTGCTGCCCTCTGGCCCGAGCCAGGCGACCCCGGCATCCCCGCCCTCAGGCGTGCGGAGGGAGGCTTGCGTGGCTGTCCCGTGGCCTCCCCTCCGGGCCGGCGGCGGCGGCCAGAGCACAGGGCGAGCGGTCCAGCTGGCTGGCGCCGGCCAGCTCCTTTTGAGCTGGCTCTGGCACCGGGCTCCTTGCCCTGGGCAGCCGGTGACAGTGTCCTCCGGCTCCCAGAGGGCCAGGTGCCGCACACAGGGCTGCGAGCTCTCACCGCGGGAGCCGCCGGGCACCGGAGGCCGTCTGAGACCTCGTCAGAGGGCCGAGGCTGATGAGCTCAGCAGTCCAGAATTATTTCCTGCCCTGCGCAGGTCCGCGCTGCCCGTGTGTAGTGTGACGCCACAAGCAGGGGTGCTAGCACTTACTGGGCCCTGCCTGGTGGCTTGTCACCAAGGTGGCACACGCTGCGCGGGGCCCCGCGCTCCAGGGTGGCCTTGCTCTTCTCACACGGGCTGCGTCCTGACGGAGCCAGTCTGGAGGGCTGTCACCCCCAGGGCCTCCGGGAAAGCGCTGGGTAGCGAGGACGGCCTCACGGGACGCTGAGCGGGCATGGCTGCCGGTGTCGGGCTCTGCGGCCGCGGCTCGTGCCGCCACGCGGTGCGCGCTCTGAGCGTTTCCCCCCCTCCTTCGCTCTGTCCTTTGCCCCACACCCACCCCCGGGTCTCCTGCCCCGCACCATCGGGAGTGGGAGAGAGGACGCGCGCGCTGACGCACGCTTCCCTGCTCGCCTGTCTGGGGCGGGGACGTGGGGAGACTGTGGTTAGAGAGGCCCCCCCGGAAGGTGCGGCGCCACTGGGTTCTCTGCCGCCTGTCTGCGGTGAGGGGGGCCCTTTGTCCCACGTCGGCCTTTCTTAGAGAAAGCCAGGCCACCTGTCCAGCTCAGGGCCAGTGGACCCCTGCCTGTCCCTCCAGGTGCAGCACAAAGCCATGGAGCGGCACCCAGGGAGCCTGGCTGGGGGTCCTGGGGGCCCGGCGGACGGGCATGGGGCAGTTGCCGCACTCTCGTGCCGCCGAACTCGGCCCGAGGAGTGGCCCGGCCACAGGCTCCGGTGTCCGGGGAGAGGTAGGCGCGGGCCGGCCTTGGTGATGAGGAAAGGAAGGCGGGCTGCCCGCTCTTCCACCTCGGAGCTGTCGCCAGGCAGGAATGGCAGGCGGCTTTCCCGGCTCCGCTGGCCCCGACAGGCGGAAGAGGCAGCTTTCCTGTGGTGCGGGAGCTGCCCGAGGCTGTGGGGCTGGTCGCTCTGTTCCCAGAGTGGTGGCTCAGGCTGGTGTAATCACGTTTCTTAAGGCCCCTTCAAGCCTCTAAAGCGACAGCCCCTGGGAAGACTCTTAGGCCCGCGTGTCTCTGAAGCGTGTCTCTGAAGCCGCCCGGTGCTGTCCAAGGGGCTTGATCACGGGGCCGGGAGGGGCCGGGAGGGGCCGGGAGGGGTCGGGCCCGCCCCCAGCTGTGCCGCCTGCGTCCCTCCTGAGAGCGGCGGCTTGGGTCGCAGGGCCTTGGCCTTGTGCATGAACTGGACCCCTGTTCATGCTGCCCAGGGCCTGGGCCCAGGCTCCTCTCTGCACCCGAGGGGCCAGTGTGGAGCGGCACGGAGTGGCTCAGTGGCCAGTTCTGAACCATGGGGACCAAGACACGTGTCGGAAATAAGGCAAAAATTGGGTCTGGTCTAGTGTTGGTGCATGCGGTTCTTTCCGCGGCCGGTCCAGACAGGTGCTCGCTGGAGGGCGGCTGGCCAAGGGCGGGCTCTGAACTGGCCAGACACACGAGAGAGTAAAGTGGCCTGACCCCAGGCCGCATCGGACCTCAGAAACTGGATGCGTCTTCGGGCCAGAGCACAGAGGCTTGGGTCCTCACAGTGGGTTTTCCAAAGTAAAGCGGCGTCTGTCTCCCCGCCCGTCTGCGTGGGAGGGAGGGACGAGCCTCCTGTCTGTCTGAGGCGAAGGCTCTCTCCCTCCCCTTTAATCCTCCGACCAGACACTCCAATTAGAGTCCAGACTCCCCACGGAGGCTCTCACCCCGCCCGCGCCTCACGGCTGCCCTGCCGCCCGCGTCCACACGGCGCTCCAGGACTGAAGTCCCGCGGTGTGCACGGGCCTGCGACGCCCCCCACACCCTTGAGCGCAAGCACCACTCGGGAAGCAAGTCAGGGCACCGCCCACAGCGATGCCTGTGTCCCTGGGCGCCCTCCCCCGGCGGCCCCCCGAGGCTGCAGCCGGAGTCTGCTCGGCCGCGCCGAGGCTCCTGCGAAGCTCCCACGTCCCTGTGAGGCCCGCCAGGTGCAGCCAGGCTCGCTCGGCGGGGGGCCTTGGCGGGAGGCCCCGGCCTTAGAGCCGAGGGGTGCTGTTTATCTCCTGGGGCCGAGGGGCAGCTGGCCGTTGCTGGGCATTTTGAAAGTGTTGGGAGGCAGAAACGGGAGGGACACGGTGCCCGCTGCCCGCCGTGGCGTGCGCGCTCCCACCGCGGCCGTGTGCGTCCTGTGTGCGTCTCTGCGTGGCCTCCAGCGTCCACCTGGAGCAGTTGGGGCCCCTTTTCACAGCAGGTCCCTTCTCTCCTGCTCATCAGAATTGGAACAGCCCTTGGCAACCGTCAGCCCGGCTGTCCTCGGCTGCAGAAAGGCGGCAGGGGCGCCCCGTGGGGCGTGGAGCCGGGAGGCGGCTGTGGCTCCCCAGAGCTGGCGAGCCCCGCGGCCGTGCGAAGGGCAGCCCCAGCGGTCCTGGCGCCTCCACGCAGCCTCCCACAAGTGCCAGGAATCAAGAGGTGCTGTTATCTGCACCTCATTCCCGCAGTGGTTTAGTCGGCCCCCAGAGGGGCTGGGACATGAACCTGCTGTCCCCTTGAGGGCAGGCCTGCGGGCGCCCTTTAGACTCGCTGCTGACGCACCGCTCTCGGGGGTGGGTCCCGATCTTTCTCCCGAGTCCCTGCTGTTATCGCGCGCCCTCGGGGGCTGCCCCTGCCTATCTCAGCTGCGAGCAGCTGGGAGGGCGCGCCCGGTGCCGTCTGTGCCTTGGCTTGTCCCCTGATCATGCGTTGTAAACGGCACGGCTTGTGCGCGGCAGGTGCAAGTGACAGGTGTGCCGCTGCCTCTGACGCCGGCCAGCGACTCCCCATGCCTGGACGTCACGGCCGTGGAAGCGGCCGTCCACCCCATTTGTCGCGTGTTCTTAGTTTGCTTAGGCCTGTCAGGCCCTTCAGAAACCCCCGAGCTTCCTGGCCGGTGCCTGTGTCGCATTCAGGTGTTCATCCATGACAGCGCGCATGCGGCGCCCGAGCTCCACGAGGGGCCTGCCTGCACACGGGCGCCGGCCGTGCCTCGGGGGCTCACGATGGCCGACCACGAGGCCCGCTGGGCCCGGCCCCGGGCTGCAGCCCCCGCGCACTGTGGCTCAGGAGCGCCTCCCACCCTTCGCCAGAGGGGCTCCGAGCCAGCGCCGCTGGGGTGGCGGGGGCTGAGGGCTCAGCCCCACCCGGCAGCCCCTCTCCCTCGGGTTCTAACCTGCTGAGGCCCTTGCTTGCGGGTAGAGGCTGTGTCTCGTGGCAGTTCTTGCTTGGCGACTATAGCTGCCACTAGGCGTGTCTGTTGAGACGGCAGAGGTCACGGAAGAGGGTCACACCATCTCTGCGCGGGCTCTGAGCTCGGCAGCCCGGTGCAGCGCGGCTGGCGCCCAGGAAGCGCCTGGCGGGGGCCAGGGCTGGCCACAGCCTCTCACAGGCGCCTGTGCCCAACAGTTCCTCCGTGTCACGAAGCAGTACCTGCCGCACGTGGCGCGCCTCTGCCTGATCAGCACCTTCCTGGAGGACGGCGTGCGCATGTGGTTCCAGTGGGGCGAGCAGCGGGACTACATCGACAGCACCTGGGGCTGCGGCTACCTGGTGGCCTCGTCCTTCGTGCTCCTCAACCTGCTGGGGCAGCTGAGTGAGTGGCTCAGGGTGGGCGCGGGGGTGTGCGTTCAGCCGGGGCTTCTCGTGCACTGGGCCCGGCCCGTGTCGAAGCGCCCAGAGCCGGAGACGCGGGTGAGCCAGGGAGGAGCCGGGCCGTGAGGACCCCTGTCCGGCAGGGGCAGTCGAGGTGAAGGGGGAGGGGAGGCTAAGCCAGACATGGCTCACGGCGGCCCCCCGAGCCCGCCGCCCCTGGCCGTCCTCGGGGGCGGCCACCGCCCTGTACACGTGGGCAGCACAGGGACGTGCCCTCGCGGCCTACCTTGCGGCGCCCCAGGGAGCCTGGGGCGGCAGCCGCTGCCTGACATGCGTGGGGTCGGGTCGGACCGGGCCCTCGTCCTCTTGCGGCTTGAGTTTTGCGTGGGGCAGCTTGCAGGGGTGGGGCGCGGCGGCCAGCTCGTGTGGGGCTCCTCCTCCTCGCCCACCACTCAGGCCCCCCCCCCGCCCCCAGCTGGCTGCGTGCTGGTGCTGAGCAGGAACTTCGTGCGGTACGCCTGCTTCGGGCTCTTCGGCATCATAGCGCTGCAGGTGAGCGGGCACCGGGGCGGCTGCGGTCGGGGCAGGGCGCCTGGAGAGGCGTATCTGGGGGTTCAGCGTCCGCCTGAGCCCTCCCGTCCCTGTCCCTGGAGAGCCTGTCCTCTTCTGAGAATTGGCTCCATGTCCTCAAGGGACACTCGGGGGAGGCGGCGGCGCAGCAGGGCCAGGCCCCGCGAGGTGCCGAGCTGGGGGCACCCGCCTTCCGCGCCCTCTGCAGTTTCCCTGACAAGGGCCGGGCTGCGACAGGCCCCTCCTTCACTGGCGTTTCCCACTGTGGCGAAGACGACCTGGCTGGTCCGACGTGGGCTTTAACCCACGGCTGGGGGGCTGGGGCGTTGGGACCGGGGTCTCCAGCCGCCGCGCTCTCCAAGGCACCTGGGCTCGGCTCGGACCTGACCCAGAGCCATCCCCGGGGTCCTGGACTGCTTTTGTGTATCTTCTATTTGAAAAACTGCCTGATGCTGTTGACTGGGTGGGAAAGGCGGCCATGCAGCTGTGCTGTCGCTCAGGGGTTTCTCTGTCCTCTGCCCCCAGACAATCGCCTACAGCATCTTGTGGGACTTGAAGTTTCTGATGAGGTACGTGCACTGCGGGCGCCGCTTCCCTGCCCCACCTGCCCTTGGTGCTGGGACCCTCGGCTTCCTGGGCCCAGACCCGGCTTCTGCGGCCCCACGGCAGGGCCTTCTCCACCCGGCCCCCCCGCCGGATCCCCCAGCACACACGCGAGAGCACGTTGCCTCTCCAGACCGCAGATTTCACGAGGGGCGGGAGGGAGGGAGGGTCCAGGTGGAAACACACTTGGTCACAGGGACCCAGCCGGTCGACAGTAAAGCTGAGACCAGCACTGGGTTTGAGTGCTCGGCGACTGTCACTGTCTAGTGGCACGGACACACCTTTGTCTTCAGCAGCATAAGTGGTGGGATGGTGCAGGTGGGGCACCAGCCTGGGGTCCCAGGGACGCGCGCCCTGCATGTCCCGCTTGGTCTGCGGAGGGGGCAGAGGGGCCCACGGTCTCCCCCTCGGGGCTGGCGGCCCGAGAGCCCGACTCGGCGACGAGCCAGCGCCTCTGCCCCTCAGGAACCTGGCCCTGGGCGGCGGCCTGCTGCTGCTGCTGGCGGAGTCCCGCTCGGAGGGCAAGAGCATGTTCGCGGGCGTGCCCACCATGCGCGAGAGCTCCCCCCGGCAGTACATGCAGCTGGGGGGCAGGGTCCTGCTGGTCTTGATGTTCATGACGCTCCTCCACTTCGACGCCAGCTTCTTCTCCGTAAGTGCCCCCGCTGGGTTGGCTGGCCGGCCCGCGGCCCCCCGGCCCCCCGGCCCCCCTGCCGCTGGCTGTGTGCGGAGCCTGGTGGGGGAGCTGCGGGGAGGGCTTGGCTCGAAGGAAGCCGGCCTTTCAATGCTCTCGACAGAAACAAGGGTGGGGGGCTGCGTGCCAGGAAGCCGCCCTCTGAGCAAACAAAGGCCCGAATCAGCGACCCCGTCCCTTACGCAGACGTCCTGCTTCTCTTTGCTCCCTTGCCTGTCTCACCGTCTGTGTGTGTTGGGGGTGCAGAGGGGGAGAAGGTTCTGTCCTTGTCCCCCGGAAGCTCACTGAGCCGGCCTTTGCCCCCAGTGGCACCCAGTCGACTGCTGGGCGGGGCGGTGGGGGGGCTCCGGGGCACCCGCCTGCAGCACCAGAGCGCTGCCTCCCCGCCTGCATGGCCTGGCTGTGGGCTGGGTCTCCCAAAACACCCCCGAGTCCCACCGCCCGGGTGCAGACACGTCAGTGACAGGGCCTGATTGTAAGGCCTGACCCGCTGTCCCTCCTCTTCCTCACGCATCTGCGTTTCTCGCCCTCCCCCACCCTGGGACAGATCCTGCAGAACATTGTGGGCACCGCCCTGATGATTTTAGTGGCCATCGGCTTCAAAACCAAGCTGGCCGCCTTGACTCTTGTCGTCTGGCTGTTCGCCATCAACGTGTACTTCAACGCCTTCTGGACCATTCCCGTCTATAAGCCCATGCACGACTTCCTCAAGTACGACTTCTTCCAGACCATGTCCGTGATCGGAGGCTTGCTCCTGGTGGTGGCTCTGGGCCCCGGGGGCGTCTCCATGGATGAGAAGAAGAAAGAGTGGTAACGGCCCCTCCCTGCCTGGCACGGCCCGTGGCCGTGGCCGCCGAGGGCTGGCTGGGGCGGACTCGACACCATGGCCAGCGTTTATGTACCCCTCCCCCCCCGTAAAGGCACAGATGTTTGAGAACTCTTTGCAGACACCTGAAAATCGATGGCTAAATCTGCTCTGGACCCGCCACCTGCGGGCTGATGGGTCAGGGCCAGCCGGGTGGCCGGCGCGCCCGCCCCCTGCAGGCGTCAGCTTGGCCCCGGGGCACGAGGGGTCGGCCGGCCGCGGCCTCTTCTGTCTCGTTTCTCTCTCGGGTGATGGGGGCCCTCAAGCTGTACTGTGAGCAGATACATCTGTGTATCCTTCAAAGCAGTCTCCCTCTTATTTTTTAAAAAGTTTACGTTTTTAGCTAAAACTACTAAACGATTTCGAATGGCCTAGTCCGACCTCAGTCAAACTCCCTGGCTTAGAACCGCCCCCCAGCTTCCGTGCGCTTCTGCCTTGCGTTGTGATACTTCACGGGGACAGTGGAAACTCCCACCCCTAGCACGAGGCGGCATCAGAGGGGCCGCCGTTTGTGGCCAAGTCATCGATGAGCCGGGACACCGGCCCAGAGGGGCGTAGTTTACACGGGGTCGCGCCCTTGGAGCTGCAGCGGCTCCGGGGGGGACGAGCCCCTGGCCTGGCGGTGCCCGGGGAAGCCGCGGGGGCCCCGGCCACTCCCGTGTGACCTGCTGGGGAGGGTCAGCGGCCACAAGGGGGTAGGGCGGCGGCGGCGCCGGCTCACAGACCAGGTACCTCACACTCGGCCTTTCAGAGCCTCAGCTAAAGCCGGTGCTGCCGGGTCCGCGTGGGCCCGAGGGGCCTCCCAGGCCGCGCGGCCACGGCTGCCTCTCCGCGCTCACGGCGCCCCCCCCGGCTACACCAGGTGCAGCCCCGGCTGCTCCGCGGTTCGCAAAGCCTTACCCATCGGACCGACGCCTGCAGTTGAGGTTTCCTAACGCTGCCTTACACCGCGGTTCTGCTCTTGGGGGGCGAGTGCTCCTTGCTCCTCCCACTCGCCTGTATCCCAGCGACGGCTGCCGGCAGGGACTGGAGTCACCCCCCCCCACCGGCATCCCAGGGTGCGGGAAGCCGCCGGGCGCCCACCAGAGCCCTCAGAACAGCGCCTGCCTCTGCAGCCTGGACCCTCCTCACCCAAGGGGGCGATGGCGCCGCTTCCCCCACCTGCCCGTGCCCCACACCGCAGAGGCGCATCCCGAGCGCCGTGTGGACGAGGCTGTGGCTGCGGGGCAGGCCACTCCCACTCCCTCCGTGGAGGGTGGTTTCCCAGGTTCCCGCTCAGCCTGGGGGGGGGGGTCTCCTGCCCACACGCCCTCCCTCTGACAGCCCATTGGCCCCGAGGGCCCCAGCGAATGGCACCTTCAGCCACGTTGTGTCTCCGGCACTTTCTGGCAGATGAGGGACCTCTGCGGCCCTGTGCCTGGAGGCCCCTGTTGGTCTGTGGGGGCGGGCTGAGCCCAGGAGGCCTGGTGGCAGGGTCCTCCTCGGTCGCCGGCCCGGCCCGCGTGCCTGGGGGCCGACACTTTTGCCGGGAGGAGAGGAAGACAAGCTACCAATTGGTTTTGGCAAAAACAATTTCTGACGAATTTTTTTTGCTTTATGTGGGAAAATAGGTATCAATCTCATTTTATGCTGTATTTTATACCTTAGTTGTGTTTGAAAACATTTTGATTTTTGGAAACAAAATAAATAATGGCATTTGTTGTATGCAGTGTAACCCTTGGGTGCTGTCCGGGTGGGCAGGCCTGGCTCCGGCTCCCCAGGTGCCGTGGGGAGGAGCCTCAGGCCACACCCAGAGTGGGATTTGTCCCCTGCGCTCAGGGCCACCAACAAGTGGATGGAAAAAGCCTGGGGACCCTCCACAGTGCAGAGGCCCTGAGGGGGCCCTGGAAGAGGAACACGGGAACACGGGAGATGCGCCGACTCCAGAGAAGCCAGGAGACGCTTCCCCAGCGGCCCCTCGTTAACCTGACTGCTTGAAAGAGCTGAAGCGCCTCGGTCCGCGGCGACGGCTTTCCAGCCTCCGCGGTGAGGCCGGCGGCGGCGGCTGCTGCTTGTGCTGCGGCGGAAACAGAGTCCCAGTCAGTCCCAGGATGGAGGGCCGCTGGCCCACGGCCCGGCTTCCGTGCGACACCCAGGTCAGCTCTCCGCCTACGGTGGCCTCATCGCAGGCAGCGGTTGACGCCCCCAACCACGCAACGAAGAGCTCGACCAGCGCCGTTCTGCTCGCCCGCTGGGGGGACTGAAACGCCTGCCCCCTCCCCAAAGGTGCAGGGTGGCGTCTCCGGGGGCCCCCCCAGGCTCCTGTGCTGCACCGGGCAGCTGCCCTCAGACCAGCGGGTGTGCTCCGTGCGGTGCGGTGCGGCTCGGGGAACAGCCCGCCCGTCGGCAGCCTCTGCTGGGGCTTACGCAGGTGTCTGGGGGGGTTCCCCACCGAGGGCTTCCCTCCGTCCCCCTAAGGAAACCGAAAACCCTCACGAAGTACGCTGCTGCGCGCACGGCCCGCACCTTCCGGCGTTTGGGGGCCGGTGCCCGGTGCGCGCCCGCCTCCCCTCGGTCCGGGCGCTTTTCGGCCGGGTGCCGTGGCCTCTGGTCCTCGCCTGCCAGGGCGCCGTCCGTGTCCTCCCCGCGCTCAGCCGCCCCGAGCTGCTTTCTGGGGAACAGCTCCGCTGGAAGGAGGCGGGTGGCGATGAGGGTGCAGGGGTGCGGGGCCGAGCGGAGGGGGGAGCCGCCGTGACCCAAATCCACATGACAGCCCACAGGAGGGCGAGGGGAGGGGACACGTCCTGGCTTACGCGGGTACAGGTCCGTCATGCTGTCCTCGCTGCCGCTCGGGGCCGCGCCCTCGCCGTCGCTGGACTCGGGCTCCCAGAAGGCTGCTCCCGGGCGGGGCGGCCCGTCGCTGTCCACCCGGTCGTCCCTCCTCCTCCTCTTCCGGGGCAGGAGGCAGGCGGGCACATACTCCACGCCCTGCCTCTGACACTGCTCATCTGCGCGACAGACCAGCATGCTGCCCCTGCGCCCGGGCCTGTCCTCGGGGCCCTGGACCCGTCCCCTGGTGTGTTGCCAGCGGTGGCAGGGACATGCCACCAGCTCGGCTCCTCCCTGGACAGGAGAGGCCAGCAGGGTGTGGCCGAGGGGCAAGGCGACACAGGTCACCTGGGCCTTGAGCGCCCTCCCCCGGCTGCGGGGGCACCGCGCTACCCGGGGCTGGCGCGCCTGCCCTGGAAGCCATGCCAGCCTGTGGCCAGGAGACCACAGCCCCCGTCAGGAACGGCGGCTTGGTGGCAGCTGGCGCCTGCTCTGCTGACCTTGACCCCCGGGCGCTCAAGGACTGGGCTCCCACGGAAGGACCCCACTGGAGCCCCCGCCCCTCCTGCACCGCGGACTCGGGGAGGCCTCCCTAGGCAGCGCTGCTCCCTCGGGGGCAGGCAGCGGCGGGGGCCTGGGTCTCGCTGCCCCCAGCTCCTGCCATCGTTCACGGCGTGGACAGCCCTGCTGGGGTCCCCGCGTACCCCAGCCACCTCCCGGACCCCATCCCCCGTTCCTCTCTGCCTCCTACTCCACGGCCGCATCACGACCAGAACCCACACGTCGCGTCTCCTCCGCACCCCTCTGCCCGTCTCTGCCCAGGGGCCGGCCTTGGAGCTGCCCCTCACTGACCGGGAGCCAGGCCAGCCCCAGCTCCTCCCTGCCGATGGCGAGAGGCTCAAGCCCAGCCCCGCACGGCTCCGCGGGGCCCCAGGCACCGGCGTGGACCGCGAGCCATCCGCCCGCCCGCCCGCAGGGGGAGACGGGCCCCCTCCTTATCTTCTTGGCTTCAGGCCCCCCCGGCCGCCCGCCGGGTCCCCTCCCCCGGCCCCGGCTCTGCCCCGCCACGCCACTCAGCAGCCTCTGTCCAGTCTCCCCTTTGCTGACGCTTGGTAAGGGTCTGCCTCTTCCTCCTTGAACCTCCTCTCGGGCCCAGACACCGGTCCCTCCTGGGCCAGTGCGGCCCTGCCCCCGCACCTGGCTGCGCAGACGCCCACAGCACCTGGGCGTGGACGTTCCCGTCGACAGCGTCCCTCCCCAGCACCTCCCGTTTGAGGCGCCCGCCTTTCCCTTTCAATTTCCCCAGAAGCCTGACACCCAGACTCCACGCTCCGCGCCGCCGCCCACCGGCGCCTACTCGTTCTCAGGCCGAGCACGCGGGACTCCCCTGCCCCTCGCGCCCCACCAGCAACCCCACCCACAGGGCGGTCAGGACCTGCCACGTCCCCCCACCTTCCCTGCCAACACCTGGCAACCCAGCTGGGAGCCCCAGCAGCACCTTCACCTGGAGGACCGCACAGCCACCCCGTCCCCTCCTCGACTCCTACCCCCGCCCCCCAGGAACAGTGATGCCGAGACACCCAGGTCACGCAGATCCTGGCTTCAGCCCAGTCCCCGTGCCCGGCTGCATGGGGCTCCGGACCGCGGCCCCCCGGGCCTGCCCCGCCGGCCCACCGCCGCACCCGCGGTTGCGACGGCACAGCCTTCTGCAGCTCCCCCGCCCCGCGCCTGTGCCTCAGAGCCTGTCCTCGCCTGCTCCGCAGGTCCCTCCGCCCCGGCCTAAAGGGGGGCCCTCAGAGAGCCTCTCCCAGGCCCCCCGAGTCAGGCGGGCCCTCCCGGGCCCCGGCCCGGTCCGCCGGCAGCAGCCATCACAGGCCCTCCAACGAGGTCCGTCTGTCGGAACACTGATGAGATGCTGCAGGGACTTAACGCTAGTCAAGGCGCCAAAGGTACAGCGGCTCGGTTGGACCCCGTTCCACTTAAACTCGCAGAACCGGTGGATGGCGTGAGGCGAGGACCGGACTGGGGGACCGCTCCCTGCTCTGCCCCTCTCCCCCTGCTGTGTGGGGCGGTGCATCCACCCAAAAAGGACCCAGACGCCCCCTCGGCCCCCTCGGCCCCCTCTGCGTGCTGTCCTGGGAGAGGGCAGGCGTGCACCCGGGCCCCGGTGGCCAGGCAGGCTGTGTCCCCCACATCACTTACAGTTGTGCAGAGCTTTCTGGTAGCGCCAGCCCCGCGTGTGCCTCAGCACGTGCTCTGGGGACTTGTTGATGTGCCGCAGGGTGAGTTTGCAAAACAACTGGGACCTGAGGGGCAGGGAGGCCTCGGTTTGCCCTGAGAGGTCACGAGGGCATCCAGACCCGAGCTGGCCACCGGGGCTGCCTCTCAGAACCACGCCGAGGGTGATAGGGGTGGGGGTGTCTAAGACGAGGCCTGGGCATCGGGGTCCTGAAAAGCTTGCGGAGAACCGCTGACCCAGACTGCCAGTGGCCTCGCCGATTGTGGGGCGCCAGACCCACCCTCGCTCGCTCTGCGGCAAGAACCCGCGAGGACTCCCTCGGGAAGGCTCCCCACGAAGGAGTGTAATGCCGCCCCTCTTCCCGTTGACTATTTCTGTCAACCACACACTCAGCCAAATGTCAGTTCTGCTTTAGAGCCAAACTGTGAACCTGGGCTCGAGAGCTCCAGACAGGCCCGAGGGACAAACCGCACGTTACAAAAAAGCCAGCACGCTTCGCAGGGACGGGCCTCGCCCGGGCTCTGGGCCCCCGCCTGCCTCGCGGGTTTCCTGGCTCCGGGCGGGCGGGCGCCCCGCGGGGCGGACTCGGGGGTCCGCGGTTCGGCGGCCAGGCCCAGGCCGCCCCCGCCCGCCCCCGCCCGCCCCGCACGTACGGGTTCTTGGTGCTGGGCACGATGTGCGGCTCGAACGCCGCGTAGTCGAAGGCGGGGCAGGCGCGTGCCAGCCGCCGGTACTTCCTGCCGCTGGTGTAGACCCGGAGCTCGGGCAGGCGGCAGGGCAGCTCGTGGCCGGTCAGAGCGCACCTCACCTGCGGGCAGGAGGCGGGGCGGTCAGGGGGCGCCGGGCGCGGGCCAGGGCGGGATCCCAGGGCGGTCAGGGGCTCCGGTCCCACGCACCTTGCAGGCGCCCGGCTCCAACCGCAGGCTCGGGTGCTCGCGCAGGAAGGCTCGCACGTCGGCGGGCAGCCCATCCATGGCTGGGCAGCCTGCGGAGCTCGAACCACGCGGGCCGGACGGGGGCGGGGCTTGGCGGTGCCCCGGAAGCAAATGCCGCCGGACCCCGGAACCACCCGCGGGGCTATGGCAGCGGCGGCGCGGTGGCTGGGGCAGGTGGCGCGCGCTACCGGCGCGGGGCTGGGGCGCGGGGCGGCCGGGCGGCTGGGCGGGCTGGTGCGGGGGGGCGGGGGGGGGCCGCGCCTCGGGCTGGGGAGCTCACCCGCCCTCGCGCCTCCGCAGGTCCCCGCCCGCGCGGCCTGGAGGAGCTTCCTCGCGGTGCCCCCGCGCGCAGGTGAGCGGTCTTCCCGGTGGGCACCTGGGGAAAGCCGCCTTGCCCTCCTCGGCGCACGGCCTGTGGGTGCGGGGAAAGGCCCTGATCGCCGTCCGCAGCATCAGTGCGGAGACGTTAAGTAACTAACCGAAGTCTCACTGGTCTCATGAGGGACCGACCCAAGACTCAGGCCAGGGGCCCCGGGGCCTACAGGAAAGCAGGTCTCGTTGGGGCAGCAGGGGCTGATGGGTGCGTGCAGAGCGCGTCCCCAAGGGAGCGCTGCCAGCCCGCCTGCCCCAGGGCTGCTTCTCACCGCCCCCCCCCCCCCCCCGCCCCCGGGGGCCGCAGCACTGTCCTGTGATGGGACTGACCTCTCAGAGCTTAAACGTACTTTCTGTGTATGTTCCGTCTCGGAATGCCTGAGCCATGAGAAAGCGAAGCTGGCACGCTCTTTCCTTCCTGATCACACCGGCACCTTCCGTCCCCATCATCCCCAGGGGCCTTACCTCGGCCTTTCCCCCTCCTGGGCGCCAGACACCTCTGCCTCTGTCACTCGTTTCTGGAGCCTGCACGGCCCGGCTGGCTCACTTCTAGTACCTCTGCCACGTTCCAAATACACGTTTTCTTTTACTTTGGGGAGGGGAAGCAAAACTGTTAGGAGCGCCCTGAAAAACACTATCCTGAGTTTGTATCACGGTTCTGCCTCTTCAAGCCACCGTAGTAGCCAGGGCCGGTGCATCTTACCCAGCAGCGTCCATCTCAGCATCCGCCTGCGCGCAGGGTGGCGCCATGGCCCAGTTACCCAGGGGCGCGGTTGGTGGCAGAGCCAAGACCAAGGCCTGGGTCTCAGTCAGCCAGCCAGTAAACACCCACTGGGGGCTGTGTGCCAGGCACTGGGTCGGGGTCCAGGCTGGATACAGGCGCGCCGGCTGCCCTCTCCTCCTGTCCTCACGCTTCGGGGCAGTGTTGGCGCGTCTTCGGGGGCTTCTGACCCCAAGCCAGTGTTGTAAAACCCCCCAGGGTTGGCCTGGAGGTCAAGCAGGAGTGGCAGTTCAGCAGCAGAAGCATCTGCCCCAAAAGCAGATGATGACTCCTTTCTCCGGTGGTTCCTGCTTCTCATTCCTGTGACCGCCTTCGGCCTGGGGACATGGCAGGTAAAAACTGGCCTCTGGCTCTTGTGGCCCCGAGCCCTCGACCCTGCTGCCACCTGCTTGGGCTCGTGCTCTGTGTCCATAGGTCCAGCGTCGGAGGTGGAAGCTGAAGCTGATCGCAGAGCTGGAGTCCAGGGTTATGGCTGAGCCCATCCCTCTGCCAGCAGAGTGAGTGTGCGGCTGCCAGCCTGGGGCTGGTCTCACCGGGGTCAGTCTTGGAGCCTGGCTTCGGCTTGCCACCCTGGGCCTCAGAGGGGAGCCTGCAAGATCAGGGGTCCTGCTGGGCTTCTTGCTGACACGGTCGCCCTCAGGAAGCTGCCTGAAGGACCTGGAAAAATCTGTCATCCTGGATTCCACCCTCTCTTCAGGTCCGCTGTCCGTGAGGCGTCCCCCTCAGTGTGGACGGCCTTATAAAGCAGTGATGCTTAGCTGGAGGGTGACAGCACGCACTGCCATGTCGTGACTGGAGTGCTGTTTTGAACAAGGGCCCTAAATGCTCCTGCCCTCTCCCCTCCCTTCCAAGCTCTGTCCTAGACAACAGCTGTACTCAGCGAAGCTGTCCCTCCAGGGGCACGAACCTGTGCCTGCAGATGGGACTTTAGCCTGCACAGAAGGTCAGTTTGTGCAGGAGTCCACGTTTTTAGCTCCTCTTGCAAACGTGGACTGTTTGGCAGCACAGGGCCGTTCCCACGTGACATCAAAAGGATCGGCTTCCCCGTCCGCGGGCACTCCCTGCAGCCGGCCAGCCCCACTGTGCCTGCGCATCGCCTGCATCACCTTCAGGCCGTGGGGGCCTTTGTGGTTTGCAGCCCCAAGAGGAAAGGGTTTGTCCTCCCCAACGACGCCTGGCCTCAGCAACATTTCTCCTCGCCCCCGTGCAGCCCGATAGAGCTGAAACACCTGGAGTACAGGCCTGTGAGGGTCAGGGGGCGCTTTGACCACTCCAAGGAGCTGTATATGATGCCACGGACCATGGTGGACCCGGCCCGGGAGGCCCGGGAGGCCGGCCGGCTCTCCTCCTCAGTCCAGAGCGGCGCCTACGTCATCACGCCTTTCCACTGCACCGGTCTGGGGTGAGCAGACGCGCAGGGAGCCGAAGGGCCTGGCGGTGCAGTCACAGCGGCTCCTGTTCCTCTCTCCCTCTCAGCCCCAACCTGGGAAGACCCTGGGGAATCCAAGATACCTAGAAAGGCTCAGTTCTTCAAAGGGTTATCAGGCCAATTCCTTTAACTCGCTGCTGCACAACTCCTGCATGCTAAGCTCTGAAAGGGGAACAGGGATAAACTGGCCAGTGGCCACACGCTAAGTGACTGGGGCTGCAGGAGGAATAATCGCAGGAGGAGCTGTGTGTGCAGGGAGTCGGCACAGGAAGGCCGCCAGGGCCGCGCGGGCCAGCTTGGGCGCGCAGGGGCGGCAGGAGCCTCCCGGGGGAAAAGGCATGCCCGGCCAGGGGCTTGGGGGAGCGCCTCCCGCAGTGTTGACGTTCAGGTGAAACCTGGGGGTCCTTGCCACCGCAGCTCCCTGGTCCAAGGGCTGGGAAGGGACATTGGAGGCAGCTGCACAGGGAAACTGCTCGTCATTGTTCAAGCGAGGAGAGGCCGCCTGAGCCCAGCCCCTGGGGCGTGAGCCCCTGGCTGCATGTTGCAGTGGGTGGGGCACAAGGGGGAGGCGGTGGGGGGGGGGTTAACCTTCCTCTCCTGGCAGGGTTGGTGGCTCTCACCAATCAAGAGGCAGGCGCGAGGGGACCTTCCGCGGTCCCTGGCCAGGGGCTGGCGGCACCAGCTCCGCTGTCTCCAGAGCCCCGTTTTAACCCTCCCCCTGCCCAGCATCGTCCCTGAAGATGCTGGATTCAAAGCCCTTTGCCCACCGCACCCTGCATGCTCTCGTCACTCCAGAGTCACCATCCTGGTCAACAGAGGGTTTGTCCCTCGGAAGAAGGTGAACCCCGACACGCGGCAGAAAGGCCAGGTAGGGGCGTGACCTTTTCCTAGGGTGAGTGAGGCCGTGGGGGCCGCCCCTTCCCCGTGCTGTGCGCCCCCAGGAGCAGCCCCTGGCTTTCCTGTTCAGGTTGAAGGAGACGTGGACCTGGTTGGGATCGTGCGGCTGGCAGAAACCAGGAAGCCTTTTGTCCCCGAGAATGATCCAGAAAGGAACCACTGGCATTACCGGGACCTGGAGGCCATGGCCAACTTCACGGGCGCAGACCCCATCTTCATCGACGCGGACTTCAGTAGGTTGTGACGGCCCACCCCGGGCGGCTGGCGTCAGTGCCAGTTTGCGATGCAGCATGTGGGGGGTGGGGCACAAGGTGAGAAGAGGTGGCCCCGAGGGCTGGCCAGGCCCAGGGAGGTCCTGTTAGTGACTTGAGGTGGGCGGGGAGAGAGCAGCAGGTCTGGGGAAGAGGGCCAAGAGGGGGAGACTGAGGCCCTGCACCCGGTCCCTGCAGAGAGCACAGTCCCTGGGGGCCCCATCGGAGGGCAGACCAGAGTCACTCTGCGGAACGAGCACCTGCAGTATGTCGTCACCTGGTGAGTCCCGCCCCCAGCTGCTCTCTCGGCACCCCCCCTCCAGAACCTTCACTGGACACTGTCCCCCCAGGTACGGACTGTGCGCGGCCACCTCGTACCTGTGGTTTAAGAAATTCCTACACCGGACTCCGGGCACATGACAGGACTGCCCGACACAGCCCTGCCCCGAGAAGCCGCGGGGCCCCAGAGCTCCGGTTTCATGCCGGGCCACGCGCCGCTGGTGTAAATAAATCACTGACTGCTACACACGCTGCGCCTTCTCTGCCTAGACTCAGCGACCGCCTGCCCCCACGGCCCAGCACGCTAAGCCACTCACCCAGTAGCTCGGACCTGCGGGCGCCGAGGACCCCAGTTTCAAGATGCACTCACCCCCATTCCCTCCTTACAGGCTGCGAGGTTGATCCCTTTCACCCCCAAACACCAGAGACACCAATTGAAAGAGAGTTTTTATTACTGTTATATACAGAGACCCCCAGAACACGCTCAGCCCAACTTGGTGGCCAGCTCCTTGGCCTTGGCCTTCTCCAGCTTGGCGATGCGAGCCACCGACTTGGGGCCCAGGACGTTGCCTCCCCAGTGGCGGCGGATCTGCAAGACGAGAGGAGGCCCTGTCAGCCTGGTCGGGGCTCCCAAGGCACGCAGCTCGTGGGGCTCTGCTCAGCGGCCGCAGGCCTGGCCAGCACAGGCGGCTCGGAGAGGGCCAGCCGCCCCGGCCAAAGGCTTGCTTTACCCGAACAGTACTCCGCCCAAAACTGCGTCCTACCTCGTCGTATCTGTCATTGTAATTGGTCCGGATGGCTTCCACCAGCTTGGCCAGAGCGCCTTTGTCCTCCCTTACAAGACAAGGGAACGTGTGGGTCCCTGGCTCCGTCCCCTCGCCCCCGCCCCCGCCCCGAGAGCAGGAACAGCAGCCGTTCTGGCTCCAAACATACGCCTTTTGCCTCAGTTACAACTTGACCACATGACTTATTCAGATGAAGAAATTCATAACCATCATTGGCAAAGATTCAGATAAGGGTGTTAAGGTAGGACCTGAACCGATGGAGTGAACGCGGGGGACGGCTGTCCCCACCGGGCCCACGGGGCCCTGGGCCCGCTGCATACTCACGAGTTAACCTGTGTGAAGGCGACCGAGGTGCAGGTCTTCCTGTGGACCAGGCGCCCCAGCCGGGCCTTGCCCTTGATGATGCAGTAGGGGACGCCCATCTTCCGGCACAGGGCGGGCAGGAAGACCACCAGCTGGAAGACAGCGTCAGCGCTGAGACGGTGCTCTTGCCCGAGGCAGTGACTCACTCACGCCAACTGAGTGGCAGTTGCTCAGGGTTAAAAAGCTCATGTATTTGCACTTCAAGGCTTAATTCAGTGAGAAAATCACATCATCGCAACAGCCACCAGACAGCCTGGGTCTCTTGTCGGTACCGGCCTTGGGCGAGAAGCCGTCACCCCCACTTTGGCCCCGACACACGGACCCGGCCGGGTCCAGCCGCCGGGCCCACGTACCTCGATGGGGTCCACGTCGTGCGCAATCACGACCAGCTGGGCCTTCTTGTTCTCCACCAGGGTGGTGACGGTGTTAACCCCTGCAGCACCAAACAGGCCCCGTGAGGGCGGGCGGCCGGGCGCGGCACCGGAGAGCCGCTCCGCAGCAGGAGCAGCGGCGCCGGCCGGGGACCCGCTCCTCTTCCGGGACCCGCTCACCTGCTCGGAGGACGGGGGGCCTCTTGGTGGGGACGTCCCCTTTGCCGGCAGCCTTTTTCTCAGCCCGGGCCAGCAGCCTCTGCTTCTTCTCCTGCTTTGTCTCCGGCCGGTACTTGTGGGCCAGCTTGAGCAGCTGCGTGGCTGGGGAAACAAGCACCCGTTCAGGCCTGGAGCGGGGTTCCCATCCTCGTCACCTCCTGCAGTGAGCGCTGGGCCGCTGTCCTGGACGGGAGCCGCACGACGAGAGGTCTCAGGACAGCCCGGGCCCGTGCAGCGCAGTGAGCGGGGCACCGCCCCGCAAAGCAGGTCGCCAGTTCCAGCGCCGGTCCAATTCCCGGTCAGGGCACCCCCCCCCCCAAAAACAAGTACACCTGCCCTGGCCGCTGCGGCTCAGTGGCCCGAGCGCCGGCCTGTGAACCACAGGGTCGCCGGTTCGATTCCCAGGCACGGCCCAGCCCCGGGTTGGGGACACGTAAGAGGCCGCCCCACATGGGTGTTTCTTTCTCCTTCCCTTCTCTCTCCTAGAAATAAATGTCCCTCAAAAGTAATTACAGAAGCAAATAAAAAAACAGCTCTCAGAACGGGGGCGGGTAAGAACCTCTTCAGGGGGGCCAGGCTCGGGCCCGCGGCTGCACGAGGAGCCCTGCCCCGCGACAGCCAGCCCACCGCGCACGCACCCGTCTGGCGGTCCAGCGCCTGGGTGAACTGGTTAATGGCAGGGGGCACTTTCAGGCGCTTGTAGAGGATCGCGCGCTGGCGCTGCAGCCGGATGTAGCGCGGCCACTTGACGAAGCGGGTGAGGTCCCTCTTGGGCTGGATGTCCTGTCCTGCGAAGGGAAGCGCAGCACTGAGCGGGGCTCTGCCCCCCGGCCCGGGTCCCGCTCGGCGGGCAGCGCCCGCGCCCGCGGCCCCGCCCCCGCCCGCTACGACTCGGGGCGCCGCCGGGCCGCGCCCCGCGCCCGCACTCACCGATGCCGAAGTTCTTGGGCCTCTTCTCGAACAGGGGGTTCACCACCTTCTTGGCCTCCTGCTTCTTCACGACGGCAGGGGCCGGCGCCACCTTCTTCCCCTTGGCCTTCTTTCCCTTCGGCTGCGCGGGGAGAAAGCCCGGGTGAACCACCGCCCCCGCCAGGCGCTTAGGGTCGGCGGGGCCGATCGCAGCCCCCTCGCGCGCGCGCGCCCGGCCCCACTCGTGCATCAGCGATCTTGGTGGTCAGGGAGGTCCGCACCGCCGATCAGATAGCAAATATTCTCTCACATCATCTGCACGAGCCGGGGCGGCGGCCCCGGAGGCAACAGGGGCCCTCTCGCCTCCCCCGCCGAAAGCTCGGGATCGGCTCCACGCCGCTTCGGCTCCAACGCCCGCAGTGCGGCGCTGCGCTCGCCGGTTCCTCCCCCACCCCGCCCCGGCCCGGCCGCCGGGGAGCCCATCCTGGCCCAATGCTTATGGGCCAAGCCCCGCGGGGCTCCCCTCGCGCCAGGCGGTGGAGAAACCCCCGCGCGGCCGAGCCCCGAGGAGGATGGCAGCGGATAGAGCCCAGAGCCGGAGCCTACACACGGGATCACGGGGAGTCTCACCATCTTGGACGGCGAGTGGAGAGAGAAAGGAAAGGGAATTGTGGGAAATATGTATGCGACCTGGGAGATCGCGAGAGTTGGGGCGTGCGCGGGATTTTGGATTTAAAGTGACAGGACTCCTCACGCCCGCCCCAGTGCCGGGGGCGGTGCCGAGAGCGGGAGGAGGGCTGTGAGGTCGGAAGGGGCGTGGACACGGCAGCGGGACGCTCCGGGTGCGGAGAGGCACCAACGGGCCGGGACTTCGCGCGGGTCGCTCGCTCGTCACCCGCCCCATCCCGGCCAGGTGCCCGCCGGGCCCGGGGGCCACGGACAAGGTGTGGACGTGGGTGTGGCGGGGCGGGGTCGCCGCGGGATGTTCCCCAGAAGCGCTCCACGGCCGCGAGTGCTCTCCTTGGGCCGCGCGCCGTGCCTCGCGCCGAGCGCTGGGGCGCGGGGCAGCAGCGAGGAGGCGGTCGGCGCTCCGGGAGCCCGCCCTGCTGCTGGGCGCCGGGGGCCGTCGGAGGGGCCCGTCGGGGGAGAGGTGGGGCCGTGGGGGCCGCGCAGGGTGTAGCAGGCCTGCCCCGGGAGACGGCGTGAGGCCGCGCGGCGCCCCTGCGGGCGAGGGATCAGACGAGTGTGCTTGGCGAAGAGGGGATCCGGAGACGTGCGCGTCCTCGGGGGCACGGAGATTGGCCGGCGGGCGCTGGCCGCGCCCGCATCAGACTCCGCATCCCAGGTTCCCACTGCGGCCGCGGGCCTCCGCTCCCTGCCCTGACCGACGCCGCCATGGCCCAGCAGAGGGCCCTGCCGCAGAGTAAGGAGACGCTGCTACAGTCCTACAACAAGCGGCTCAAGGACGACATCAAGTCCATCATGGACAACTTCACCGAGATCATCAAGACCGCCAAGGTGCGTGGGCGGCCGTGTGCCTTCGGATGGGACGCGCCGGGGAGCGGCCTGCTCTGACCGGGAGTGTAACCTAGTGCCCGGTGCCCGCTGGTGGCCCTGGTCCCCGTGGGGAGAACAGCTGGGGCGCAGCCGGGGGTGGACGGCAGCAAACAGGTGAACAGATAAACCCGCGGAGGGCAAGTCCCGCTGAGGCCGCTTTAGGGAACTCCAGTTAAATTGCCAGGTCTGGCCCCACGCCAGTAGCTCAGGTGTAGCGCACCCAAGTGTTAGAGTGCGTGCCAACAGGCCGGGATGCAGGTTCGATCCTGGGTGGGGGTGACAAGAGGGGGAAACCGACCGTCACCCCAGGTCTGGGAAGCAGCCCTGGCTGTGGAAAGTAGGGCGGGCAGGACGCGGGGAGGCGGCAGGAACCCACGGGCTGGCGCTGGCCCATCCGAGACACCCTCATTTGTCCTCCAGATTGAGGACGAGACGCAGGTGTCCAGGGCCACTCAGGGCGAGCAGGACAATTACGAGATGCACGTGCGAGCCGCCAACATCGTAAGTCCCTGGGGGAACGCCTGGCCTGGGCCGCAGCCCTTCGGGACCCCTCTGTGGTCTCCTGGGTGGGGGGCCAGCCACTTCTTAGGAGACCCCCACAGTAGGAGGGCTGTGTGTGGCAGAGTGGGAGGGGCAGGCAGGGGGGCACTGCTTGGGGACAGGTCACCCCTTCCTCGTTGACGAGGAAGTTCCCCAAGATCCCTTCTAAGTGTAAAGCCAAATTTCTGAGTGAAACCGGGCATGCGTTTTGGTCCCTTCTGATGCGATAGCACACCTGTTGTTTCTGTAGGTGTGTGCCCACAGGGGGAAAGGCAGGAAACGGTCCCAAGGGAAGCCGCCCCACGGGCGGGCGGGCTGCCCGGAGGCAGGGCAGGGCCAGGCAGGCAGGACAGCAGTTCTGCCTGTGGGCTCGGGGCTCCGTCCCTCGTGTGGTTGGAGCTCAGTACTCCCAGGTCGGGGCCGGGGGCTGCGCGGGGGGCCGGGCTGCAAAGCTGCTGACACCTGCCACCGCCACCCCCCCCCGTTTCATGCGGTGGGGGGACCGGACCCTGCTCCCCGCTGACCCACCTCCTAGCTCTCTTGCTCCTACTCCGACCCAGGGCTGCAGCCCCCACTTTGCCGGCGAGGAAACCGAGGCCACTGCCTGGCCAGCGGCAGGCGCATGGGGGCGGGCGCTGTCACACCCGTGCCGCCTGCTCTGGGTCCCGTCGTCACAGGTCCGCGCGGGCGAGTCCCTGATGAAGCTGGTGTCCGACCTCAAGCAGTTCCTCATCCTGAACGACTTCCCGTCGGTGAACGAGGCCATCGACCAGCGCAACCAGCAGCTGCGCGCTCTGCAGGAGGAGTGCGACCGGAAGCTAATCACCCTGCGGGACGAGATCGCCATCGACCTCTATGAGCTGGAGGAGGAGTATTACTCGTCCAGGTACAAATAGGGCCGCGCCTGGACCTGCGGACGAGGGCCTGGCCAGCAGGCGCGGCCCGGCCGGGCCGGCCGCCCCGAAGGTCCCGGCTTCCCGCCCCTGCCTGGCCCTGGCCGCCGAGCGCCCAGTCAGAGCGCCTCGTCCACAGACACTTGACACTGGCAACCGACCCCGGGCCCCGGGCGGAAAACCGCAGAACTTCAAGGGCTGGGGGGCCGGAGCCCGCGTCCCCGCGCGGGTGCCGGCCGCCCCTTTGTGACTGCGTGCTCCTCTTAGCTTTTTAATCAGCGTGGGCCCAGCGCCCCGGCCAAGGCTGGGCTCGCTCCTCTTGGCCGCCCCGGCTGTGCCCAGGACGCGGTGCTTGCCCAGGGAGGCGCGTCCCTGCAGCATCACCAAACCCCGTAGTGCGGGGCGGGTCCTGGGGAGGAGGGAGAGGGGGAATCTCACGCAGGGAAGACCCTGGAAGCCAGGCCGGGGTACCCCGATTTGGCCCAGCCTGGTCCTCCGAGCCAGAGTCCTCTGCGCCGGGCCCCAGGGGAGCCACAGTGGGTGCAGCCCGTCACCCCGGCCCTGCGGGGGCCCTGAGAAATCTCGGCCCAGGTGTAACTTACGTAGGGGAAACAGGCCAGAGCCTGGCAGGCTGGACTCCTCCGTCCCCATTCGCTCAGAAAACCCACACTCCGCCCGCAGATGCAGAGTGCGCACCCCTGCGCCTGCGCCCCAACAAGGCCGCCCTCCCGTAAAGGCTCCTTCCTGCCTCGCGGGAGCCACGCCGGGGCGCACGGGTTCGCCTGCGCGGCCTGTGGTCTGGGGCTCGGGTCCAGTGTCACCCCTCGGGGCCCCTGCCCGTCGCGGCCTCGGTGGAAAGGGACGCGATGTCACTGCCCGGCTGGGGTGGCCCTAGGCTTCTCCCAAGCATTCCGGGGCCGCCGCGATCCTGATGCCCAGCAGCTCAGCAGACGTGGCGAGCACCTCCTAACATCAGGCCTTCCGAGAAGGGTCCTCGAGGGCCCCGGGGGGGTTCAGAGCCTGCTGAGGGCATTGCCCCCGGCCCCCCCGGGTTTTCAGCATCCCTTCACCTCCCGGTGTTTGTCCCCGTCGTCCCCAAGGGCCAGGCCTCTGTGAGCAGCCACAGGACAACGTGCCTCTTGAGGTTGAGGGCAACGGGGAGGGGACCTGCCTGAGGTCCCTCCGCAGGGCCCGGGCACCAGGCTCCCACACCCTGCCCCGTCGGTCTCCAGTTCTCCCACAGCAGCCTGGGTGGGCCTGGTGGCCCCCGCGTCCCAGGGCCTCGGGAGGCCCGGTCCCGAACCCTGGGACGCCTGTCGGCGGCCCTCCCTGCCTGTGGCCAGCGCCCCACTCGCCCGCCCCCCCGCCCCCGCTGCCGCCCTTGCTTGCCTGCTTTCCACTCACGATCTGCTCTTGGTCTGCCGCTCGCCCTCTGCGTCCTCGGGACGCCGCCCTGTGACCGGGATGGTTTCTGAGACGGGCCGCGGGGGGCGGGAGCCTGAGGCAGACAGGACAGGCTGCGGGGGGTGCCGGGGAGGCAGGCAGGGTCCGTCTGTGCCCCTCCATGGCCTTGGTGAGCCCTCACCACACGTCTCCCGGCAGCGTGGTGGCAAGATGGGGGGCTGGCCGAGGCACCCGTTTGCGGTGGCGCCGGACGAAACACCAGGGTCCCTGTTCCTGTCGTCCGATTCTGGCTCAGGCCCAGCCGAGGGCAGGCCCAGAAATAGGACAGGCCTCTGCCCTCAGGGTCCGCACAAAGCGCAGGAACTGCGAGGCCGCACCGTGAGCCTTGGACGCCGGCTGCCCCGCAGCGAGGTGGGCTGCCGCCAGCCAGAGGAGGGCGGCTGAGCCGGGATGGGAGAGCGGCAGGGGCCAGGACAGCGGGCGACAGGCAGGACAGACACCTACCAGGTCATTCGGGGGGCCTGCTGGGGCCACAGGCCTTCATGGCCGGTCCTGGTGGGCCCCTCCCTTCAGGATGCTAAGGGCCCCGCGCTGGGGGCCCGCCCGGCAGGGCGCCACACACGGGAGAGGCAGGTGCTGGGCGCTGTCTGCTTTCTTAACCCGGCTTCTGTCTCGCTCTCCCTCCCCCGCTCCCCCTCCCTGCTCCCCTCTCTCCCTGGGTCTCTGGTGGTGGAAAAGCTCAAGTCTTTGCGAAGCTAACGATCTGCCTCTGTGCGAAGCTTACTGGAGGCTGGACCTCGACACAGACCCTGCTGACGGCTTCGCGGCCCCTGTGCTGGCGTCCCCGGAGCCCAGCGCTGGGCCCCTGCCGGCCACCGCCACTGCCCACCCCCACGCTGGCGGCCCTGGCCCCACAGAGCATGCCTGAGCCCCCCGGCGCGCCCTGCTCTTGCCGCCTCAGCCTCACTCCTCCCGGCCTGGGCCTGGCTCACGGATCCCGCGGCCCCCTTGGGGGCCCTGTGGGCTCGGGGGCAGCCCGCCCGTTGCCAAGGTGGCCCCCTCTCCACAAGCAACCTCTGCTCCCTGCTCTCCCGGCCAGCCGGGTGGGAGGGAATGTCCAGCACAGCCTGGCCGGTGCAGGGAGGATCCCTGACGCTGGGAGCCCTGGCCCTGGCCCGCCGTTCAGTGGGGCCTCCTGCGCGGAGCTACCGCACGCCTCACCCTGAGGGTCCCTGCGGGGCTGGGGGTCCTGCCTCGGTCTGCGCACGCATGCTGGTTATTTCCTTTCTGTAAGAGAACATTGAATGGGAGCAGCGCTCTGCCCTTACGTGTTGGTTGGCTCTTCTTTCTCATTTGCCGGATCATCCTGGGACCCTGTGAGTTCCTGGGGGCTGTTGGAGTGGCAGCTCCTGGCCTCGCCTGGACAGCCTCGGGTGCCAGGTCGCCGTGTCCCCTGGGGGCCCCGGGCGCACAGGGGCTGGTCAGGCTGCGGCCACGGCCGCATAGCCCCATTGCCCAGAACCTCAGTGCTTGGTGGACAGGTGAAACACCGCTGCCGTGTTGCGTGGCCCGGGCACCTGTGCCTCTGGTCCCTTCTGGTCCCCACCGCACCCAAGTCCCTTGCCGCCAGCACTTCAGGGAGGAGTGGCACCAGGCTTGGAGGGGGTTGGCTGACACGGTCACGGAGCTGGGAAGCAAAGGGGTGGAGGTCAGCACGTAGCCCAGACGGCAGGCTTGGGCCAGGGTCGCCTGCGGACGCGGGCAGGGCCTGCGCTGCCAGGCTCCGCCTCGAGGGACTCCAGCTCTGGGACAGCAAGGGCTACAGCTGACCCGTCTCCGGTCCCAGGGGCCCCCATGGCTGAGCAGAGGCCCTGGCCTCTGCCCAGGTCCCTGGTGGGCTGGGCTAGTTGCCCCCACCCCCAGGAGTTTCCCCAGGGAGGGGGGGTGCTCTGTCCCCACAGCACCTCAGCTGCCCGGGTATCTTGTGCTTAAACACAGAAGTACAGGTGGCAGGGCAGGAAGGAGCTGTGCCACGCCCGGCGCTGGGGCGGGGTGACCGTCCGGTTCTGAGTGCCAGCCAGCCCCGCACTGTCCACCTCACCCTCCTGGGCTGGTGTCCTCGAGCCAGGCGGGAACGAAGTTGTCTGAACAGAGCTGCTGTGTTGTGCCGCGTCCTCTGCGGCCCGTGCCCGCGGAGGCGGGCTGCTCGTTTCTGGCCCTCGTCCCCGAGGGCCCGAGCCTGGAATGGCGGTCGGCCTCAGTCCTCATGGCGCTTCTATGCCAGCTTTTCATTCCGAGGACCTTCAGCCCTGGGAGCCAGGGGAGGTGGCTCCTGTGCTCGGTCTGCACCTCCCCCGCTGGCTCGTCCTCGCGGAAGAGCCATTTGAACATCAGCTGCTTGACACCCCGTTACTTGTCAGCTGCCCCCTCTAAGGAGCCTCACATTCCCGATGGCCCAACGCTAGCATCACACTCCGTGACTGATGATTCCCTGATGTCATGTAGTAGCAAAACATGTTCTCCTTTCCCCAGTTCCCCAACTTTTTTTACCCATATTTATTTGCATTGCATTTACTTATTATAGTCTTTCTTAATATTTTATTTATATTTAGAGAGGGGAAAGGAGAGACAAAGAGAGGGAAAAAAAACATCAGCATGTGGTTGCCTCTTGTGCACCCGCCAACTGGGGACCTGGCCTGCATCCGAGGCCTGTGCCCTAACTGGGGATTGAACCGGCGACCCTTTGGTTCACAGGCCTGCACTCAGTCCACTGAGCCGCACCAGCCAGGGCTCATAGTCCTTTGAGACCCAGAACAGAGCCACGGCGGAGGTCAGAGTGGGTCAAGTGGAGTGGAGTTCTGGGTAGCCTTCAAGCCAATGGCGTTGCCCCAGGTCTGGACTGGGAGCCGGGGCAGCTTCCAGGCTGCCTGTGTGCCCCGGGGCACGGAGCCACCCTAAGACGGGGAGAGAGGCGGTGAGGGGGACAGGGAGAACGATGGGTCCCCATTCTGTCCACAGCAGGTGAAGCGGTGCCCCAGCGCAGGTCTGGGGTGCACGGGAGTTGGCACTCGAGCCCCGCCCCCGCCGTGGGTCGCCAATGGGGGAAAGAGTTCGCAGAAAAGTGGTCTGAAGCCAGGTGAGGAGGAGAAAGACCTGCTGTCCGGGGTCCCCAAAACCACCTGAAGACACGGTTTGAAGTGGGGTGGGGGGAGATCGGCTGGTCAACGCCCCCCAGCCACCTCGCACAGAAAAGGCCACTTAAGATCAGGGGGGCCCATCATCAAGATCTGCACACGGAACTCAACACCGTTTCCTCTCCCTGGCCCGTGGCGACTCAGCTGGCACCCAGCACCCCTGTCCAGGGAAGGCCTCCCTGGAGATGGTCATCCAGGTCAGGTCAGAGGACCCCAGACCTGGCGTGGGCTGGGAGTCCGTCATTCCGACTCCAAGGCGACCCTCAAAGGGTTCTGGGTTGTGTCAAAGCCTGTCGCCGCCACCAGTTACAGATCAGTGTGGCGGCCCCAGCCTTGGCCTGCGGGACGCCCCTGTCCTCCCCCGGGGAGGTCTCATAAAGAAGGCGCCCTGTTGGGTATCTTGGCCTGCGATTCTGCGGACCAAGCTGAAGTGGCCGCCAGGCCTCCCCGCGCGCCCGCCCCATCCCTTTCTCCTCGGCATCCCCATCGCCGCCACTTCATTCGGTCCTCTTATCGCCGGCCGCCCCTGAAGCAAAAACTCGACGGGGGCGCCGCTCGGCGCTTCCCTCCGCCCGGGCCCCGGGGCTCGGGACCCGCCCAGCACTTGCTGAAGCGCAGCCCTTTCCGAACCAACGTAGACGCGCCAGCTTCCACGTGGGGTCTGAGCCCCCAAGTACCGAACTATTTCTGTCGCCGTGGTTATTGAGCGCCTCCCGCATACGGGGCACTGCGCTGCGGCCGCGGACACCTGGACCGGGGAGCTGCCGACACCGGCCCAACCCGTCGTCGGACTGGCGGGCCCGGGGTCGCCAAAGGGCAGCCACCGGTCCCGCTCCGCCCGCGGCCCACCATGCTTTGCGCCGCGCCCCGCGGGCCTCTTCCGGTGGAGCCAGGCGTAACAAATCGAGCGCCGCGCGGGCGGCTCGGCGCTCGGCTGGCGGCGCCTGCGCACGTGGAGTTTCCGGCGAGCGCGGCACCTCGGCGGGGACTCGGGTTGTTTAGGAGCGGGCGGGCGGGCGGGGTACTGTGCGTGAATCGAGGCGAGGGTGCCTGTCTAGTCCTCGGACGCTGCGTCCTGGCCCTCCTGCCCCGGAGCGGGACTCCGAGGGAGCCCGCCCGAGCCTCCAGCCATGGCTTCCCTGCTCGCCAAGGACGCCTACCTGCAGAGCCTGGCCAGGAAAATCTGCTCCGGGCCCGGCCCGGAGCCGCAGAAGCGCAAGTCGGGTAACGCGCAGCCCGGGACCGGGAGGGCTTCCAGGGGGGCCTGCGGGTGGACTAGACACGTGGGTGCGTGCGACGAGCGTGTAAAATGCTAAAAGAAGATAGATAGGCGATGTCGACATCTCCGGTTTTCCCTGCTTGTCGGGGGCGTCAGCCTGGGGGTCCGAGGGTTTCAGCGGCATCGGCTCACCGGGCAGGAGGCACGGCCGGGGTTTGGAGGTGAGCCCGTGGCGTGGGGAGCGCAGGGAGCAGAGAGGAAGAGGCGGCCTGTGGCGCGGGGCCCTTGGGAAGCAGACGCACTGCCGGTCAAACAGAGCCGGCCTGCGGGGTCTGGGACTCGTAGGTGCTGCCTGGGCCTGGAGGACGGGACAGCAGCGGGAAAGCGGCCGCCCTTTTTACACGAGGAAGACATACTCACTATAGGGAATGAGGGAAAGGGAGTTTCTCGTCAGTCAGTGATAACTCAGGCCTGTGTGTTTCTAGGCTCTTTTCCTGCCTCGCTTATTAAAACAATGTGGTTCCGATGCTGTGTGAACATTTTCTCCGGCTCTTAAAATGAAAGCCTGGGTAATTATTATTGTTCTTTAAAGATTTCACACGTTTTTAGAGAGGGGGGAGGGAGGGAGAAAGAGAAGAGAAACATCCACGTGTGGTTGCGTCTCTTGCACCCCCTGCTGGGGACCTGGCCCCCAATCCAGGCCTGTGCCTAGACTAGGCGACCCTTTGCTTTGCAGGAGGAAGCTCAGCCAAACTGAGCCACACTGGCCAGGGCCTGAGGAATTATTCTTGGTGGCTTCACAGCAGTTGGCTGTGTAGCAGAGCCATGATTTGCTCCCGGAGGGGAATGTTTAGGATTCCCTAGTGTTTCACTCTCGGACGTTGGCATTGTGACGGACATTCTTCAGATCGAATCTTTGCCCAGGATGAGGTCTCACCACGGACTGCTGGGTCCGCTGTGGGACGTCCATCAGGGTTTTGATAGGTGCGACCAGCCTGCTTTCTCTAGGGAGTTCATGGTTCTGAGCTCTACGGGTAAGGGTCCACGGAACCCCTGGTTGTGCCTTCTGAGATGAAAGCCTCGGCGGGACCTCCTGCCTGTTCACTCGGTCACAAGAGCGGGACAGCATCCCTGTCTCCTTTTGTATTTCAGTGGGCAAAGCTCAAGGCTCCGAAGCTGCTGGACCCCCAAAAAAGAAGAGGAAGAGGGCGCAGAAGAAATCCCGGGGGCGGGAGGAGAAGGCTGCGGAGCCCAAGGCCCAGGCCCCGAGGGAGAAATCTCGGGCAGCTTCCCAGGCCGCAAAGCCAGCAGCGGCCAAGGAGGGGAAGGCCTCCTGCCCCCCGGGGGCCCCTGCAGGTGAGGAGCTCCTGCAACAGCTCGGCTGGAGGGGTGTCACTGCCCCCAAGTCCCTGGAGGGGCGCTGTGGAAGCAGACATGGTCAAGGGGCGCACAGGCTGCGGAGGGTGGAAGCAGGGGAGATGGGTTTGGCCTGACTTGTTGGAAGCGCTTTCTGGTAACACGGGGATGTCCCTCCCTGAGGATGCTTGGGGGCCCATGCACGGAGAGGAGGCCAGGTAGAAGTTACTGGAGCTGCCCTGCAGAAGCGCCAGCGGCCACTGGGTGGGGACAGCGCGCTGGGACTCGGGCTGGAGGGGGACGGGGGGGGGGGGACGGGGGCTGGGGGGGGGCTCCCCTTTCAATCCTGATTCCTTCTGCGCAGGGGGCCTGGCCACAGAGCCAGAGCCCTTCTTTGCCCTGGATGTTCTGCGGCAGCGGCTGCATGAGAAGATCCGGGAGGCCCGCGGCCAGGTAGGTGGGGGCGGCCCGGGGCCGAGGAGCGCCCGTCCCCTGCCCCGCGCAGGGGTTGCGGGCTCCGGGCCGCCGGCAATCGGCGGTGGGGGGGCGGTCCTGACGAGTGAACGCAGCCTCCCCCTGCAGGGCAGCGCCGAGGAGCTGTCCCCCGCCGCCTTGGAGAAAAGACGGCGGCGGAAGCAGGAGCGTGACCGGAAGAAGAGGAAGCGGAAGGAGCTGAGAGCCAAGGAGAAGGCGGCCAAGGCGGCGGAGGCCACAGAGGCCGAGGCGCCGCCCCCCGAGGCTCCGGGCAAGGAGGCGCCGGGACAGCCGGGGCTGCTGTTCAACAAGGTGCGGGGACCCTGCGCGGCCGAGGCTGCGGGGCTGCTCGCCTGAGGCCGCTGGCGGTAACTTGCGCCGCGTTCTCCCCGGCAGGTGGAGGTGAGCGAGGAGCCACCGGCCAGCCGGGCGGAGCGCCGGCGGGAGAAGCGGCAGAGGCTCAAGGGGAACCTGCCGCCGCTGACCGGGAAGAACTACCGGCAGCTGCTGGAGCGGCTGCAGGCGTGGCAGGGCCGGCTGGAGGCGCTGCGTGAGCAGGACGCGGCCAAGGCGCGGGAGCTGCAGAGCAAGATGCAGTGGACGGCAGCGCTGTACCGGGCCGAGGGCGTGCGCATCCGCGACGACGAGCACCTGCTGCAGGCCGCCCTGCGGCGCAAGGAGAAGCGGCGGGAGCAGCGGCAGCGCCGCTGGGAGAAGCGCACGGCCCACGTGGTGGAGAAGATGCAGCGGCGGCAGGACCAGCGGCGCCAGAACCTGCGCAAGAAGAAGGCGGCCAAAGCCGAACGGCGCCTGGAGAAGGCCCGCAGGAAGGGGCGCGTGCTGCCGCAGGACCTGCAGCGCGCGGGCCTGGACTGAGCGGCCGCTGGCGCCCGGGCGGGGCACTGGGCTGGCCTCCGGTCTGCACGCGGCTCCGGTCGCGGAGCGAAGGAGGACGTTGCAAAGAACAGGAGCCTGGACGCCAGGCAGGGGGCGGGGGGCACCATCTCCAGTCTCCAGCTTTCCCTGGTGGGACGCCAAAGCCCCCAGTTTGCGGGGTGAGGGGCACGCACTGCACGTCTTTGGGGGCCCCCCCCGCCCGCCGTCACAGGAGCAGGACAGGAGTGGCCTTGGCGACGCCCATGTCAGTCCAGAACTCACTTGGAGGGACTGAAACCCAACGCGTGTGCCCAAGCCCAGGGTGGAGCTGACGGCTCGGGTCACTAGGAGTGACCGCAGACGCACCTGGAATTGAATTTTTCTAAGTTCACTTGTGAAAAGGGTAAAAATGGGCATTCAAGTCACACATGCACATTCGTTTTAGGACAACCCCTGAAAGGTGGAGACGGGAGGGAACGGGCAGGACGGGAAGCGGGAGGGAGGGCGGAACCGGGAAGCAAGGTGACAGCGACCGGCAGCACTGAGCCCGGGCCCGCCCCCGCCCGGAGCGGATCCGAAAGCCAGGGTTGCGATGTAGCGCGGGTGACCTTTCGAGACCACGGTCGCTGCTCTTCTTTTGATTGATTCACATTAGACTGTGAGACCGGCTGGAACGTGAGGGAGCCAGTGGCTGCTGTCCCCAGGCAGGGTAGACTGAGACAGCATGCGGAGCTGGTGACGAGGCCCCCGCAGCGCTGGGGTGGGGGGTGAAGCCACAGGCCCGTCCTGCGGGCGTGGAGGCACCTCACAGGCGAAAGTGGGAGGTGGTTGGCGTCGCTCTTTGGAACTGGTGCTGGCACCAGGCGGACGAAAGGCAGGTGTCGGGAAGGTCCGATGGCAGAGTTTACAAGTGCAGTTTGGGGACTCGGTGGTGTCTGGGGCCTGGACACCAGGTGCAGCCGCCGTGACGGAGACCCGCGGTGTAAAGGGTCAGCACCACACAGTGTGATCCGGCTGTAGCGTGAAAACGTGAGAGGTTACATGTTAAAATTTCACGTCTGGAAGCGTCAATGACCTGGGCCCATGGTTCCTCCCAGATGTTGAATGTTTGGGACAGAGAATGAAGATGCTGTGCAGTCAAGTCTGGGACACAGCTCGCGGTGCAAAGGGCAGCACCGCCACCAGGTGTGTGTGACCAAGGGGCGTGTGAGCCCCATAATTTCCTGCCACCTGGGTGACCTGTGACCCTGTCCCAGGAGTCTCTTGTCCCACCCCACTCTGCACCCGGTAATTCCATCTGTCGGGGGGGAGGAGGCTGCGGCTGCCGTGAAAATGGCAGGCAGCCTCTCGCGGGTGTCCCCCCAAGTCTCCGAGCCCCGGGGACTCACCCCGCCGGCTCCAGGGCTTCTGTGTCCCCAGCTTCATGTGGTTGATGTGCAGGGAGAGCAGGTAATGTGTGTGTGGTGGCAGGTGGCATCAGAATGTGCCATTTCTAGAAGCCGCAATAGACCCTAGGAGACCTGGGCAAGACAGGAAATGTGGGGGCAGCTTCACCCGCAGACACATGTCCGGAAACGCTGGGAAGGCTCCGTGTCCGCCTCCCGGCCTCCCCAGGCTTGGCCCGTCCCTCCCTGGCCCAGGGCTGGGAACAAGGCTGCCCACCAGCAAGGCGCACGTGATGCATTTTGGTGTCAGGTGGCCACAGCAGGCAAGTTGCGGGAGAAAACTTCAAGAGCACAGCGTCAGAACCAAATGGCAAGAGTCTCCAAACGAAGATTTCCACGGCTTTCCGGTGTTTGTCGAAGTGGGTGGCAGGAGCCCTGGTCACACGCGGGCTCAGGAACCAGGTCGCCAACAGCACTGAAAGGTGTCGGGGGGTCTCTCGGGTGAGGCGGGGGAGGAAGCGCAGAGCCAGGCTGTCCTTGCCTTTAGCGGTTCCAGGACTCGAACCGACAGGCCCAGCGTTCAGTGAGGGGCGACGGGCAACTGGGGAGCCCCGGTGAGGCCCCTGGTGCCCAGACCGGGAGTGGGGGCGGGGCAGTCCCTGCTGGGCTGGAGGAAAGGAGGGGCTGCCGAGGAGGCTTCCCCTTGGGAGTCACCCCCCCAGGGTCTTTGGGGGCCTGCTTTCTCAAAGGTGTCTGTGAGGTGGGATGTCGGGGTCCCCGAGTCATCCAGGTTCACCCACCGTCCCCGTTTCACTGCTGAGGAGCCCACGCTCTGCAGTTTCTGCGTTAGCCTCCCCACGGGAGAGCCGGTTCGGATATGGGGTCGCCTGCCGATGGGTTCGTGGGCTAATCAGAACTTTGGTTTCCAGTATCTCAGTCTCACACCTGAAAATATATGAGAGGTTTTTCTGCAGTGATAGGAAGTCTCTGATCCGCAGGCTGTGTCTTGACCTAAAAATGTAGGACTTCGAGCCTGTCACTTTCTTTGTATGAACTGTCCATCCCTGTGAGTGGAGCCTCTCCACCCCGCAGATGGGAGTTTCTCAAGCCTTTCCTGGTGTTTCATGGTGGTCAGCCGGTCTCCAAGACCTGCCTCTAGAACACGCTTGTCTCAGGACCACATCTCCAGATATGTGCGCCGACGTGTCCAGGGTCCCTTCCATTCGTACTGATGCGATTGCCCTCAGCTAAAATCCAGCCACATAACACCCCAGAGTTCCCCTGTGTCAGCCGTGACAGGTCATGTTATGTTGTGTTAACCAAAGTACCTTTTAATAAATCAGTAGTTTGAAACCAGACTCATCACTGGATATGTCTTAGCAACTAGAAATAGAAGATAACTTCCTTAATTAGATTTAAAAAACATTTACCAGAGACCTACAGACACTTAATGGTGAGGGACTAGTTTTCCTGCGAAGTTCAGGAACAAGGCAAGAATGTTCCTTTTCATCACTGCCCTTCAATTTCATGCTAGCAGTCCCAGCACATGCAATAAGACAAGAAAAGGGAATGCTAGGCATATAGGTTGGGAAGAAAAATCAAACTTTTTGTAGATGACATAGTATTAAAACAGAACGGACAAAACTTTTGGAATTAAGTGATAACAAGGTTTCAGGATATAGGGTTAATAGGCAAAAGTCAATCCGTTTTTTATATACCAGTAATGAATAAGTGGAATTTGAAATTAAGAACATTACCATTTATATTAGCACCGCCAAAATGAAATAATTAGGTATAAATCTAACAGAATAGGTAGGTGTGATATCTGTGTGAGGAACACCCCAACACTTTGATGAAGGATCCCAAAGAAGTTAAAAATATTCCATGTTCATGGACAGAAAGTCTCAATATCATCAAGGTGTCAGCTTTTCCCAACTTGATTTATAGGTTCAGTACAATCCCAGCAAGTTATTCTTTGACTGTTGACTTGGCCTGAAGTTGTGGGGAGGCAGAAGACCCATGTCAGGTGACTTGGTGTTGAAGGACAAGAACGCAGTTGGACATACGTCAGAGATAGAGCTACATAAATACAGTGAACTGACTGTTGAAGAAGGAGCAAATGAAATCCAGTGGACTGAGACAGGCTTTTCAATAGTGGTACTGAAGTAACTGGATGTCCACCTGCCAAAAAAAAGACACAAACCTGACTTTTCACATAAATTAACTCAAATAGAATTATAGCCTTAAATGTAAAATGCAAACTAAAAACAACTAGAAAGTAACGCAGTAGAAAGCCTGCGTGACCTTGGGCATGCTGATGCCCTTTCAGATGCCGCACCAAGGGCGCAGCCCGTGAGAGAGAAAATTGGCAGGCTGGCTCCACCGCACGTAAAAACATCTGCTCGCGGAAGACAACGCCCAGAGAATGAGAAGACGCGCCACGGACTGGGAGGGTGTTCACAAAAGGCACACCGCATGAGGGGCTGTCACCCAGTCCTCACAAAGGACCTAAAGCTCAACAGTTGAACAACCTGATAAAAACCAGGCACGTGACGTGCACAGATAGCTCAGCAAAGGCGACAGGCAGGTGGCGAGTGAGCCTGTGTTAAGGATGCGCGACGTCGCGTGTCCCAAACCCAGGGCCCTGGCCACACCGAGTGCTGGCGAGGACGTGGGCGCCGGGACTGCCGTCAGCGCAGCGGGAAGGCACACCGGTCCGGTGGCTTCGGAAGGCAGCTTGGCGGGTTCTCACAAAACGGAACAGGCTTTCGCTGTGTGGTTCCGCCATCACGCTCCTTGGTGTGAACCCAAACGAGGCGAAAACTTTTCCTACACAAAACGCCACCCTCGGATGTTTGGAAGAGCTTTGCTTACACTGTAGTTGTAGATGCGCCCAAGATGCCCCTCAGCGGGCAAGGGGTGCGTGGGCGGCGCCAGGTCCCCTTGGGAAGATGGGGAGCAGACGCGAACGCCAAGGGAAGGAGGCCAGTCTAAGGAGGCCCCGGCTGTGGGTCCCCGCTCTGTGACGTTCTGGAGAAGCGGAAACCCTGGGGACAGTGGAAGGATCATCGGCCGCCAGGGGCTATGTGGGCAGGGAGGGGTGAGCCGGCAGAGCACAGAGGTGCTTGGGGCGGCGAGCCAGCCCTGCGCGGCCTGCAACGGGCCGTCACATGCGCCCAGACCCGCAGAGCTGCAATGCCAAGGGCGAGTGCTAACGCAGGCGGGGACTCGGGCAGGGACGGTGTGTCCGAGCAGGTTCGTCAGCTGTAACAAATGGACCTTGCGGTGCGGGGGCAGCCGGTTGTACGCGACCTTTGCCCTTTCCCCTCGGTTTTGCTGAGAACCTGTAGCTGCTCCAACAACAGGACATGTATCAGTTAAGGAAGCAACAGACTGATCATTGGATCTCAAAGTTTTTGTCGGAAAGTGACACACGCCACTTCTGTTCCCATGTCACTGGCCAAGACAAGTTGCGTGGCTCTTAGGGGCACAGAAGTGCCGTTGTACCTGGGCCTGAGCGAGCCCTCGCGCCGGCCAAGACAGCGCGCGCCCCGCCCTGGGCCCAGACTCCTACGCCAGCCGGGGCTCTCCGTGGAACGCCGCGGAGGGCAGCCCTGCCGATCTACGCGGAAAGCGGACTCCCTGAAAGGCTGTTGGGGCACGTGCACCCTGAAGATGCCAGCATAAAACTGGCATGTCCTCTGTTCTCCGTTCAGAAAGTATCCAGAGCCAAGTAGGAATAAAAAACAGAAAACACACGGTATCCTAGATGTAAGCAGGAAGCGTTTGGCATCGCAAACCCTCTGACAGGCAGACGGTGCAAAAGCAGTGGGCACTGGGCAGGGAAGCACAGGCTCCAATGCGTGGCCTGTGGATGAACAGCGCATTTGCGCAGGCGTCCTAGGACCTGGCTGCCAAAGACGCGCACACAGCCCTCAGGCACCCGAGCCCCAGGTTGCCGACCTTCATCCACGGAGCCAGGGTGACGGGAAGCCAGGGAGACACACACCAGGCCACCCCCCGCCTAATCGGAGTGGCCTGTGCGGGTCAGCGTGTGGGGAACTTTTCAACCCCCTCCCGGATCTCTGTTCTGTCCCCCACCTTACAAACACCTGTCCCCACGGCGGGGGAAGGGCTTTGAGACAGGAGCCCCCATCTTCCAGGTGGCCGGCACCTGACAATAAATCGCTTCCCTTAACATCAGCAGCTGCGTCTCGAGCACCGGCTTTCGTAGCGGCGGGCAGCTGGGTTCGTGTTTGGTGACAGTCACAGACCTCTGGGACGGTGGTGAGTCCCCTCCCCCGAGGAGCAAATCACAAATGCCATTCTCGCAGAGAGAAGACGCCAGGCAGCCAGGCAGCCGGGGGGCGCGGGGCGGAGCCTCGCGGGGCCAGGCGAGCAGGCAGCCCCTTGTCTGTGCTTGGGGCTGGGGCGAGCCTTCCCGCCCTGTCTTTCCGCTCTGACTCGGGGGCGTGAGGGCGAACGGGACCGGCTCTCGGCTCTTGGCGCTGTCGTGAGGAAGATCTGCGTTGCAGGGAACGTGGCCTGCCCCACCCACCCTGACACTGCAAACATCCGTGCCAGGAAACACCTTACTGCTGAGGAGAGCTCGACGGGTGGGAGGCGGGGGGTGACCGCAGGGTCCACAAAAGGGCTGTGCCGGACAGAAGGACGCGAGGCCCGCGGCAAACGAAGGAGCCGGGCCACGGAACAGCTGGGATCTCTAAAACTATTCCTCCACGCATTTAAAACATGAAAAGAACCGATCACCTCTATCAAATAAAACCCAAAGCCGAAACCGTGAGCTTACGGAGGGGAGATCGGGTCAGCAGGTCTGGAAAAGGTCAGATGAGCTCAGAGGAAGAGGGGAGCGAAAAGAAGTCATTGCAGAAAGTAAATATTTACTTATTTTTTTAGAGGTTCTTTTTATTTTTAGAGAGAGGGAAAGGGAGGGAGAAAGAGGGAGAGAAGCACCAACATGCGAGAGAAACATCCATGAGCGGTTGCCTCTCGCGCGCCCCCTCCTGGGGACCTGGCCCGCAGCCCAGGCCGGTGCCCTGACTGGGAATCGAACCGGCGACCCTTTGGTTCCCAGGCCGACGCTGAGTCCACTGAGCCACACCAGCCAGGGCAGAGAGTAAACAAAATTAAAAACAGTGAAAGAATGAACAGTCCTAACGTCACCTTAAGGGACAAAGGAAAATGCATGATAACATGAGGAAATGCCACGGAAGAAGGCATTGGGACGTCCGACGAGAGTCCCTGGAAAAGGAACCCAGAAAAGACATTACTCGGATGCAGCAGGGTCCCCAAAGAAGGAAACTAAAATATGGGAATGGAAAACGTATTTTAAAACAGCGCCCGAGAAAACTGTCCGAATTAAACACATGACTCTCCACAGTGAACATCCCCTCTGCGCCATGAAAATAACATTTCTGCCCCAGCTGGTGCGGCTCGGCGGACGGAGCGCCCGCCTGCGACCCACAGGCTCGCCGGTTCGATCCCCAGTCCGGGCCCAGGCCTGGGTTGCGGGCCAGGTCCCCAGCAGGGGGCGCGTGAGACGCAGCCCCCTACGGGTGTTTCTCTCCCTCTCTCTCTAAAAATAAATAAATTTTTTTACAAAGGAAAAAATGTTTCCCACGGAGATCTTTCCTCATGAGGTCAACTGGACCTCAAGACAAGAAGAGCGACCCTTGGGCACCGAGCCAAAACTCCAAATTACGGCTGAGGGGCAAGGTCAGGCTGGGGTTGCGCTTTCTGACAGCGACTTCGGACCAGCCCAGGCGGCCCCGAGGCCAGGAAGTGAGCCCGGAGGGCTTCGCGCAGCCGGTGGCAGAGGCACAGGAAACCCCACGGCGCTGTTCCCGCGAACCTCCCCGAAGGGCGAGCTGGGGCGTGAGCGAGGCGGCCACCGTCCAGCTGGACAAAGATGGCAAAAAGGTCATTGGTGCCAGGACCCGACTTAAGTATAGACCCAAGTCATGAGCAAGGGCCAAGGCCATGGGTTCAGCCTGACACAGAAATTACACGATTCTCACAAAGATGATGGAAAGGGGACAGAAAAGAGATTTCTTCATCTTTCCAGATGTAGGCGATGTCGTTCACAGATGAAGATTCCAGCAGTGGAGGCATACGTACGTTTACAGCCCATATTTAGGAACACAGTAACGTTCAATGGAGGGAGAAGGGGGACCACGCGGGGGATCGGTCAGCCGCATCGGAGCCCGCAGCGGGGAGTCAGCCCCCACGGTCTCGGCAAAGCGCGCGCGAGAGGCATCCCGGAAACCGTGACCCTAAGCGCTTTCCACTGCGGTAAAATACAAGTCTTTCAAATTACTGGGGAGGGGGGACCTCATAAAACAAAGGAAAGGAAGCAGTCTGTGGAAGGTCCTCCACCGCCATGAACGCGAAACAGGCCGGCAACTTCTTGAAACCTAGAGTAACCGAATCGTCGCTGCGGTGACTGGGCTTCTCCTCAATCGGCTTATTAAAGCGCCTCACGCTGGAGACACAGCGCGGGGCACGAGGGTGCAGTGAGCAACAGCCTGCGCTGGCGCGGCCTGGGGGGCGCGGGGCAGCCCCCCGGGCTCGGTCCTCAGAGCAGGGAAGCCACCGAGGGACCCATCGGGCAGCTCCGTGTCCCGGGGGGTCGCGGTGCCGCTAAAGCACCACCCAGCAACGGCTGAAACCTCTGGGCTCAGGCGCCGCGCTGGAAGTCTGGGTGTGGTGGGGTTTCTGTCTTGCCCGGCTGCCTCTCCTGGCAAGGCTCCTCCCCGCAGGCGGGGCAGGCAGGGCTGTGCCCTGGGCGGGGACGCGGCTTCACGCTCAGGTTCAGAGCCTCCGAGCCTGAGCTCCGCGAACTAGGCTTCCGACCTGCGCCGTGACCCCTGGCCCTGCCTCCAGGCACGCCGCCTGCGGGTCCTCGGGGGAGCCATGGACTACACAGGTGGGTGAGGAGGGACCGGGGCGCCAGGAACGGGCTGCGGGGGCCTCCTCCGCAGCGCCGGCCCCTCTGGCTGGGGCTCCGGCCGCGCTAGGGAGGACGCCCAGGGTCAGCGGGGTGGGCCGTGCGCAGAGTGGACAGAGAGGGTCGGAAGCTGCCTTTGTGTGCACGTGCGTGTGGTGTGTGCGGTCCTGGACGGGCATGGCTGTGGCGCCCAGAGAGGCACGAGACAGAACGCGGCCGGGGTGGCGAGCTGGGCAGAGGGCAGGCACCCGAGGGCGACGTCCTGACCCCGGCCGGGCTGCCCGCCCCGCCCGCCCCCTGCCCGGGTCTCCCGCAGGTGGAAGCCCCTTCCCCGGCCCCTCTCCCGGGCTCTTTTCCCTACCCGTCCGGGCCCCACAGGACACAGCCGGTGACCAGCAAGGGCTCTTCCTCCTTCCGGGACGTCTGCCCTTGGCAGACAGAGCAGGCCCAGGTCTCTGGGGAGCTGAGACCCTGCCTGTGCGGGGTGGGGGTGGGGGAACGAGGGGGGAGAGAGGGAGAGGGAAAGGAAGGGACGGAGCGTCGCTGGGCCCCCTCCCTGGTCAGGACAGCGGGGACGGCGACGCTCTCCCAGAGCGGGGGCGGGGGGGCCTTTCCCCGGTGGGTGGCCCCTGCCTCTGTTCCTGCTGCTGCCTGGGTGCGACCCCCAGTCTCACATGTCAGAGCCCCCCCCCGCCCCGTCCCCACCCTGGGCCCAGCCCCTGTGGCTGCAGATGGGGAAGCTGGGCTCTGGGGTCCTCAGGACCTGCACCCCGTTCAGAGGAGACCCGGCGCAGTCAGCGCAGGTGGCGGGCAGGCACCGGCCGAGGTCCTGGTCCGCCTGCTCAGAGCTGTGGCCTGGCCCCCCACCCCGCGCCGCCCTCCGGCCCTCGCCGGCCTGTATCTCCCAATGCGCGTTTGCCCTCGTATCTGGGGCTCTAGGCGGACCTTGCGACACAGGTCCTAGGCGACACAGTGTGGCCTCGGTGAAGCTTCCAGAATGGCGGCCCTTTGGCCCTGGACCTTCCAGCACCACCCACGGCTGGGCTCGAACCCCAGCCTCAGGGGTCTCCCCTTCCTCCACCAGTGGAGAAAGTCAGGGGCTCGCCAGGGGTGGCTCCTGGGCTTTCCCTCCTCTGTGCAGCCCAGGTGGCAGAAGGAAGCTGCCCCGGGGCCGGGGGAGCAACCGAGCCCCGCTTCCTCTCTCTGTTCCGCTCGGCTCCCGGGCCCCCCTGCCGGGGGACCGGCCTTGTTATGGAAGCTGTCCTGGGGGGCGTGGGGCTGGGCTCCCGACCGGTCCGAGAGGCAGGCGGAGCGGAGGGGCCGTGCCGGGTGTTCGCGGTTCAGCTCCGCTCGGCCCTGAAGCCCCTTGTCCGCTGTGTCTGCCCTTCCACGCGGGGCCCCGCGGGGCAGTGGGCGGGGGGAAGGGCCACCAGCTCTCAGGGCCCGCCGATCCCGCGGCCCGAAGGCGCAACGTGCAGGCGCCCCCGGGGGCGCAGCTCAGGCTCGGCCTCCCGTGGCTGCCTGGAAGGGGGCGGCCGGGGCTCCGAGGACATCGTGACTGGGCGGATTCCGCCAGGGCCCTGTGCTGGCCCCGATGCCGCGTGTCCCCGAGGAAGCGAGACTGAAGGCCCCCCGCTGGGCCGCCCAGCCCCCCGGGGGCCTCTGCCCAGCCCCACAGGCAGCGACAGCCGCATCCGAAGGCCGGGGGCCTGGCGGCGGGGGGCCGGCTCACCCCGGTTTGCTTGGGCCTGTGCTGGTGTTAGCACTTCGGTCCTGCGCCCTGGGGACCGTGTTGGTCCTGTGGGCACTGGGCAGGGTGTCCCCGGGACCTGGGTCTGGGCCCTGCCTTTGCACGAATTCCACAGGACTCTGGGCAAAACTGTCCTTCTGGGAAAGTCACGCCGCCTGCGGCAGGCCCCTTCCTTGTGACTCCCTTTATCCCCTCCCCCTCCGCGAGCACCCAGCAGGTGTGTGCAGGTGAAAAGTTCAGGCCTGCAGGGGAAAACGTGGTTTTAAATGGTTTCCTTGATTAGTGGCAGCTAAGCTGTTCCCTGTTCTTTGGTCCCGACCGGATCTGTCCGCAGCTGTCTAGGGTACACGTGGGGGTGTTTCACGAGCCTGCCAGGGAAGCCCAGCCTTAGCCCCGCCCCCACCAGCCTGAAGTCCCTGCCCTGCCCCCCCTCCCGTGTTCTCGGCTCCCTCTAACGCTCCTGCTCCACCGGGGCACCCTGGCTCCTCACACAGTAGGTGGTTCCCTGCTGCTGTGGTCCTCTAGGCCCCTGCCCCCAGCCCTCAGCGCTTCCTCCCTCCCTGGCTGTGCTGCCATGTCCGGGCCTGCGTGGCCCAGGGCTTGGCATCCGGGGCACCACACCCCCGACTGGGCCTACCCCCGCCCCTCCCTCCCCCTCCCGCTCCCCCCCGCTCACCTGGGCGGCTCCTCTCGGGCGCAGAGGAGGAGCGGAGGCCGGGGCCCAGCCCGCCCCGCCCTGGACGGGGCAGCCGTGCTGTGCGAGGCACAGGCCGAGCCGCCCTCCACGCTCCCTGCCGAGCTCCTGCCGCGGCCCCGGGCGGGGCGGGGCGGGGCGGGGCGGGGCGGGGCGGGCCCCCCACCCCCGGCTCCTGTCCGGGTGCTGGAGGGGGCCCTGCTGCGTTGGCGGGAGGGAGCGCGGCTCTCAGGGCTCCAGGGGCGGCCTCAGGGGTGCCGAGTCCTATCAGGGACGGGGAACGACCTCCAGCCGCATCCCACGCGCCTCCTTTCCGGCGGGAAGCCCTGCTTTCAGGGGGCTCCCATTCTTTTATTATCATGACCGTCATTACTGTAAAATACGCGTGACAGAAAGGTGACCATCGGACCGTCCGCCCGCCACAGCCCAGCTGCCCCCACCCTCCCTCTCCGGAGCCTCCTCCTTCCCGACTGAGCTCCGTGGCCGCACCCCCGCCCGGCCGGCCCGGGTGACGCGGACGCTCTGGTCCCCGGTGGGCGGGCCGCGCGGGCCCGGGAGATGGCAGTGGGGCTGAAAAGGCGCGATGGCCGGTGGCGGGCCGGGCCATGCCGGGGTGACGGGCCCGCTGGCCGCTGCCCTGGCAGAGTGGCGCGCCCCCGGCCGGTCACGTGCCCCGCGCAATTCCTGATGCTGATACTAAACGACCGCGTCGCCGGTTTACGTATTTGCTGCCCTTTTAGCTACCACCACAGGGCGTGCTCTTCCTGCGTGTTCCGTGGGCCGGGAAGCCTGCGCCGTGTCCCGCCAGCACCCGCCTCACGCAGCGCGTGTTCCCCGCCTTGCCTCCCGCCCGCCTCGCCTGCCCTCCTGCGCGACTTAATCCCGTTGTTCCGTGCGGAGACCTGCCGCGCAGGCTTGCAGCCCAGGGCCTGTGGGCCGGACCGCGCAGCCCAGGTGCGCAGCCGGCTTTGCCACCGAGGTAGGTAGGCTCCGCGTCGGTGGCCTCACGCCGCATTTCCCAGAGCGTGTCCCTGTCACTGCGTGGCGCGTGGCCGTGCCTCCTCTCCGGGCGCATTTGGAGCGTCTGGGTCTGGGCGGCGGTTTGGCGGGTGTGCCTTTCACTCTCTTGCTCGCAGGACCTACCTGTGTCTTTGTTTTTAAAGTGTGTCTCCTGCGGCTGAAGCTTTCCTTTATTTGTTCTATTAAGATTTTATTTATTTACTTTTAGAGAGAGGGGAAGGGAGGGAGGGAGGGAGAGAGAAACATCCCTGTGTGGCTGCCTCTCACGCGCCCCCTGCTGGGAACCCGGCCCCCCCATCCAGGCAGGTGCCCCGACTGGGAATCGAACCGGCAACCCTTTGGTTCCCAGGCCAACGCTCAGTCCACTGTGCCGCACCAGCCAGGGCTGCACTCGAACTCTTGACCACGTGAACACATTGTAACTGGACAGCGTGGGGCCTGGCTGCTTGTTGCCATGTATGTGTATACAAAGATCTATGTGGAAGGAAATAGGTTTTTATTAACACGGCTCCCGGTGGGGGGGGCGGCTGGGAGCGTTCCTGATCTGAAGCCTTCTCCTCCCCAAAACACACAGCCTCCCTTGCGCCCCAAACCGAAGCCACGCCCAGAAGCGCCCCGTTACCGCTCGTGGGCCCTGCGGGAGCCTGGGCGGCCGTGCCGACGGGCCTCCGCCCTCCCGGGAGCGCGCCTGCGGGCCTCGGTGGCCGCTACGGCCCTCGCTCTGGGCCTGGGTTGCGCCACCCGGCCGCCCAGACACTCCGGCAGACGGGCTCCTCGCGCCAGACCCTCCCGGCGTGTGCCTCCGGGCGCTGCCCTCGGGCCGAGGGGTGAAGCCGTCTGGGTGCCAGGCCGCCTGGGTCACAGGGCCCCCGGGGCGGGAGCCTGGCCTGGCGAGGCTCACGTCCCAGCAGGGCCCTGCCTGGGGCTGGCGTCCCACTGCGCGGGGCCCAGCAAAGCCAGGAGGCCGAGAGAGCAGGAGGCCACGGGACAGCGAGCTCGGGCCGCCTGCTGTGTGAACGTCCGCTGCCAGAGCCCCTCACACCCGCGCTGGAAGCCGGCGGCAGTGTCCGCCTTCCCAGCCAAGGAGGCCCGTGTGGCCATGCTGGGCCACCGCGCGCAACAAGGGGGCCAAGTCCTGAGCCACGAGCGCCCCCTGCTGGCTCCCGGCCGCTGCGGGCAGAGTCCCTCCTTGGCAGGGAGGGGAAGCCGCTGTTCATCTTCCCTTCGACCTCGGGGTTTTCTTCCTGCTGCCCCCCCATACTCCGCCCCCCACATCTTCTCCAGCGATGTGGCCTGACCGCTGTGCTACAGCATCAAGGAAGGCTGCACTGTGCACCGGGGCCGGGGCGCAAACCCTCTGGGGAGGCCGTGTTCCTCAGTCCTCCCTGGAGGCCTGTTAGCGGGGCTCCAGCCCCCTGGCTCGGGGGTCAGCGGTGGTCCTCCAGCGTTCATTCCAGTGGGGTCCCGCCCGTCTGCAAGGAGAAGGGTGCTCAGCGGGGAAGGCCGGGTAACTGGGAGGCAGGGGTGGGGGGTGTCTGAGGGGAGGAGCCCCCGCCCCTCTGAGGGAGGGAGGAGGAACGGGCGGGGTTTGGACTGGGTCTTACAGACGTTGCCCCCGCGGGCTCCACACCCGACCTGCAGGAGGACAGGAAGCCCGAGAGGAGCAGGGGCAGGGAGGGGGTCAGAGGCCAGCTGTCGGAGCAGGGGGCGGGCACAGACCCTAAGACCTGGGAGCTTTCAGAAGGAGACTCACGCAGGGGAGCCGTGGGGGTCGGCAGGGGCCATGCCCGGGGGGCGCGGTGCCTGGGAGGTGGGGCTCGCCCACCCGCCCACCTGCTGCCCCGGTTCCCACCTTCACTCCGTGTGCGTCAGAGACCCTGCTCCTCCTCTTCCTCTCGCCCTGACGGCGCAGATGGGGGAGGCGGTGCGCCCGCCGGGGAGGGAGGGGTGGAGGCAGACGGTTGGCTCTCAGGTGTGTTGGCTCTCAGGCGTCCCTGGTAGGGGGGCGAGGCCTGCGATGCACCAGCAGGCTGTGCGGTGCTCAGACGGCCCGGCTGTGTCTAACGTTGTTGCCTCCGTTTCCCCGTTCCGCTCGCCGGGGCTTTTCCTGGCTCCTTGCCCTCCGCTCAGAGGGGCCGTCCCGGTAGGACCCAGGCCAGCGGGCTCTGCCGTTCCCCTCACGCCCAGGCGGGCAAGACAGACGGGGGCCGGGAGCGGGCGGCGTGCGGCTGACCGGTCTCCGATCTTCGCAGGAATGCTCAAGTGCTGCTCGCCCCACCCCCTGAACTTTCTCATGTTCCTGTCCCTCCTGGTCTTCTTCTGGTAAGAAGGGGCTGACTGGCGGGGCGGGCGCGGCCTGAGAGAACCCGCAGCGGGAGCAAATCCGATGCCCCCCGCCCCCCGCTGTCCCTGCCCCCGAATCGCCAACAGTCACGGCAGCACAGATGACAGCTGCCCACCCACCGACGTGCCACTTCACACACCCTCTTATTCCAGCCGCCCCTTCTCTGCCCCCCCCCGCTTCACAGGTGGGGCCTCGGGGCGAGGCAAGGAGCCCCTCAGCTGAGGGGCTGGGGGAGGGGACGGGACGGCCGGGAGCAGAGAAGGCCCTGGAATCGCGAAGTGAAGGCACATGGACCTTTTCCTGGGGGTTCGGGGCCCCGCCGGGAGCCTGTCCCTGGGGCGGCCTCAGGCCGCCAGCCGTGCCTGGGGCCCCCTCCCACTGCGGCTGGGGCTCGGGTGGGCGCTATGGCCGCAGCGACAGCCCCAGCCTGGCCTGAGGCCGGGCGGCTGCCCCACCGAGCTCTAGGCTTACGGCCTGGGTTCCGGCACCCGCTCCTCCTGAGGATGCTGGACAGGCCGTCCCAGGCCCGCGCTCCTCACCGCTGGCCTTGGGGGGCTCCTCTGCAGCACGGGGGTCCTCAGCCCAAGAATTCTGCGCCTGGGGACCAGACCCGAAGGGGAGAGGTGAGTGAGCCAACGGCGGGGCCCGGGCCCCGTGCTCCGCCACCCCCGCCCCTACTGGGACGACACTTGAGGGGGGCCTCCTCCCCGCCCCTCCCCCCACTCAGAGCAGCTCGGCCAAGTCCCTGGCCCTGGGGTCCCCTGTGTGTCCCATGAATGACCCCTGCTGGCCGGCCCCCTCTGCCCACAGTGACGGCCTGTTTCAGACTCGGTCCGTGTCCACGCTCCAGGCCACCCCATCCCTGCCACCGGGACCCCCAGCTATGATCCCTGGGCTCCCCGGCTAAAACCCCGCTGTTCTCATTCTGCAGCGAGGCTGCTGGATCGCCGACCAGCCCGCCGGCTGTGCAGTCGCCGAGGTACAGCCTGTTCCCTGGCACCTCCCCGCCGGCGCCTGCCGTCAGCCGAGCGCGTGTGGAGCAGAGGTAGGGACGTGGGCCGGGCTGTCTGTCCGCCCGCCCTCGGGTGGGGTTGGCTGCTCCCTTCCCCCGGGCCCACGTGAAGCTGCTGCCGCGGTTTTGACCAGTGGGCGGCACTTGGTTTTAAGGAGGGCGTCTGACCGGCCTGGGTTGCCGGGGCACAGGCTCCGTCGTGGCAGAAGCCAGGGAGGCCTCAGGCATCGGGACGAGGCGGTCCCCCTGCATTCTTGGCTGGGAATTTCTCGCTGTGGCCACGCCCACGCGGCCGGACACTCACCGCTGTAGCCGTTCTTAGGAGCACAGCTCAGTGCCACCCGGTTCCCTCACACTGTTGTGAGACCGTCACCGCCAACCTCTCCGGAATTCTCCACCCTCCCAAACGGACCCGCGGCCCCCGGGAAACACTCACTCCCGCCCCGCCCCCAGCCCTCTGCGGAGGCGGCCACAGCTCGCGTCACTGGCCCGGCGACCGCCACGCCGCCCCTCTTTAAGGCGGGCACCTTACGTTTAAATGCCCTCCGGGAGTATAAGTCGCAGCCACTTGGGCCGCGACGAGCGGCCGCCCTGCTCGTTCTCCTGGGGGCCCCATGATACTCGAGGGGGGACGGGCCGCGGCGCCCACCTGCCCCAGGCCGCAGTCGCTGCTGGAGCGGGTCCTGGGACGGCCGGGTCGGGCAGGTGTCCTGTCGCCCAGCCGGTGCCGCCGCAGCCCGGCGGGTGGTCTGCGTGTCCGGTGGCCGTTCCTTTGGGCCGGCCACCCTCCCGGAGGTCACTCCCGGGCCCTCCCCGCCCACGGTGAGCGGAGGGGGGACGCTGAGACCCCCTCCGGGCGGAGGCAGGCCCGTTCTCCACGGCTCCACCAACTCTCCCCCTGTGTTGTTTTGCAGGGTGGTTTATCCCCAGCCCAAGGCGCTAATACCCTCGTGAGTAACCGCGTTGGGGTTTCCTGTCCGACCCGCGCTGCCCTGAGGCCCCGCTGAGACCTCCCCTGGGACGGGCCGGGCCCCTCCTCTGGCCGGTGTGCCCGAGCTGCAGCGATTACCCACTGTCCTTTTCCTGCTTCCCATCCTCTGCTCTCCCAAGAAAGCGTAGAAAGCGCGGGCCACCCCTCAGCGCCGCCCCGGGCCCCCTTTGCTGCAAACCACAGCTCCCACCCCGGGGTCCTCAGGGCACGCGGTGTTTGCGTGGGGGCTCGCGCGCGGGCGGTCCTTGCCCGGCCGAGCCCTCCGGGAGGGCGGCCAGCGGGCGCGGAGCGGGCGGGGCCGGGCCGGGGCGCCCGGTGGGGCGGGGAGCGCGGGCCCGGCGCACCCTCCCGCCGGCTCACGGCCGCCGCGCGGCTCTGGCGACGCAGGAGGAAGGACGTGCTCGTCCTGACCCCTTGGTTGGCCCCCATCGTCTGGGAGGGGACCTTCAACGTGGACCTCCTGAACCAGCAGTTCCGGCTCCGGAACGTCACCATCGGGCTGACCGTGTTTGCCATCAAGAAGTGAGTCGGTGACAGGGCCGGCGGAGGGGGCGTAGACAAGGCCTCAGGGTCCCCTGTGTGTCCAGGGCAGAGCGAGGTGGGGGCGGCCCTGCCCTCCCGAGGGGCAGGCGCGAGAGCCCGGAGCCCGCGGGCCGGGCCTGGCTTCCGGGAAGGGCTCTGGGTGCCCGGCTGCACCTCCGCAGAGGGGGACGGGGTGCGTGCGCCCCTCCTTAACCCTCGGGCCCCCCTCCCCTGGGGGGATTTACGGACCCGCCAGGTGCAGGAGGCCACTGGTGCGGGGGTGCTGCCCTCGGTGCTGCCCGAGAATCTGAGCGTCCCTCAAGGCTCAGCACACGTGCCCCATGGGGGGAGCTGCTGTCCCTCCCCAGGGTGGGGGGCAGATGGCCCTCGGGGACCTCAGGGAAGAACCAGCCACACGGGGTCGCTGGAGAAGACATCCCAGGGCAGGGGAGACCTACGAGCCGGACCTAGCAGCTGGCACCTTGGGCTCTAAGCCGGGGCCTAAGCAAGTACCCCATTTTCCTGCGGGCCTCCTCTCCCCTCCCCACGGGGTGGGGGAACCTGACCCACGTCAGGGGGAGCTCCGCGGTGACCCCTGTCGGGACGACCTGCAGTTTCCCGAGGACCCTGCTGGCAGGCCACCAGGAAGGACCTTCCAGGGGTGGCGACAGCCCCCGACCGTGAAGGGGGCACCTGTGTGACGGGCTCTGCTGGGCTCGAGAAGGGGCACGGCAGCGGGCGCTGCGCTCGGGCCGGGCGGGCCGGGCCCTGGCGGGGGGGCTTCCTAGGAGAGGGGGCCCTGCAGGGGCCCCCCGGGCGCACGGCACAGGGCGGTGAGCCAGCTCCCACTCTGCTGACGGGGCTGCCCCCGTTTTTCGCCACCTGAGCCCCAGGCCCCCCCCACAGGACGGGGTGCGGACGGCCGCCGTCGCGCGGTGCAGAGGGTGAGGGCAGCCCGGCCCGTGACCCGCTCAAGCTGGGCCGGGACCGCGGCCGCTCCCCAAGGAAGACGCCCACGCTCCCCAGTGCCGGCCGCCCCACCCGGCTCCGCAGTGACCGCCCGCCCCCGCTGTCTCCTGCCGCCGCAGGTACGTGGTCTTCCTGAAGCTGTTCCTGGAGACGGCGGAGGAGCACTTCATGGTGGGACACCCGGTCAACTACTACATCTTCACCGACCGGCCCGCCGACGTGCCGCGAGTGCCCCTGCGGGACGGCCGCCGCGTGGTGGTCCTCCAGGTCCCCGCGGCCAAGCGCTGGCAGGATGTGTCCATGCGCCGCATGGAGATGCTCAGCAGCTTCTGCGAGCAGCGCTTCCGGCACGAGGTGGACTTCCTGGTGTGCACGGACGTGGACATGCGCTTCCGCGACCACGTGGGCGTGGAGATCCTGTCCTCGCTCTTCGGCACCCTGCATCCCGGCTTCTACCAGGCCTCCCGCGAGGCCTTCACCTACGAGCGCAGGCCGCAGTCCCAGGCCTACATCCCCCGGGACCAGGGAGACTTTTACTACCTGGGGGGCTTCTTCGGGGGCTCGGTGTCCGAGGTTCACCAGCTCACCACAGCCTGTCACCAGGCCATGATGGCGGACTGGGCCAGCGGCATCGAGGCCGTCTGGCACGACGAGAGCCACCTGAACAAGTACCTGCTGGACCACAAGCCCACCAAGGTGCTGTCCCCGGAGTACCTGTGGGACGAGTCGCTGCTAGGCTGGCCACCCGTCCTGAAGAAGCTGCGGTTCGTGGCCGTTCCCAAGAACCACCAGGAGATCCGCAACCGCTGAGGGGCGCGGGGAAGGGCGGAGGGAGGGCGCGGGGGCCGCCTGGGACGGAGCCTTTGTGACCTGCGGCACAGCCACGCTTCCCTGTCCTGTCCTTGCGGAGAGAGACCGCGGGGGGCCTGGCATGGCTCCCACCCCGCACGCAGGCCTGCCAGCGCCCCCCGTCCCCGCCCCCCCAGGCACAGGCCTGCGAGAGACTGGCCTGCGCCCCAGGCACAGGAGCCTAGAGTGGCCTGGCCATCAGCTCCCCATGGGGGGCCCTCTGCTCGGCCGGGGGTGTCCTCCACGCGGTCATGCGGGCCTCGGGTGCACACGGGTCCCGCCAGAGGCCGGGCCCCTTCTCTGCGGGAGTTGCGCTCTAAGCGGGTGGCGCCTGCAGCGGGTGGGCGGAGAGGAGGGTGAGGCTGCCCAGGGCCCTGCGGGCGGACGCCGGGCGGCCCCCTCCCCGCCCCCTCCGGCCACACGCGGTCCCCTCGGGAGCTGGCAGTGAAAGCAGGGGTTTCTGGATGATTAGAAGACGTTGTGAATTGTCGAGGAGACCTGTGTCTTTACTCATAAAGGGTCTCTGCGCCCCTCAGGGAGGCCTGCTCCTGGTGTGAAGCGCTGTGTTTCCTGGCGCCGCTGGTGCGGTCGCCTTGGCCTCTGGCTCTTCCCGAGCTGGCGGCCCCGGGACCGGGTGGGAGCCGTCCCCGGGGCGGGGGCTGGTGGCTGGAGGAAGGGCCTGCTGCAGGCGGTCAGATCCACCGTGAGTGCTCTGGGCCGCCCCGGCCCCGGCCCCGGCTCTGGGGACAGCAGCCCTGCCTGGGGGGGCGGGGGGGGGCGGCGAGGGAGAAGCACCGAGGGCATGCGCTCCGCTGTGCGGGACTCAGCAGGCACCCCCACTCCCGGAGCACGGCGTGCTCCCAAGGCAGCGAGAGGCCTGCTCAGCCCGTGGGCAGCAGGCACCGTGCCCGGGTGTGGGCGAGGCTCAGGGTGAAGCTGGGGTTGGGGGGAACCCGGGCAAGGGCAGGAAGTGCCGCAGCCCATAGGTACCCCCCCACACCCACCCAGACCGGGGTCGGGGGGGGCGGCAGCGGGCTGGCGCCGGGGATGCCTGGAGACACCCTTGGGGAGCCCCCCCCCAGAGCCCCCGGTGTAGCTTGAGGCAGCCAGCGAGGCTGGCAGGTCCCGTAAAGATTCACAAAACCAACAAGAACCCATCGGTCTGACCCCGGCACCCTGGCGGGCCCAGCCGGCGCGGGAAGCTCCGCGGGGAAATGAGGTCTGGCCTGAGCCGCCCCGCAGCAGTGAGGAGGCTGCGGCAGGTTAGGAGCCGCCCGACACAGAAGAGCCCGGGAGGCGCCGGGCGCCGGGAGAGGCAGCACAGGCCCTGCCCACAGCGCGGGAGGAGAGAACAGGCCCACGCGCCTCCCACGGCGCGGGCGTCGCCCCCACGCCGGGGGCCTCACCGGAGGAGGCACCCACGGGCCCCAAGCCGCTGCCAGTGGAGAAAACCCCTCAACAGAGACGCACGCGCCTCTTGACTGGCCTGCCACCCGCTCCGTCCTCACAGGACCTGCTGCCGCATCCCGGGACCCCCTCTTCTCTCCTCTGGAAGAGAAGCCCTTGGACGCGGGGCCCCCCAACCTGGGATGACCTCACCTCACGCTCCTTAACAAAGCTACTCCTGCAAAGGCCCTGCTCCCACGTCAGCCCCCTGGACGGGCTCGGGGCGGGCGCGCCTTGGGGGGCCACCGCCTGCTCCCTGCCCTGGAGTGGCCTTGTCTGTTGCCAGGGCTGAGCCTGCGGCGGCGGGGCCCCGGGGCCGCCGAGGGCGCACAAAGGCGCCGCGATGCCCTTGCCTCCGCCCCTCGCCCTCAGGGCCCCAGGGCGAGGGAGCTGAGGGCCTTGGCCTGACCCAGGGAACCCCCCCACCCCGCCCGGCGCTGTGGAGGGGAGCCCTGCTCTCCTGCGCGGGGAGGGGCCGGCCCTGCCCTTTTAAGGGGCCAGGAGGCAGGTGCAGGCGGCGAGAAAGGCTCTGGTGTCCCCTGTGGGTGCTGACCTTTTCCCAGGGACGGGCGGGATCCCTGTCCCTCTCGGACCTCAGACAGGACCGGCGGCCCCCCGGGACCCCTTGGCCCGCCGGCCGCCGTGAGGCCCCGGGGCTGCCCCTTCTCCCTATGACATGAGGGCTGTTCACACAGGCGGATGTGAGGGCTGGAGCAGGGCGGAGAGCGAGAGGAAGGGCCGCACGGGGGTGGCGGGGGCTGACGGAGACGCAGGAGCCCTTCTGCGAGACAGGCGGCCTTCCCAGCAACAGGCGTCGGGAGGCCGGCCGTCCCCGTGCGAACCGGCGGCCCTGGCGGCAGGCCGGCCCCTCCGCAGAGCCGGCCCTCGGCTCCCGGGCCCGCAGCGCCTCGCAGGTCTAGAGGGCGCTTAGGGGAGACGGGGCATTTCCGGGGCCTGGGGCCCAGCCAAAGCCTCAGCTGTTGCACCAGAAGCGCAGTTCATTGAAGAAAGATGAGTGAGTGCACCTCATCAAAACGGAAAAGTTTTGTTCTGCAACAGAGGGTACAAGATAATTAAAACAAAAACAAAAACAGCTACACACCGGGAAAAATACTGGCAGGTTACATAATCCAACAAAAGCATGTGTGAAGAAATCTCAAACCTCAACCCGGAGAAGGGGACCAGCCCGGGGAAGCTAAGAGAAACGCTTGAACAGGCACGTCCCTGAAGAAGGCGGAGGGATGGCAAACGAACACGGCCCCGTGCCCTGGGGCGCGACTTCACCAAGAGGCAGATGCAAATCGCCGCCCTCCGCCCCGCCGCTGGCAGGGACCCAGCCCCGGGAACGCCCTCCCACGCCGGCGGGGACGGGGACACGCGCGGGCCCGCCATCCCGGAGGACAGCTTGGCACTTAGAAATCTGAGCACACATTTACCACCTCACCTGTGATTCCTCTTCCAGGCATTTATGCAAAAGAAAAGAAAACAGTGTCACTGGGGAGGGGTTCCGGCAGCTCCCACCCCCCGACCCCGCCCGAGAGACAGATGGCAAGAGAGGAGGGTTGGAAACTGGGGCGGGTCGGGGGGGGGGGGGGAGGGCGGCAGGCACGTGGGGTGTCCTCGCGCAGGCGCAGGCTGGGTCTCTCGGTCGCAGGTGCCACCGCACACTGACCTTGACCTTGACCGTTGCGGGAGCAGACAGACGCCCCGCCCGGTGGGGGGGGGCCGAAGGGAGGCTGGCCCTTCCTGGGGGGGGGAGCAGGAGGTAACCGAAGCAGGCCCCTCCCACAGCCCGAGGGAGGCTCCGCCTTCGCAGTGGCACGGCCGCCCGCGGCGCCCACCGCAGCCCCGCCCTGAGTCCCGGCGGGACCCCGGTGCCTTCACCGGAGCCGGGGACACACCGGGGCCCGCTGTGCGACGGACGGAGGTCGCTGGGCAGTGACCTGCACAGGCACCCGGCAAACTCAGCCCTCATGTTGGCTCGCCTCACACGCTCACGCGCTCACGCGCTCACACGCTCACGATCCCACCGGCACGTTCACCCACAGCCACGCCCTCCGACACGGGCATTCACACACGTACGTTCACACGCGATCTCACATTCACACGCACTCACACAGGCCGCTGCTCAGCGGCGGCCGGACCACCCGACCCACGAGGGGCCCTCGACCAGGGGCGGAGGAGGGAGGCCCCGCCTGAGCACCCGCACTCCGCGGGCGCCCGGGCGCGAGGGTCCTGGGGACGGTCGGGGACTCGGCAAGTCCTTCTCGGAGAGGGGCTCGGAGACGCAGGTAGAGGCCTAGGAACAGACCGCGGCCCCCGGCCCCCCAGGGGTGACATTCTAGAAACGGCCCGCCTGCCCGAGGCACATCGTCCTTAGGAGGGCCGCCGGGGGACCCCCAGGTCCGAGGGGGACTGTGATTTCCCAGGTTAAAGTCCCGGAGGAAGACGGAGGTGGCTCCCGGTCGCGCAGTGATCTGGTCTCACTTGTCAACAGACGCGCATCAGGAGCCCGGCAGGGCTTCTCCTCCTGGCGGCGGGCGCAGGTGGGCGCTGACCGCCCCCCCTGCATACACGCCCCGCCCCACACTGCCTGCAAAGGGAGGGGCAGCTGCCCCGAGGGCCCCGATGGGCACAGATGGTGTGGAGAGCGGCGGAGAAACCGTGGCTACGCCTGAATAACCCCCACGTTCATCATGCACTTAATGGCAGCCTGGATGATTGGGCGGGGGGAAGACTGTAGGCAATTTACATTTTTTATTTTCTTTTTTAAAAAAAGATTTCATTTATTTTCAGAGAGGGGAAGGGAGGGAGAAAGAGAGAGGGGAGAATCATCCATGGGTGGTTGCGTCTGGTGCGCCCCCTCCTGGGGACTGGCCCGCACCCCAGGCGTGTGCTCTGACGGGGAATCGAACCGGCGACCCTCCGGGTCGCAGGCCGGCGCTCAGTCTGAGCCATGCCAGCCGGGGCTACATTTCTTTTCTTAAAAGTGTGAAATTGCGATGCAAATGCGTTGCCATCTATTTGATGCAAATACCCTTTTTGGATTGTGACTCTACACACGTCATCAGATGCTAAAAACTCAGAGGCAGGAGCTACAAAGCCTGTCTTGTTCAGCCCCTCGGCCAGAGAGCGGCCTTTCTACCAGGACCTGATCCGAGGCGGGATCGCCCCAGCACAGGGACAACCGAGGCCTCGAGAAACCAAAACCGGAAAGACTCGCGAGGACTTCCCGGGGGCGCCCTTCAGGGCGGGCCCCTGGGCGCCGGCTGCGGAGACCCCGACTTGGGAGGGGCCCTCACGTGGCTCCCAGCCCGGTTTCTCAGGGTCTCCCTGGGCGTCTCGGGGACCAGCAGGTGTTCTGATTTTGTGTTGTGTGGTGTCGGGTCGGGGGAAGGCGGGGGGACGACAGGGCACATACGGCAGAGACCGAGGAGAGCCTGTCCCTTTAACGTGACCTTCTGAGGACCCTGCTGAACCCCCATTTCTTCTGTTCGCTGGACAGAGGCACAGTGGTAGCCACAGGCACAGCGCAGCCTGAAGCACCGGGGGCCCCCAGGTCTGCTGAA